GAGTGGAGTGCCACAGGGTTCCGTCCTGGGCCCGGTCCTGTTCAACATCTTCATTAATGACTTAGATGAAGGGTTAGAAGGCAGGATCATCAAGTTTGCAGACGACACCAAATTGGGAGGGATAGCCAATACTCCAGAGGACAGGAGCAGGAATCAAAACGATCTTGACAGATTAGAGAGATGATGGGCCAAAATTAACAAAATGAAGTTCAACAGTGACAAATGCAAGAAACTCCACTTAGGCAGGAAAAACGAAATGCAAAGAGACAGAATGGGAGACGATGTGGCCTGGCTCGAGAGCAGGACGTGGAGTCCTCGTGGACAACAAGTTAAACATGAGCCAACAATGTGATGTTATTATTATTATTATTATTATTATTCAACTTTATTATTACCCCGCTAGCATCTCCCGAAGGACTCGATGCGGCTTACAAAGGCCAAGGCCTCAACACACAAAATAACAATACAAAACCTAAAGCAAATTAAAACAATTAAAGCAAAATAAACAACAGGCAATAAACAATACACTAAGACACAATAAAACTGGGCTGGGCCAGAGTAATGGGTACAGGATTAAAAGTGCTGATGTGACAGGTGATATGTAAAGCATTATAGGGCAAGTGCAGTGTGCGATGTGCGGCAATCTTAGTTCTAGTAAAGTGCTTCTGGGACTTGGTATTTGAGTTTTCCTATTCTGGGAAGGCACATCGGAACAGCCAGGTCTTCAAGTTCTTTTTGAAGACTGCCAATGTAGGGGCCTGTCTAAGATCTTTGGGGAGGGTGTTCCAGAGTCGGGGGGGCACCACAGAAAAGGCCCTGTCTCGTGTCCCCACCAAACGCACTTGCGACGCAGGCGGAATCACGAGCAGGGCCTCTCCAGATGAAGGAAGTGAGCACGTGGGTTCATAAACGGAGATGCGGTCACGCAGGTAGGGTGGTCCCAAACCGTTCAGGGCTTTGTAGGTAAGCACCTGCACCTTAAATTGGGCTCGGAAAATAAACGGCAGCCAGTGGAGCTCCTTAAACAGGAGGGTTGACCTCTCTCTGTAAGGAGCACCAGTTAACATGCTGGCTGCTGGACCAGTTGGAATTTCCGAGCCGTATATATTTAATACAATATATAATATTAAAACAATAATAATTACAATGTTATGGCTTTAGTTTGACAATAATAATAATGCAAATATTATTACACAATACATAATATTACTATAATATAACACAATCCATAATATTAAAATAATAATTACAATGTTATGGCTTTAGTTTGACATAATAACAATAACTGACAACATTATAACACCATTCCATTTTTATTTATATAGAAGATAAATTTATTATTATTATTATTATTACCGGTTGTGAGGAATTATTATTATAATTCACAACCGGTAATTATTATTACCGGTTGTGAGGAACAATAACAATAATGCGAATATTATAACACAATACATAATATTGAAATAATAATTAGAATGTCATGGCTTTAGATTGACAATAATAATAACAATGTGAATATTATAACACAATACATAATATTAAAATAATAATAATTACAATGTTATGGCTTTTGATTGACAATAATAATAATAATAATGCGAATATTGTAACACAATACATAATATTGAAATAATAAGGATTACAATGTTATGGCTTTAGATTGACAATAATAATAATGCAAATATTATTACACAATACATAATATTACAATAATATAACAATACATAATATTAAAATAATAATAATTACAATGTTATGGCTTTAGATTGACAATAATAATAATAATAATGCGAATATTGTAACACAATACATAATATTGAAATAATAAGAATTGCAATGTTATGGCTTTAAATTGACAATAATAATAATCCAAATATTATTACACAATACATAATATTACAATAATATAACATAACACAATACATAATATTAATATAATAAATACAATATTATGGCTTTAGTTTGACAATAATAATGCAAATATTATAACAGAATACATAATATTAAAATAATAATAATTAGAATGTCATGGCTTTAGATTGACAATAATAATGTGAATATTATAACACAATACATAATATTAAAATAACATAATATAACACAGTACATACAAAATTAAAATAATAATAATTACAATATTATGGCTTTAGATTGACAGTAATTGTGCGAATATTATAACATAATATAACATAATATAACAACACATAATATTGAAATAATAATAATTACAATGTTATGGCTTTCGATTGACAATAATAACAATGCAAATATTATTACACAATACATAATATTAGAATAATATAATATGACATAACATAATATAACACAATACAATAATAATAATTCCAATGTTATGGCTTCAGAATTGACATAATAACAATAACTGACCAAATTATAACGTCATTACATTTTTATTTATATAGAAGATATATTTATTATTATTATTATTATTATTAGTAGTAGTAGTAGTAGTAGTACAATGTTGTGGCTTTAGTTTGACATAATGACAATACCTGACAACATTATAACATCATTCCATTTTTATTTGTTGTTGTTGTTCATTCGTTCAGTCGTCTCCGACTCTTCGTGACCTCATGGACCAGCCCACGCCAGAGCTCCCTGTCGGCCGTTACCACCCCCAGCTCCCTCAAGGTCAGTCCAGTCACTTCAAGGATGCCATCCATCCATCTTGCCCTTGGTCGGCCCCTCTTCCTTTTGCCTTCCACTTTCCCCAGCATAATTGTCTTCTCTGGGCTTTCCTGTCTCCTCATGATGTGGCCAAAGTACTTCAACTTTGTCTCTAGTCTCCTTCCCTCCAGTGAGCAGCCGGGCTTTATTTCCTGGAGGATGGACTGGTTGGATCTTCTCGCAGTCCAAGGCACTCTCAGAACTTTCCTCCAACACCACAGCTCAAAAGTGCCTCTCTTCCTTCGCTCAGCCTTCCCTCAGGTCCAGCTCTCACATCCGTAGGTGACTACAGGGAAGACCATGGCTTTGACTAGGCAATGGATCTTGGTTGCCAGTCTGATGTCTCTACTCTTTACTATTTTATCGAGACTGGACATTGCTCTCCTCCCAAGAAGTAAGCGTCTCCTGATGTCCTGGCCACAGTCTGCGTCTGCAGTAATCTTTGCACCTAGAAATACAAAGTCTGTCACGGCCTCCACGTTTTCTCCCTCTATTTCCCAGTTGTCAATCATTCTTGTTGCCATAATCTTGGTTTTTTTGACGTTTAGCTGCAACCCGGCTTTTGCGCTTTCTTCTTTCACCTTGATTAGAAGGCTCCTCAGCTCCTCCTCGCTTTCGGCCATCAGAGAGGTGTCATCTGCATATCTGAGGTTGTTAATGTTTCTTCCAGCAATTTTCACCCCAGCTTTGCATTCATCAAGCCCCGCACATCGCATGATGTGTTCTGCATACACGTTAAAGAGGTTGGGTGAGAGGATGCAGCCTTGCCGTACGCCTTTCCCAATCTTGAACCAGTCTGTTGTTCCGTGGTCAGTTCTGACTGTTGCTACTTGGTCTTATACAGATTCCTCAGGAGACAGACAAGGTGACTTGGTACGCCCATACCACCAAGAATTTGCTACAATTTATTATGATCCATACAGGCTTTAGAATAGTCAATGAAACAAAATAGATGCTTTTCTGAAACTCCCTGCCTTTCTCCATTATCCAGCGGATATTGGCAATCTGGTCTCTTGTTCCTCTGCCTTTTCTAAACCCAGCTTGAACGTCTGGCAACTCTCGCTCCATGTATTGCTGGAGTCTTCCTTGCAGGATCTTGAGCATTACCTTACTGGCATGAGAAATAAGGGCCACTGTACGGAAGTTTGAGCAGTCTTTCGCATTTCCCTTTTTTGGTATGGGGATATAAGTTGATTTTTTCCAGTCTGATGGCCATTCTTGTGTTTTCCATATTTGCTGGCAAATGGCATGCATCACCTTTACAGCATCATCTTTTAAGATTTTAAACAGTTCAGCTGGGATCCCGTCGTCTCCTGCTGCCTTGTTTTTAGCAATGCTTCTTAAGGCCCATTCAACCTTACTCTTCAGAATGTCTGGTTCTAATTCACTCACCACACTGTCAAAACTATCCTCAACATTATTATACTTCCTATACAGATCTTCTGTATAGTCTTGCTACCTTCTCTTGATCTCTTCAGCTTCTGTTAGGTCCCTGCCATCTTTGTTTCTTATCATACCAATTTTTGCCTGAAATTTACCTCCAATGTTTCTAATTTTCTGGAAGAGGTCTCTTGTCCTTCCTATTCTGTTGTCTTCCTCCACTTCCATGCATTGCTTATTTAAAATAGTTCCTTATCTCTTCTGGCTAACCTCTGGAATTGCGCATTTAACTGGGCATATCTCCCCTTCACTGTTTCCTTTTGCTTTCCTCCTTTCTTGGGCTACTTCCAGTGTCTCAGCAGACAACCATTTTGCCTTCTTGGTTTTCTTTTTCTTTGGGACGTACTTTGTTGCCGCCTCCTGAACAATGTCTCGGACTTCTGTCCATAGTTCTTCTGGGACTCTGTTTACTAAATCTAGTCCTTCAAATCTGTTCTTCACTTCCACTGTATATTCGCTAGGAATGTTAGTGAGATCATATCTAACTGGTCTGTGTATTTTCCCTGATCTCTTTGGTTTTATTCTAAATTGGGCAATAAGAAGTTCGTGATCTGAGCTACAGTCAGCCCCAGGTCTTGTTTTCATATAGAAGATATGTTAATTATTATTATTATTATTATTATTATTATTATTAATATTATTATTACCAGTTGTGAAGAATTCTGGGAGAGAGGGAGGAAGGCCCAACTTGGCTTAGGCCTGCATTAGGCCCAAATCTACGGAAGCCGGGAGGGAAAAAGAGCTCAATCCGGATCTTCCTTCCTGTCAGAAGAGTGAGTGCATCCTCCAGAGGGCGCCGGAGAGGAAGTAGCGCGCTTGTTGTGCGCTTCCGGCGCGGTGCCTGCCGGGAGCGGTAGTCTTCCTGCGTGTGGACGGGGCGGCGCTGTCCCGGCGTGCCTTGCGGGCGGAGAGGTGAGGCCTGCTTCTTCCTCGGCTGAGGAGGAGGCAGGCTGGGTGGGTGAGGATGCTGCGGTGCATGCCGCCCTTGTGGCGGTGCAACCGGCAGGTGGAGGCGCTGGACCGGCGGCACTGCTCGCTCCAGGCCGTGCCCGACGACGTCTTCCGCTACAGCCGCTCCCTCGAGGAGCTCCTCCTCGACGCCAACCAGCTCCGGGAGCTGCCCAAGGCAAGGCCCCAAGGAACCAGGAACCACAACAAAGGCCTTTGTCACATCTCAGCCAGGACTGGGCCTACTTGGGCCTTCCCTCTCTCCCTCGGGACCTTTGGACTACAACTCCCAGCATTCCTCACAGACTCAGGCCCCTTCGCATTCCTCACGGCCGCTTAAGCGGCTGAGGGGGAAAAGGAAGGGGCCTGAGGCTGTGAGGAATGCTGGGAGTTGTAGTCCAAAGCTCCTAGGAGGGTGGGCCCAAGTTTGCCCGTCCCTTTGGTAGACTTGTTTCAGATTTCTCACCTGCACCATTCGATCCCTCCCAACAGAGAGCCGTTAGCTGAGGGCCTGAATGACAGGCCAACTTATTTAGTATTTACTAGCTGGACCCGCCCCGCATTGCTGTGGCCAACCTGCCCTCTTTTCTCTACATCTTCCCCCCTTCCTTCCTTCTTTCCCTTATTTCTTTCCTTCTCTTCTTCCTTCCTTCTCCATCTCTTTCCTTCCTTTCCCTTTTTCTTTCTCTCCCTCTTTCTCTCCTTTCTTCCTTCTTTACCTCCTTCCTTCCTTCTCTAACTTTCCTTCCTTCCCCCCTTTCTTCCTTCTCTACCTCTTTCCTTCCTTCCTTCTCTCTTTGCTTCCATGCTTCTTTCTCCCTTTCCTTCTTTCTTTCCCTCCCTTTTTCTCTACATCTTCCCCTCTTCCTTCGCTCCGTCTTTCTTTCCTTCTTTCCCTTTTTTCTTTCCGCCTCTCCTTCCTTCCTTCTCTAACTTTCCTTCCTTCCCCCTTTTTCTTTCCCTCCCTCTTTCTCTCCTTTCTTCCTTCTCTACCTCTTTCCTTCCTTCCTCTTTGCTTCCATGCTTCCTTCTCTAACTTTCCTTCCTTCCCCCTTTTTCTTTCTCTCCCTCTTTCTCTCCTTTCTTCCTTCTCTACCTCTTGTCTTCCTTCCTTCCCTTTTTCTTTCTTCCTTCCTTCCTTCTCTCTTTCCTTCCTTCCCCCCTTTCTTTCTTTTCTGCTTCTCCTCTTTTCTTCCTTCTCTTCTTTCCTTCCCTCCCTCTTTCTCTCCTTCCCCCTTCCTTCACTCCCTCTTTCCTTCCTTCCTCCCCCTTTTCCCTCTTTCTCTCTTTTCTTCTTCCTTCTCTCCTCTTTCCTTCCCTCTTTCCCTCTTTCCTTCCTTCTTCCTTCTCTATCCTTCCTTCCTTCCCCCTTTTTCTTTCTCTCCCTCTTTCTCTCCTTTCTTCCTTCTCTACCTCTTTCCTTCCTTCCCGTCTTTCCTTCTCTTCTTCTTCCTTCTCTATCTCTTTCCTTCCTTCCCCTTTTTCTTTCTCTTCTTGTCTACTTCTTTCCTTCCCTCCCTCTTTCTCTACATCTTCCCCACATCCTTCGCTCCCTCTTTCCTTCCTTCTTTCCCTTTTTCTTTCCTTCTCTTCTTCCTTCCTTCTCTAACTTTCCTTCCTTCCCCCTTTTTCTTTCCCTCCCTCTTTCTCTCCTTTCTTCCTTCTCTACCTCTTTCCTTCCTTCCTCTTTGCTTCCATGCTTCCTTCTCCCTTTCCTTTTTCTTTCCCTCCCTCCCTCTTTCCTTTCTTTCTTTCTTTTCCTCCCCTTCCCTCCCTCTTTCTTCCTTTTTTCTGTATTGTCATTTAGCTTTTTGTCACTTAACTTTTGGGGGCTTTAAAAATCCTTTCTGTTGTGTTTTTCAGTGTTTTTATGAGTGATGGTCACTCGTTGGGTTGTTAGGTGTCTTGTGTCCAAATTTGGTGTCAATTCATCCAGTGGTTTTTGAGTTCTGTTAATCCCACAAATGAACATTATATTTTTATTTATATAGACTAGCCGTCCCCTGCCAAGCATTGCTGTGGCCCAGTCTGTGTATATGTGTTTTGTATGTGTACATCTGTGCATATATATTTGTGTATATGTGTATATATGTGGTTTTGCGCATGCGTTGTAATGTATTTATTATTTTGGGCGTTTTAAGTTTCTTCTGTGGTGTTTTCCAGTGTTTTATGAGTGATGGCCACTCTTTGGCCTAATACGTGTACTGAGTCCAAATTTGGTGTCGATTCATCCAATGGTTTTTGAGCTATGTTAATCCCATAAACGAACATTACATTTTTATTTATATAGATTTATTTCAAATATTTGTACCCCGCTCTTCTCTTCTCTCAGGGCGGCTTGCAGCTGGCAACAATTCTATTATTATTATTATTAAGCTTTTTTTATACCCCGCCACCATCTCCCCAGGGGGACCTGGAGCGGCTTACAGAAGGCCAAGCCCACCAATATAACAATGCAAATAAACATCATACAACAGCAATAAAAAAATATAAAAATAAAATACAAGACACAAATACCCTACACCAGGCATCCTCAGACTTTTAATATAATATATTGTATATACATATAATGCTTATAATATTAAAATGTAATACAATATAATCTAATAATAATACAATATTATAATTATATATTTTATATTGCATGTGATATTACTAATATTACAGTAGACTGGTATAGTCCAATATAGTAATATATTATACTAATATCGTGCTATGCTAATAATATAATTTATTGTATGTGTGTGTGTGTGTGTGTGTGTGTATATATATATATTATACCCCGCCACCATCTCCCCAAGGGGACTCGGAGCAGCTTACATAAGGTCAAGCCCAACAATATAACAATGCAAATAAACATCATACAACAGCAATAAAAATATAAAAATAAAATACAGGACACAAATACCCTACACCAGGCATCCTCAGACTTTTAATATAATAATATATATTGTATATGTGTATAATATTTATAATATTAAAATGTAATACAATATACTATTACTAATAATACAATATTATAATTATATATTTTATATTGCATATAATGCTACTAATAACCTGCTCTAATAATAATAAGTAATAATAAACTTTATTTATACCTCCCCACCATCTCCCCTGAGGGACTCGGGGTGGCTAACATGATGCCAGGCCCAAACCAATTACAATAGAGCAAAAGTACATATGAAACAGACAGTAACATCCAATAAAATGCTTAATAATAACAACATAGTAATGCAATAAAAACAATCAAATGTAATAAAAAAGCAAATTATAAAAAGGTAGTAAAATTTGACAATGTGAGGTAGGCCTGAGTCGCCCAAGGGCTGAGAAGAGTGGTATACAAATAAAGTAAATAAATAAATAAATAAATAAATAGGCCAAATGCAGTGGATAAAAATCGATAAAATCCATGGGTAAGATAGATAGAAAGTGCTGTCTCCCCAACAGGGTGGATTCCACACACAAAAAAGTGGCAAACATTCAGTGCCATGAATGAAAAGACACAAACCAAATCAAACCAATTAATACAACAACATTATTATTATTATTTGTTTGTTTGTTTGTATCTGGCCCCCTCTCCCAAAAGGGACTCGGGGCAGCTTACAACAAAAATACAATATACATAGTCATAATCGGCAACCAAAGCAACACAAACCAACAAATCGTAATACATAACAAAAGCAACCATAAACATATTAAAATATAACCAGCTGTTAGGAATTGTGGGACTTGGAGTCCAGAACACCTGGAGGACCCAAGTCAGCCCATCCCAACAGTCCAACCCCATTCTGCCTTCATGTAGGAAAAGCACAATCCGCTTTGGGGAGTGTCATTTCCACCCTACCTTAGGGCTCCGTGTTTTGTAAATATAAGCATTATAAACAGTGTGTTGTCAGAATCACTGGAGTGGCATCACTGGGGTGTTGTGAGGTTTCCAGGCTGTACAGATAATGAGTTCCAGTGGCGTTTGCTCCTGGCGTTTCGCCTGCATCTTTAGAGGATCTGAGGGTAGTCAAGCGAGATATACAGGGTTAGTCAAAATGAATAGGCCAATAAGAAAATTAATTTTAGACGAATGTATGTTTATTGTAACCAAACTACAGCTACGTAGCGACAGATAAACTATCAAAGTTTTGTCTCACCTTCAGAGATGTTCGATATGGGCGCCCCGTGTGACACGGCAGATGTCCAAGCGATAGTCCAGTTCATTCCACATCCGTTGCAGCACATCCGACGTAATGGCATCGAATGCAGCAACGTCTGGGAAGGTGTTCGTTGAGGTCCTAACCCTAACCCTAACCCTAACCCTATCCCTATCCCTAACCCTAACCCTATCCCTATCCCTAACCCTAACCCTCCCTAACCCTAACCCTATCCCTAACCCTAACCCTAACCCTAACCCTAACCCTTGAAATTCTCGCTGGACCGTAATTACTGACATTGTTTTAGCAAATGTCATCACACAAAACGCCTTCTCTTTGCTTGATTCCGCCATTTTGAAAACAGCAACCCCTAGCGACGCCTAGCGGCATTAACGTACATGTGTGTTGCTCAAAAAAAACTTTGATAGTTTATCTGTCGCTACGTAGCTGTGGTTTGGTTACAGTAAACATACATTCGTCTAAAATTAATTTTCTTATTGGCCTATTCATTTTGACTAACCCTGTATAGACCATGAACATTCCACAGGAATATATCCACTCCACTTGCTTGGCTACCATGAAGATGCTCTTAGCCACAGATGCAGGAGAAACATCTTGAGGAGAAAATGCCGCTAGAACACATTGGCCTTACAGTCCAGAAACCACACCGCACCCTAATTAGAAACAGCATTGCTTTGGCTTTGGATTTTAGAACTAGCCCCTTGAGAAATGCATCTGAGTCCCTCCTGGGGAGGTAAAATGGAATATAAATAAGGTCTATTATTATTATTATTATTGACACAAAACCACAGTATGTCACAGCCAAGGAGATCTCTATGCTGGATTTCGTATCACAAAATCACAAGTCGAACCCTTCCCAAGCATCTAGGACTGTGTGATTTATTATTATTATTATTATTATTATTCTTTTACTGACACAAAAGCACAGTATGCCACCGCAAACGAGATCTCTATGCTGGATTTCATATTCCAAAATCACAAGTCGAACCCTTCCCAAGCATCTAGGACTGTGTGATGTATTTTCGAATGATGCGCGCAGATCCCAGTCAGGTGGCCTTTTGCAGTTGACAGATCGTGATTTTGTCCATGTTGATTGTTTCCAAATGCCAGCTGAGATCTTTTGGCACAGCATCCAGTGTGCCAATGACCACTGGGACCACCTGGACTGGTTGATGCCAGAGCCTTTGCCGTTCGATTTTGAGGTCTTGATAGCGGCTGAGTTTTTCCTGTTGTTTTTCCTCAATGTGACTCTCACCTGGTATGGCAGCATCACTAATCCAGACTTTTTTTCTTTTCCACAATCGTGATGTCTGCTGTATTGTGTTCCAAAACTTTGTCAGTCTAGATGTAAAAGTCCTACAGTATTTTTGCATGTCCATTTTCCATGACCTTTGCTGGTTTATGGTATCACCAATTCTTGACTGCTGGGAGGTGGTCCTTGTGACATAAGTTCTAATGAATCCTTTGGGCCACAGAGTTGTGCCTCTGTTTGTAGTCCGTCTGTGCGATTTTCTTGCAGCAGCTGAATAGATGGTCCATGGTTTTATCCGCTTCCTTGCACAGTCTGCATTTTGGGTCATCCGCTGATTTTTCGATCCTGGCCTTAATGGCACTGGTTCTGATGGCTTGCTCCTGGGCTGCAAGAACCAGGCCTCCTTCTGTCTCCTTCTTCAGGGTTCCATTCGTGAGCCATCACCAGGTCCTCTCCTTGTCAACTTTTCCTTCAATGTTGTCAAGGAACTGCCCATGCCACGCTTGGTTGTGCCAGCTGTCAGCTATGAGCCATCACTAGGTCTTCTCCTTGTCAACTTTTCCTTCAATCTTCTCAAGGATCCCTCTTATTATTGTTATTTTGTTGTTGTTGTTGTTGTTGTTGTTGTTGTTTGAAACACAGTAAGATGAGTCCACAGCAACAAGGTCCCTCTGCTGGCTGTTGTATTGGATCACAAGTCGGACATTTCCCAAATGTCTAGGACTCTGTGATGTATTGGCGAATAATGTATGCAGATTCCATTAGGGTGGCCTTTTGCATCTCACAGATAGTAATTTTGTCAGCACTGATTGTGTTTAAGTGCAGGCCAAGGTCTTGAGGCACTGCACCCAGAGTGCCCATCACCACTGGGACCACCTTGACTGGCTTGTGCCAGAGTCTTTGCATTATTATTGTATGATGATGATGACGACGAACCTTTGGCAGTCAGGGAGGACACTTGGGTCTTTCTATCTGGGTGGACTACTGCTCCCATCGTCCATCCTCTGTGGGGTCACAGGGCTCTCTCTCTGGAGCTGGTTGAACTCCCAAAATCTAAGGCCAATCCCCCAGCCCCTTCAGCATGTTCTACTGCTCATATCGGGTCTGTGTGTCAAGTTTGGTCTCGGTCTGTTGGTGGGAGTCACAGCCCTCTCTGAAGTGCCTTAGAAATCGCCCACAGATAGGCATGCAAACACATTTTCACTTTAGTGATAGACAGACAGACTGTGTGACACCAAAAATTTGACTGCTTTTGAAAAAATGGAATTTGCATCCCATGCTTGCTGTTATTCACCTTGGGACTTGGAAAAAGGGGCGAATCAAAATAAAGTAAATAACAACAACAAAAATATCAGGCAAATAGTAATAATAATAATAATAATAATAATAATAATAATAATAATGTATTGTCAAAGGCTTTCATGGCCAGAATCACTAGGTTGTGTAGGTTTTTCAGGCTATATGGCCATGTTCTAGAGGCATTTTCTCCTGATGTTTCGCCTGCATCTATGGCAAGCATCCTCAAAGGTAGTGAGGTCAGAGGTATTGACCTCACTACCTCTGAGGATGCTTGCCATAGATGCAGGCAAAACGTCAGGAGAAAATGCCTCTAGAACATGGCCATATAGCCCATAAAACCTACAACAACCCAATAATAATAATAATAATAATAATCTTTATTTGTACCCCGCTACCATCTCCCCAAGGGACTCGGTGCGGCTTACACGAGGCCAAGCCCACAACACATCAATAAACAAAACATCAAATAATACAATACAATACAATACATATAAATCACATAAACAAAAATAAGCAATAAACAATCAACAGTGACATACAAGCATTTAAAAACCAATGGCCGGGCCAAATGTAATAGATTAAAATTAAAATAATGCTGACGTGACATAAACATTTTCAGAGAGAACTGAGGGAACGCAGTCAGTCCTAATTCAATGGTAAAGTGCATTTTGAGGGTATATTGCTGAGAGTTTTCCTTCTTCTGGGAAGGCACACTGGAACAACCATGTTTTCTGGCTCCTCCTAAAGACTGCCAGAGTTGGGGCATGCCTGATGTCCCTGGGAAGTGAGTTCCAGAGTTGGGGGGCCACCACCAAGAAGGCCCTCCCCCTTGTCCCCACCAATTGCACCTGCAAAGGAGGTGGGAGCATGAGCAGGGCCTCTCCAGATGATTGAAGAGATCGTGTGGGTTCGTACACAGAAATACAGTCATGGGGGCTTGTAGGGAAAAGGTGTGAGTTTGGGGGGTTGTGGGGGGGGGTATGGGGGGCCATATATCCTTCGACCACAGAATCCTGGGGCTGCAGAGAGAGACTCTGTCCAGCACAGTCTCCTTCCTTCCCTGCAGGTTTTTCAGCAGAGGCTGGATGTCCACCTCTTGGGAGGGCTCGGATTGTGTATTCTCCTATCTGGCAGAAAGGGGTTGGACTGGATTCCCTTTTGGGGACCCTTCCAACTTTAGGATTCTGTGATCTATGCTAAATGGAAGCAGCCTGGCAGCAGAGGTGAGGGTTTCACGACGGATGAGGCCATTCTGCCATCTTGGACAGCACAATGTCAATGTGTTTTTGGGTTATTGTAGGTTTTTTGCGCTGTCTGGCCATGTTCTAGAAGCATTCTCTCCTGACGTTTCACCTGCTACTAGGGCAAGCATTCTCAAAGGTTGTGAGGTCTGTTGGAAACTAGGGAAATGAGGTTTCTATATCTGTGGAAGGTCCAGGGTGGGAGAAAGAAAGAACTCTTGCCTGCTTGAGGCAACTGTGAATGCTGCAACTGATCGCCTTGATTAGCATTTGATGGCCTGGCAGTTTTGTGGTGTGGCTTGTTTGTGCCTGGGGGCATCTTTTGTTGAGAGGTGATTAGCTGTCCCTGATGGTTTCCTCTCTGGAGTTCCCCGGTGTTCGAATGTTGTTTTATTGTTATAATTTTAGACTTTTTAAAATACTGTTAGCCAGATAGTGTTCATTTTCATGGTTTCCTCCTTTCTGTTGAAATTGTCCACATGCTTCTTGTGTATTTCAGTGGCTTCTCTGTGTAGCCTGACATGGTGGTTGTGAGAGTGGTCCAGCATTTCTGTGTTCTCAAATAATATGCTGTGTCCAGGTTGGTTCCTCAGGTGCTCTGCTATGGCTGACTTCTCTGGTTGGATTAGTCTGGATGGCCTTTCGTGTTCCTTGATTCGTGTGTTGGGCAACGCTGCTGCGTGTGGTGGTCCCCTGGAGACTTCTTGTCCACAGCTGCACGGTACACGGGAGACTCCTGCAGAGGTGAGAGGATCCCTCTTGTCCTTTGCTGAACGGAGCATTGGTTGGATGTTCTTGGTGGGTCTGGAGATAGTTTGTATGTTGTGTTTCCTCATCAGCTTCCCTCTGCGGTCAGTGGTTCCCTTGATGTCTGGCAAGAACACTTTCCCTCTGGGTGGATCTTTGTCTTTTTACCTCTGTCTGCTCTCGTCTGCCTGTGTTGGAGGGGAACCTCCTTGGTGGGGAACCCTGTTTGGGCCCTTCTCAGCTGACCAGTGTCTTCCTCCCTCCCTCCCTCCCCAGCCTTTCTTCCGGCTCCTGAACCTGCGTAAACTGGGCCTGAGCGACAATGAGATCCAGCGCCTGCCTCCGGAGGTGGCCAACTTCATGCAGCTGGTGGAGCTGGACATCTCCCGCAATGGTAAACAGAGCGGGGTGTTATGAGGAGGGGGCTTGGACAGGGGGCCCTTCGGGGAGGCTCCTTGGGTGTGTGTGTATGTTTCCAAGCGGATTGAGCTTTCCCTCATGGCTCCTCGTGACAGCAGAAGCCCTGCTGCTCTGTGTGTCACAGATACCGGGGGAGCAAGGATGGTTGCACTTTTTGATGTGATGTAGACTCCTTCTTTGGAAGCTTTTAAACAGGGGCTGGATGGCCATCTGTCAGGGGTGCTTTGAATGCAATATTCCTGCTTCTTGGCAAGGGGTTGGGCTGCATGGCCCATGAGGTCTCTTCCAACTCTAGGATTCTATACGTATGCATTTGCAAGACATATTCCATACCACCTCTTAAAAGTTATTTTGCTTGCATGTGGGGTATCTTCCATTCTGTAAACAATAACAGATCAAAGCAACAGAATCAGAACACTGCGTTGCTTGCAGACTTTGCAATTGGGCATTGGCCTTGAGTCTACCTAGGGGTGAGAAAAGCAGTATATAAATAATGTAAATAAATAAATGGCTTTTCCTGCATAGCAGGGGGTTGGACTAGATGGCCCACGTGGTCTCTTCCAACTCTATGATTCTATGATTGTAGGGAGATACTTTGAAAACAACACAATTTTAGTTAGTCATGATAGGTTTGTGTTCATATGTGTCAGGAGTGAGAAACTGCAAGTCGCTTCTGGTGTGAGAGAATTGGCCGTCTGCAAGGACATTGCCTGGGGACACCCATATGTTTTTACCATCCTGTAGGAGGCTTCTCTCATGTCCCCGCATTGGGAGCTAGAGCTGACAGATGGGAGCTCACCCTGCTCCCTGGCTTCAAACCACTGACCTTTATCTCAGTAGTCCTGCTCGCACAAGGGTTTAACCCATTGCCCCAGGCTTCAAATATGTTTGAATCTGAATCCAACGTGTTTGATCTGCTCATTAAAGGACCCTTCCCCACAGCCCTCTATCCCAGAATATCAGGGTAGTAAATCCCACAAGATCTGTTTTGAACTGAGTATCTGAGTCCACACTCAGGTAATGTGGGATTTCCTGCCTTGCTATTCTGGGATTTAGGGCTGTGTGGAAGGGCTCTGAGATCCAACCCACAGACTGAGAACTCCAGATGGAAAATACCAATTGGCCTACAATTCACTCAGGGTCTGGTGATGGGGGTGGGACGGGGGGGGGGGGGGTCCTGACCACCCCACCTTGTTGTGCATACAACAAAAATACCCTTATATAAGATAAACAATAATACAATTCAACAACAGTATATAAACATGCTGCACTGTTCAACCTCACAGCGACAACAAACAATATTGTGCAAATTTTAGTACAGTCATATCTTCTATGAGTAGCTTGTAGCTCAGCCATCCACGACCGGTTTCGGCCTACTTCAGGCCTTCTTCTGGTGGACTGAAATTAATGTAGAAATCAATGTTTTGCTCCAGTTGCATGCATATAGAACATCTTATACTAGAATGTACTCAAAGAATTTAGTTAAGTCTTCACCCTTGTTATTACAACAATATTTGTTGAACATATCCATTAAATACCATAAGGTACAACACATTTAAGTACTTACAAAGTCATACACTTGAGAATTAGTTCTCCTCAGGGGATACAGATTTTTTGGCTCAGTGGTATCTACATCAAAGGAACGAAATGTGGCTGTGAGAGTTTGAAAATTACTATGCTAAAAATGATTATTTTGTAGAAATATTGAATATTAAAGTATTTTACACATTAAGAAATTAGTTAAGTCTTAACTAATTTCTTAATGTGTAAAATACTTTAATATTCAATATTTCTACAAAATAATCATTTTTAACATAGTAATTTTCAAACTTGTTATTACATCAATATTTATTGAACATATACATTAAATACCATAAGTTACAACACATTTGAGTATTTGCAAAGTTATATACTTGAGAATTTGTTCTCAGATATCCCTGAGATCCCGGAGAGCATCAAGTTCTGCAAGTCCCTGGAGATCGCCGACTTCAGTGGGAACCCCTTGTCCAGGTACCAAGGGGAGGGGGCTCAGATGGGGAGGGGGGGGGTTGTGGCCGCAGCCTTGAAGGGGCGAGGGGGAGGGGCCATTTGGGGTCCCTGAGGTCTCCCTTTCCCTTGACCCACAGGCTCCCCGAGGGCTTCACGCAGCTGCGCAGCCTCTCCCACCTGGCCCTGAACGACGTCTCCCTGCAGCACCTGCCCAGCGACATTGGCAAGTGAGTCTGTGGCCGTCGTGGGGGGGGGGGGGGATGGCAGGGGAGGGGTCCGTGGGTCTGCCTGCCCCTCGTTTATCACCGCTGTCTCTCATGGGAACCCATCCTCATTACTTTCAGTTTGGCCAACCTGGTGACCCTGGAGCTGCGTGAGAACCTGCTGAGGTCCCTCCCAGCGTGAGTGTCTTTTGGGGTCCCAGCATGGGGGTGGGGTGGTGTGTGGGGGGGGGAGTTATGGGAGGCTGGCCATAGTGGAGGGACTTCGCTTCCTTTGAAAAGCCCCCACTGACCGGTCTCCTCTGCTGGCTGCAGATCTCTCTCATTCCTGGTCAAGTTGGAGCAACTGGACCTTGGTGGAAATGACCTGGAAGTGTTGGTGAGTGGGGGCCGGGGGTGCTGGTCAAGGGGGCAGCTGTGGGGGGGGGTCTGGAGAAACATTAACTCGTAATTACTTCTGTTGCTTAGCCACTCTGATCAGTATGTGTCTACACAGAAATTTATGTGTTCTCTTCTAACTTTTAAGATTCTATATAATAATAATAATAATAATAATAATAATAATAATAATAATAATAATAATAATAATAATAGTTGTTGTTATTATTATTCAATAGCTCTTTTAGTCTATGGCTAAAAACTATATAATGATAATACTGTTTTATTATTCTATATTTGCATATTTTAAGCACAAATTCATGTGTTTTTTTTCCAACTTTTAAGATTCTATATAATAATAATAATAATAATAATAATAATAATAATAATAATAATAGTTGTTGTTATTATTATTCAATAGCTCTTTTAGTCTATGGCTAAAAACTATATAATGATAATACTGTTTTATTATTCTATATTTGCATATTTTAAGCACAAATTCATGTGTTTTTTTTCCAACTTTTAAGATTCTATATAATAATAATAATAATAATAATTGTTGTTGTTATTCAATAGCCCTTTTAGTCTGTGGTTAAAAACTATATAATAATAATACTGTTTTATTATTCTATATTTGCATATTTTAAGCACAAATTCATGTGTTTTTTTCCAACTTTTAAGATTCTAAATAATAATAATAATAATAGTTGTTGTTGTTGTTGTTGTTATTCAATAGCCCTTTTAGTCTGTGGCTAAAAACTGTATAATGATGATACTGTTTTATTATTCTATATTTGCATATTTTAAATTGTATTGTAATGTTTTCAATTGTGAGTAGTTTGAATCTCCGTCGATAAAGCGGGATATAATTAAGTAAATAAACAAATGGCGTAATGCTGCGCTGCTCAGCGTTTGCTGCCCGGCCTTCTCTCCCTCTTGCCCCAGACCCCCCCCTTTGCCTCTCTTTGCCTGCTTGTCTGTGTTTACGTGTATGTTCATGTCTTGGGGGGTCGTGTCCTGGCCCGGGGGACCCCTGCCCACTGCTCCTCTCTGCTCCTCCTCCTCTGCAGCCGGACACCTTGGGCGCCCTCCCGAACCTCCGGGAGCTCTGGCTGGACAGGAACCAGCTCTCCTCGCTGCCCCCCGTGAGTAGCCCAAGGGGAACCCCCCCCCCCCCCCAGCCGTTTGCGCCCCTCCTCGGGGCCCCAGCTCACACAGAGAGGGCCTGATGCCCTTTTAGTCTTGCCTGGGACAGGGCACTCCGAACAGAAAGGTCAGCCATGCATTCAGTCTGTGATAGGCAGGACCTTGGTGTCTCCTGGCGCATCAAGAGAGACCTTTGGGGAGGGGGAGGGATCTGACCTGGGGCAGTGTTGGTGAAGAGGGCCCAGCAGAGAGTGTACCAGTTGAGACTTCTAAGGAACCAACAACTCAATGAAAAACTGTTGTTGACTTTCTACCTGGTTTGGTACCTGCACGGTGACTGCGGAGAGGAAGGGGCTCCAAAGGGTCCCCACTTCTGCACAGAGAATCATGGGTTGCCCCCTTTCTCCCCTCTTGGGAAGAACAACTTTATAATTTATTGTCAAAGGCTTGCAAGGCCGGAATCATTAGGTTGCTGTGAGTTTTTTGGGCTTCCTGGCCATGTTCCAGAAGCATTCTCTCCTGACGTTTTGCCTGCATCTATGGCTAAGGGCATCCCCAGAGGTTGTGAGGTTATAATTCCTGCAGCCTTAAGAAAGCTCAGAGCATTCTTGGGGATTTTTGTAGTTTTTTTGGACTATATGGCCATGTTCTAGAAGCATTCTCTCCTGACGTTACGCCTGCATCTATGGCTAAAGGCATCCTCATCGGTGGCTAAAGGCATCCTCAGAGGTTGTGAGGTCGTTATAATTCCTGAAACCTAAAGAAAGCTCAGAGCATTCTTGGGGATTGTTGTAGTTTTTTTGGACTATATGGCCATGTTCTAGAAGCATTCTCTCCTGACGTTACGCCTGCATCTATGGCTAAAGGCATTCTCATCAATGGCTAAAGGCATCCTCAGAGGTTGTGAGGTCGTTATAATTCCTGAAACCTAAAGAAAGCTCAGAGCATTCTTGTGGATTGTTGTAGGTTTGGGGCTATATTGCCATGTTCTAGAAGCATTCTCTCCTGACGTTACGCCTGCATCTACGGCTAAAGGCATCCTCATCAATGGCTAAAGGCATTCTCAGAGGTTGTGAAGTCGTTATAATTCCTGCAACCTTAAGAAAGCTCAGAGCATTCTTGGGGATTGTTGTAAGGGTTTTGGGCTATATGGCCATGTTCTAGAAGCGTTCTCTCCTGACGTTTCACTTCCATCTATGGCTAAAGGCATCCTCAGAGGTTGCGAGGTCGTTATAATTCCTGCAGCCTTAAGAAAGCTCAGAGCATTCTTGGGGATTGTTGTAGTTTTTTTGGACTATATGGCCATGTTCTAGAAACATTCTCTCCTGACGTTACGCCTGCATCTATGGCTAAAGGCATCCTCATCGATGGCTAAAGGCTTCCTCAGAGGTTGTGAAGTCGTTATAATTCCTGCAACCTTATGAAAGCTCAGAGCATTCTTGGGGATTGTTGTCGTTTTTTTGGACTATATGGCCATGTTCTAGAAGCATTCTCTCCTGACGTTTCACTTCCATCTATGGCTAAAGGCATCCTCAGAGATTGTGAGGGCTTTATAATTCCTGTAAAATTCTTGGGGATTGTTGTCGGTTTTTCGGGCTGCCTGGCCATGTTCTAGAAGCATTCTCTCCTGATGTTTTGCCTGCACCTGTGGCAGCCATCCTCAGAGGTTGTGGGGTCTTGGGGATCTTTTTAATATTTTATTTATTTATTTCATGTATTTCTACCCCATCCTTCTCCTCAGGGCGGCCTCACACAAGCATCATGTGGTGCTATCAACATATAAACAATCAAAAAATTACATTTAAAATATTAAAAATCATTAAAAACATATTATACAATTCATTAAACAATAAACACGCCAATTAAAACCAAATCCAAATCAGGGTAAATCCAATGTTGCAGATATCTTAGATTTTCTTTCGCATTACCACTATCCAGTAATCAAATTCCTGGTCCCAGAGACAAGTCTTCACTTATGTTCTAAAGGACAGGAGGGAGGTGGCCAACCTAATGTCCCTGGGGGAGAGAGTTCCACAGACGGGAGGGACACTGCTGAGAAGGCCCTGTCCCTCGTCCCCACCAACCGCGTTTGTGAAAATGGTGGGATCGAGAGCAGGGCTGCTCCTGACGATCTTAAGCTTCACCTGCATATTCTTTTTTTGAATTATTGCCACCTGGCAGACAGTCCAGGGTGACAAAGACAAGGACAAACAGACTGAGAGGCAGCTTTGATCCTTGACCTGTGACTATATTGAACCTCTTGGCTTCCCGTTGATGTGGCATTTGGGACTGTTCCGTGGTGGGAGTGTGGAGGGATGGGTGTGTTGTTTTGTGGTGTGTGCTGGGGGAGGCATTTAGTTCCCTTGTGCAATAGCACAACGACAGTACGTCAATTCTGTCTTATTTTTCCCCATTTCATGCCTCTTGAGCTCTGCCTTTACAGAGTGGGGTCCATCATGGGGGCAGTCTTCCTGGCCCTTTTGCGGAAGCATTGCAGGAGGCATGTTAGGGATTGTGGGAGTTGAAGTCCAAAACACCTGGAGGGAGGGCCAAAGTTTGCCTATACCTTAGCTGCTGGCAACCAACCCTATATCTGGGACAGAGGAAGGGCATCCAGTCTATCTATCTGGGGACCCCATCCATTTTTCCTTCCTTCTGCTTCCTACTTGGCCAGGAGCTGGGGAACCTGCGCCGCCTGGTCTGCCTGGACGTCTCGGAGAACAAGCTGGCACAGCTTCCGGGCGAGATCTGTGGCCTGGTGGCCCTGACCGACCTGCTCCTCTCCCAGAACCTGCTGGAGTCCATTCCGGACGGCATCGGTGAGCAAGTTGAATGGGGCGCGGTGGCACATAGGCATGCATGCCTGTGCATGGGGGTGCTGCTTTGGCGAGGCACATTGAGAGACTGAGTTGGAAGGCCATCACGGTGGAGCCCAAAAGCTTCATCGATTTACGTCCACCAGGAGTGGGACTAAAACTGGACGATGAGATGGATAATGTTTTTAATTAGGAGACACATTTGTGTTTTTATTACTTTTGTTGGGTTTTGCACTATGTATTAATGTTTTAAATGTTTTATTATGTTCTTGGGCTTCGAATCATTGCCTCTGTAAACCGCCCTGAGTTGCCTGAGGGCTGAGAAGGGCGGTATACCAGTATAGTCAATCTTATATAAATAAAAATGTAATGTTCGTTTGTGGGATTAGCAGAACTCAAAAACCACTGGATGAATTGACACCAAATTTGGCAGCAAAACACACTCTAATCCGATCTATGTCTTTCCAACAAAAAATGTAAAAAATGAAGGGGAAATAACTTAAAACTCCCCAAAATGAAAAATGCCTTACAGAGCATGTGCAAAAGCCCCTCTCCCCATTGCGCAAGAATGAAGCACCAACCGTTGTGAGGGAAGAGAAGCCTTGCCATGGAGTCCCTTTCCATGCAGGAAGGCAGAGTCCTTTTTCTTTTGGGGAGGGGAGGGATTGAAGAAAGGAAAGAGGGAAGGAAGGAGAAGGCCTGGCCCAATGGAGGGGTGGGAGCTTGGCGAGGCAAGCCCCGGCAGCAGCTGGAGCCACCGCATAGGCTCCATGAGGCCCATGGCAACACTTCCCCCAAGACCAGAGGATTGCAAGGCAAGCCAGGCTGCAGGAGCGGCAGCACCCCACCCCCACCCCATTGAGTGAAGGGAGGATGCGAACCATGAGAAGTCCATCCACTCTTCCACTTGGGCTCCACATCCCCCCTTTCACAAACACACACCACAAAAAACCCCTTTAAAAAACCCTTACAAACTGTCCTGGAAGAAGGAGGGGAAAGAAAGGGAAAGGAGAGAAGGAAGGAAGAAAAGGATTGGTGATTATGGATGGAAGGAAAGGTAGAAGGAAAGAAAGAGGAAGGAAGGGAAAGGGGCCAGAGATGGGAGAGGAAAGGAAGGGAAGAGCCGGGGAAGGAACAAAGAAAGAAAGAAAGAAAGAAAGAAAGAAAGAAAGAAAGAAAGAAAGAAAGAAAGGGGGAAACTGGTGAAAGGAAGAGAAGAATATAGAATCAGAGAGTCCTAGAGTTGGGAGAGACCTGGTGAGCCATCCAGGCCAACCCCATTCTGTGAAGAAGCAGGAAAATCACATTCAAAGCACTCCCGACAGATGGCCACCCAGCCTCTGTTTCAAAGAGGCTTTTTGGAGTGTTTTGGCCAGCATGAATATAACTGAAAAGCCTTGCAGCTTCAGTGGCTGCTTCTCATAAATCACGAGAAGAAGCCATGGCGTAAACATAACCTGAACGGCTTGTGACCCTGCTTCCCCGGCCCAGGCCAGCTGAAGCAGCTCTCCATCCTGAAAGTGGACCAGAACCGGCTGGCAGAGCTGACCGAAGCCATTGGAGACTGCACAAACCTCTCAGAGCTCATCCTCACTGAAAACCTGCTGCCGGTAGGTCTGCCCATAGGGCTGGTCTTCCTGGCTCGTGGACTTTTCGCCGGGTGGGTTGGAGGGCCGGGGCAGGTAGGCTGGTCATCCCGCGTTGCCTCTCTGCTGACCCCCTGGGGCCTCTTTCCAGACCCTGCCCAAGGCCCTGGGGAAATTGACCAAGCTGACCAACCTCAACGCGGACCGGAACCGGCTGGTGGCCCTCCCCCCGGAGATCGGCGGCTGCAGCAGCCTCAACGTCCTCTCCCTGCGGGACAACCGCCTGGAGTTCCTCCCCGCGGAGTTGGCTGGCACCACGGAGCTCCACGTCCTGGATGTGGCTGGGAACCAGTGAGCCTGGCGGGAAGTGGGGCGGGCATTTGTGCTCCTCCTTGTCCATGATTCTGTGTCCCCCTGCCCTAGAGAATGACTAGTTCTAGCACAGCCCTAGACATTGTTGAATGTGGCCTTATTCTTCCTACAATTACCCAGGTCAGTTCCTCTAATTGGCCCCGGAAATGAACAGCCATAGACCCGTACCTATTATTGTTGTTGCCTGGTATAGCACTGCACTTAATTCCCGGGCCCCCCAGAATTTTTGAGCTTGCACTAATCTTGGCCCGGCCTTTTAAATTGCCTTGAACAGGCAGGATTACTTTTAATATATATGTGTAATGCGACAATTTTTGTGCTTATATTGTTTTGTTAATCTTATATTTATGTTGTTTACTCTGTATGTATTGATGACGTTACTTGGAAACTGCTCTGAGTCCCCTCGGGGAGATGGAGCGGTATATACATTAAGGTTTATTATTATTATTATTATTATTATTATTAGCACCCTGGGCTCATTTGGGGGTCTGAGATCCCCCTCTGTTCTTGTCAGAAGATTCTGGCTCCATCCCACAGGCAACTGAAGTGAGGGGAGAGCCAAGGGCCTGGGAGGGCGGGGCTTGAGAGGTTGGCCTTGCCCAGCGACCCCTTTGTGACCTCTGACCCTGCTCCCTGCCCAGGCTGCAGCACCTGCCCTTTGCGCTGACCAGCCTCAACCTGAAGGCTCTCTGGTTGGCCGAGAACCAGTCGCAGCCCATGCTCAAGTTCCAGACCGAGGACGACGAGAAGACCGGCCAGAAAGTGCTGACCTGCTACCTCTTGCCCCAGCAGCCCTCCCCCAGCCTCGGTAAAGGGGAGGGGCGGTCATGGGAGGGGGGAACCAAGGAGCCCCTTCATGCTTCTGCCCCACTCATCCCTTCCTTCCTTCTTTCCTGGCAGAGAACCTCCTGCAGAGCAGTGTGGATGAGAGCTGGACGGACACCAACCTCAACCGGGTCAGCGTGATCCAGTTCATGGACGACCCCAAAACGGGGGAGGAGGAGGATGAAGACGAAGCGGGGGCAGAAAGGAGGGTGAGCAGCGGGCCCCCTGGGCCTCCCACCTGAGCTCTCGCCCGGCTTGCAGCGCCCACACTGATGGGAGGGAAGGGGTTTGCTGCAAGAGGAAGGCCCTATTGGTCACACTACTGGTCACACCACTCGGTGCTGGGCCGGCTTCCCCTCTCCTGGCTCTGGATAGCAGCAGGGGGGCTACTACTCTGACTGCCCAGGTGCTTGTGAGCCATTCAAGCTCTGTTGTCGAAGGCTTTCATGGCCAGAATCACTGGAGTCGAGGCCATACAGCCCGGAAAACCCACAGCAACCCATTCAAGGTGTGCATCTCTCATGCCCCCCCCCACTCCCACTTCTCCCCCCACCAGGGCCTGCAGCGGAGGGCCACCCCACACCCCAGCGAACTCAAGTCCATGAAGAAGGTGATGGAGGGCCGGCGCAGCGAGGCCAAGATGGCTGCCGAGAGGGGCGACCCTGGTTCAGAGGTGAGTAAACTCAGGCAAGGGGGGAGAGTGTGGGTGTTACAAATTTTGCGTGTTAGGGAAACTACCCCAAACAGCAGAGCATCCAAAATATGTAAAAGACAGGACAGTTGAGCATCCAGCTCACAGCAAGCAGAGCATCACGTGCCATGTGGCTGTAGAGAATGGAGATTTTGGGCAGGCAAAGATGCAGAGCGCTGTCTCTTTAAGACAGGGGGTTTGTTTACATTAAAGATAACTGCATTTATAAATATAATAATAAATAAAACTTTTATTTATATACCGTTTATATATCTTAAGAGTTCGCGCCAGTTCATAGAAAGAGATGCGATCGCGGAGATAGGCAGGGCCCGAACGGTTTAGGGCTTTATAGGCCATGACGGGAGCCCGCAGTGGTGCAGTGGGTTAAAACGCTGAGCTGCTGAGCTCGTTGATCGAAAGGTCACAGGTTCGATTCCGGGGAGCGGCGTGAGTTTCCGCTGTCAGCCCTAGCTTCTGCCAACCTAGCAGTTCAAAAACATGCAAATGTGAGTAGATCAATAGGTACCGCTCCGGCGGGAAGGTAGCGGCGTTCCATGCAGTCACGCTGGCCACCTGACCTTGGAGGTGTCTAGGGACAACGCCGGCTCTTCGGCTTAGAAATGGAGATGAGCACCACACCCCAGAGTCAGACATGACTGGACTTAATGTCAGGGGACTACCTTTACCTTTACTTTAGGTCGTGACCTGCACCTTGAATTTGGTTCGGCAACTTACTGGCAGCTAATGAAGCTGTTTTAATAGGGGCGTTGTATGCTCTCTATAGTTTGCTCCAGTAAGGAGCCTGGCTGCCGCCCGTTGTACCAATTGAAATTCCCAGGCCGTCTTCAAGGGCAGCCCCACGTAGAGCGCATTGCAGTAGTCCAGTCTGGATATAACCATTTCTCAGTCGTTAAGGTCTGGGCCTGATCTACTCCAACACCTATCTCTTCTAAGTTTTCAAAGAGGGGGAAATATCCAAGCACCACACCTCTTTGAGACGCACACGCCGAGAGAGAGACCTCAAAGCACCCAGCACATACTCTCCATACTCATGCAGAAAGCTAAATTCAGAAGGAAAGGCTTGCAGGAGAAAAGTGTGCATTCTCCATTACCAATCAGAATGAGAGTAGGAACAAAGAGGAGAAAAGAAAGATATACACTCCATCGATCATTCAGGGGGGGATGAGATTTTGTATTTTTAGCTAACTACTCGTTGAGGACTGCAAACTTGGGCAGTTTGAGGGTGAACTCCCAACACTGGGGACCAATGTGATCTGTGTTATTTGGGCTCATTTGGACCAGAGGGACGTCCCCCGCAGAGGAGAACCCACCAGCTCCCTCCTTGATCCCTGAGGTTGAGCCCCAGAAGAGCTGTTCCGAGGGTCTGGCTGGGGGTGGCTGTGCCATGGGGCTCTCTCCGCAAGGGAACTCTCTGCCCAACATCCTCATTCGAGGTCTGGATCTGCTTCCCCAACTGGTTCTGGGTGGCATTTCTAATTTCCAGAGAGCAGAAAGGACATACATTTGGCCCTGGATCTAAAACTTATCTGACATGTTTTGCGCTCTCTTTACAGAAGAGACACAGCGCCACTTCCAACCGCAGCGAGGACTCCCGCCTCTCCGGGAGCACCGTCTCCAGCAGCGGTCGCCCGGAGGAGGAGGAAGGCGAGGCGGCTCCCACGGCAACGAGAGGGGGCGAGGGAACGGGGGGCTTTGGGGCCGAGGAGAAGGGGCGACCACAGCAGGAGCTGGCCGCGCTGCAGGAGGCGGCAACGGGCCAAGAGGAGGAGGAGGAGGAAGAAGAAGAGGAAGAAGAGTACAGCGAGGTAGGCGCTAGGCATGGGCCAAAGGGGGGCCTTCCCTAGAGGGCCAGGCCTTGCAGGGTGGGGTGAGCTCAGAGAACGTGGAGCCCTGCACTACCTTCAGGGGGTGAGGTGTCCGGAGGCCGGGGAGGGGCAAGGGCAGGTGGAAGGAAGAGAGGGTGGCCAAACAGAGCTCCCAGTCTCCGTGGTTTCATCCTGCCGTCAAGTGTAAAAGGCTGGTCGGGTGCAAGAGCTATGACAGGACCCCCACGAAGCCATTCATTAGGCAGTGATGGGGACCCTGTCCACTCCTGCGGCCGCCCTGCCAAGGCTCTTGGGCTGCCGGCCATGTGCCCTGAAGCAGAAGGGGCCTTTCCTGCCCAGGAGTGAGGCCTCTGCTGAGACCCGAGGAAGGACACCAGATCCCTCCTACCCGCCTCTTCCCACTTTCTTTCTGGCCAAGACGTGCCGCTCAGGGTGGGGCTCTCTCCTGAGAGGAGTGTCTGGGTCAGTAGATTCTGCAGATGTTTAGACCTCCATCTCCAGGAATCCAAGCCAGTTTACCAGCTGTTTTCTGGGAGCTGAAGGCCAAAACACCTGGGGATCCACAGGGTGAGAAACACTGCACTACGTGCTGCTCCCGTCACTGGGGGAAAGTGTCATGGGGTCGCCCTTCTGTCTGCTTGACCTGCCCTGGTGACCGGAAAGGATTCTCCCAGGCCGGCTGTTCCAGAGCTCCTTTGAGGCCCTGTCTGCGCCATGCGATGGTCAGCCTGAAAGGGGGCTTGAATGTGCCCACCAGGAGCGGCTGAAGGAGTAGGCAAGTTACGCATTTGCGTAGAGCGCAAATCCCCAAGGGGTGTTCTTGAGGCGGCCCCAGGTGCAAAGGGAATGTCTTGATGCGGGTCAAAAACGGTGTCGAAAAAGCCTTCAGCACTGGTGTGGCATTCCTGGGCAACCAGCTGGTCCACTCACTAGCCTTGCAGCAACAACAACAAACAGAGCCTTCGAGCCAGCTGGGGGAGGCGGGGGCAAGGCTGCAAGGGATGCTGGGAGATGTAGTGCCTGCCTCCCGCTCAGAAAGGGTGGCCACCGAGTGACGGGACTCCAACTCCCAGGAAGCCGCGCGGCAGCAGAGATTGTGGGTGGAGTCTTTTCCAAAGGAGGGGAAGGAATGGAGGCTAGAGGAAAGTAAGTGGGAGATGTTCTCTAGGAAGTAACGTAAAGCACACCAAGTTGACCGCTTTCCACCCAGGGACCAGGCTCTGTCTCCCCTGAGAGGGCAATGGGCTGTTCCCAACCAAAGTAGTGGGCAGTGGCCGCATCGTCACCCAAAGGTAGATTATCCACTTGCAGGAGGCAAGGGTCCAGTGCCCGTTCTTGCTGGCTTTTCCTTGCCTGTCAATCCTGCGACCCCCCCCCCCCCATTTTTCATTGACATATGCTTTCAAGTCATTTCTGGAGCCCCCGGTGGCGCATTGGGTTGAACCATTGCACCAGCTGAACTGCTGACCAAAAGGTGGGCGGTTCAAATACAGGGAGTGGGGTGAGCTCCTGACTGTCAGCTCCAGCTTCCCATGTGGGGACATGAGAGAAGCCTCTCACAGGATGCTAATGTTGCAACCCAAAGCAGGAAACTGGACCCTCAGACAACAATCCACCACACTTGACTTCAGGAAAAACTATCCTTTTTTATTGATGAAAGATGAGTACAAAAATAGAGGAAATATGCAAGGTAAAAAGCCACAGCAAAAATCAGCAACAAGAAATGTCCATGAACAAGATCAAAACCCCACAGTAACACTGCTAAATCCTGGAGCCTGTTAGCAATCCACTAACTGTACTTGAAGCAACTAGGAAGCCTCTTAGGAATAAGGCCACTGGAATCAGGAGACCTGCCAAGGATGATGCTTGAATCTGGAACGATGCCTGGTCTGAAGATGCATCCAGGCGCGAGGTACTTAAGGCCGAGAAATCTATTACGTGACACGCCTGCAGGCTTTGTTTGCATTTCTCTCAGTCTAGCTGACCTTCGTAAACTTTGAGATTCTCCCCTGCTCTGCCAAATCTGCCCTCTCCTATCCTCATTAGAGAGACCAGGTGTCAGATTCTCTGGAGAGCTAAGACTGGGAGGAAAAGGGAGTGAAAGTTCATCGCTTGGCTCTGAAATATTCTCATGGGAATTTGGACTTTCACTTTCCAAGGCTGCAGGAGTTTCACTACACAAACCGTCATCTTCTACATTGCCCTCAGAATCAACATCTTCATTAGCATCAGGAAATACAATCAGAGAATCAGGTTCAGGTTCACACACAGGTTGAACCCCAACAGTTCAACATCCAGGAAACGTCCCCTGGGCAGTGTCCTTGCGGATGGCCGATTTTCTCACACCAGAAGCGACTTGCAGTTTCTCAAGTCACTCCTGACACAAAAAAGGAGTTCATTTCCAACTTAAGGTGCAAATTCCTTCTTTGGAGTCTGAGAGAGAGTGACTGCCCAGGTCCACTTCTCCGCCAAGGTCTCTTGTTGAGCCGAGGTTCAAACTCCTTGCGTGAGCACTGGCTCCCTTCTGCAGTGGTTGAGTCGGGGAGCCCCTCTGGGTGGTCCCCTTTGGCACCAGAGTTGAGGGCCACCTGATGGGGCCGGGGCAGTGGGGCTGGGGGTGGTGGTGGTGGGGGTTGCAGCCAAGGCCCTCTTCCTGAGCCCCCTCCCCCTTGGGGCCCTTCTCTCTCTCTCTCGCAGCCCACGGTCCACTTTGCGGAAGGCATCCGCGGCGGAGAGGAGGACGAGGACGAACAGGGGGGCCACTGGGGGGCCGGGGAGGAGGAGCCCCCCTTCCCCGCCGGGAAGCAGCGCCTGATCCGCAAGGACACCCCGCACTACAAGAAGCACTTCCGCATCGCCCAGCTGCCGCGACCAGAAGCAGTGGTGGCCCTCCTACAGGGACTGAGTGCGGATGGGGGGCCCCGCGTGGAGGAAGAGGAGGAGGAGGAGGAGGAAGTAGAGGAGGAGCAAGAGGAAGAAGAGTCAGAGAGGGCGCCGGAGGTGGCAGAGGAGGAGGAGGAGGAGGAGCGACCCCTGCGGACGGCCTGGGAGGAGGAGGAGGAAGCTCGGCTTGGGACCCCTGCCGCTCCGCCCTCGGTCAAGGTAGGGCTCCGGCTGGACGTGAACGGGGAGGGAACCGGGGGAGGGGGGCAGCGGTCCCACATCCGGGCTCTTCTCTTTTCGTTCCGTGGGTCCAGGAGGAGGGCCAGAGCGGGAGGTGGTAGGCCCATCTCTTCCATGTTTCAGCTTCTCTGTTTTCAGGTTGGGGGGGGGGTCTCCTTCTCACAGAGTGCACTATTTGGGGGGGGGGCAGACCATACAGGTGGGGTCTCCGATGCCATCCTATGCTCCAGCAGGGTCCCTCGCACTCTTTCATTGGCTCCCTCCCTCCCTCCCTCCTTCCTCTCTTTTGTCAACAGAGCCCCTGGCACTTCCTGGGGGGCAAGCAAGGGGGCTGCCCCTCCTCCCCCTCCTCCTCCTCCTTGTGGGTCTGTGCTGCGAGACCCTTCCTCCAGGCTCCATCCAAAGGGCCCTCCAGGGTGGGCTTGTTTGGGGAGACGGTCTGTGGGACTGAAGTGTTGGTGCACCTTGCAGAAGCAGCAGGATCCCTTGGGGGGCTGCCTGTCCTTGGACCCCCCCCTTGCCACTCTCCCCACTCGTCCCCACATCCTGGGCAGAGGAGCCAGGGAGGAGGAGGAGAAGGAGCTTGAGCTCGGCGGCTTCTGCCCCCCACCCCCACTTCCTTCTCTCCTTGCCCCTCTCCCCCTCCCCTTTTCTCTCTGCCTCTCCCCCCTGGTGTGGGTCTCCCTGGTGCCAGGGCTGGGGGTCTTCCTGCCTGCCCTTTGCCCTCTGCCCTCTGCCTGGCCTGCCTCTCCCGGTGGTGGTGGTGGTCCGTTCCCGCCCACTAATCCGCATGCTTCTTTCTGCCGGTTCCTGTCCTAACAGGGGGTGTCGTTTGATCAAGCCAATAACCTGCTGATTGAACCTGCTCGCATTGAGGAGGAAGAGGTCTGTACTGCTGCCAGCCCCCCTTCCTCCTCCTCCTCCTCCTCTTCCTCCTCCTTTTGCCTCCTCCCCATCTTCCAGGGTCCGAATGCGGGGGGGGGGGGGCAATCACTGGCCTCTGGACCACAGGAGACAAGGATCAGAAGGGTCTTCCACCCCCCTTGCAGCAGGTGGGGAGGGGTGGGGTGGTCCAGCAGGAGTGCGGCTGTGGGGCGCTTGTGCCGTGACGGAAGGGAGGCTGCCCATAGGACTCGCTGGGAAGCCTCGCCTTGGGACTCTTGGGCTCCTTTGCAGGAAAGGCATGCCCTGCCTGCAGGGCCCACCTCATCATCATCATCATAATAGAACTTGGAAAGACTTTATTTATACCCCACCACCATCCCCAGAGGGTCTTGGAGCGCCTTGCAAAGCACTCCAAGCCATGGCACAAAAGTAGGATAGGAATAGATAAAATAATAATAATACAAGTGAAGAGAGAGACCTCAATAATAATAATAATAATAATAATAATAATAATAATAATAATAATAACTCAAGCCAACAAGTATTGTTCTTCAGATACAATTTTAGGTCATTGTTCTAGAGCTTTTCACACTGAATTCAGATCTGTGTTTATTTTTTCCTCTATCTGGTGTACTTTTGCAATGAAGTTAATTTAATAATTAATGCATTTACAAGCTGATATCAATAGATTCTAATTTATAACTATAATTTACAGTGCGTAAATTGAGTCTTTCCTCAAGAGACACTCCAGAAAGGCCAGGATTAGTCTCATTGCAAAAACTACACATGGTAGAGAAAAAGGAAATAATAATAATAATATTTATTTATACCCTGCCACCATCTCCCCGATGGGGACTCGGGGCCGCTTACATGAGGCCAAGCCCAAACAACAAATTACAGCAAATAAAACCAAAAATGCAGACAATCATAATTACATAAAACATGTGAATACCTAACAATATAAAATTACAATAAGCACAATCACAGTGACAATGGGCGGGCTACATGTAATGATTAAAAGAAAAAACTAATTAAAAACTCAGGTGAGATAATAATAATAATGATAATAATGAAAAATGTATTGTCGAAGGCTTTCATGGCCGGAATCACTCAGTTCTTGTGGGTATTTTCGGGCTATATGGCCATGTTCTAGAGGCATTTCTCCTGACGTTTCGCCTGCATCTATGGCAAGCTTCCTCAGAGGTCTGCTGGAGCTGGGAAAAGGGGTTTATATATCTGTGGAATGACCAGGGTGAGACAAAAGGCTTTTGTAAGTTGGGCTAGGTGTGAATCTTTTCAACTGACCACCTTGATTAGCATACAATGGGCTGACAGTGCCTGGAGCAAACTCTTCTTGAAAGGTGATTAGATGTCCCTGCCTGTTTTTCTCTCTGCTGTCTTAAGTTTAGAATTTTTTAATACTGGTAGCCAGATTTTGTTCATTTTCATGGTTTCCTCCTTTCTGTTGAAATTGTCCACCTGCTTCTTGTGGATTTCAATGGCTTCTCTGTGTAGTCTGACATGGTGGTTGTGAGAGTGGTCCAGCATTTCTGTGTTCTCAAATAATGCTGTGTCCAGGCTGGTTCATCAGGTGCTCTGCTATGGCTGACTTCTCTGGTTGAAGTAGTCTGCAGTGCCTTTCATGTTCCTTGATGCGTGTTTGGGCAATGCTGCATTTGGTGGTCCCTATGTAGACTTGTCCACAGCTGCATGGTATACGGTAGACTCCTGCAGAGTGAGAGGATCCCTCTTGTCCTTTGCTGAACGTAGCATTTGTTGGATTTTCTTGGTGGGTCTGTAGATAGTTTGTATGTTGTGTTTCCTCATCAGCTTCCCTATGCGGTCAGTGGTTCCCTTGATGTATGGCAAGAACACTTTTCCTCTGGGTGGATCTTTGTCTTGACTCTCGTGGCTTGTTCTTGGTCTTGCAGCTCTTCTGATGTCTGAGGTGGAGTCTCCCTTGGCCTGGAGAGCCCAGTTGAGGGGGTTCAGTCCATCTTGGAGGAGGTGGGCTTCGCAGATTCTTTTTGCACGGTCTGCCAAGGCTTGAATGGGGCTTCTTTTTTGACTTGGGTGATGGTTGGAGTTTTTATGTAGATATCTATCTGTGTGTCAATTTCAACAGAAAGGAAGAAACCATGAAAATGAACAAAATCTGGCTACCAGTATTAAAAAATTCTAAACTTAACAGCAAAAACAGCAGAGAGAAAAACAGGCAGGGACATCTAATCACCTTTCAAGAAGAGTTTGCTCCAGGCACAGTCAGCCCATTGTATGCTAATCAAGGTGGTCAGCTGAAAGATTCACACCTAGCCAAACTTACAAAAGCCCTTTGTCTCACCCTGGTCATTCCACAGATATATAAACCCCTTTTTTCCCAGTTCCAGCAGACCTCACCTCTGAGGATGCTTGCCATAGATGCAGGCGAAACGTCAGGAGAAATGCCTCTAGAACATGGCCATATAGCCCGAAAAAACCCACAAGAACTGAATAATAATGAAACTTTATTTATACCCCGCCACCATCTCCCCAAGGGACTTGGAGCGACTTACATGAGGCCAAACCCAACAGTACATCAATAAACAAAAGCAATAAACAAAAACAATAAATACAATACAATTAATATAAATCACAAATCACTGCTTTGAGTCGCCTGAGAGCTGAGAAAAGCAGTATATAAATAAAGTAAATAAATATAAACAATAACTAATAAACAGTAACACACAGGGATTTAAAAACCTATGGCTGGCCGAAATGTAATATTTTAAAAATTAAAAAATAAACGCTGGGCATGAACAAGGTAGGATATAACTGGTATAGGGTTTTCAAAGAGAGATGAGGGAATGCAGTCAGTCCTAAACCAGTAGTAAAGTGCATTCTGAGAATGTTCCTTATTCTAGGAAGGCACGCTAGAACAGATAAAGGAGAAGCAGGGTCTTCGGGGAGAAGGGCTCATTCAGCGCAATCTGAATTCAGCGCGAAAAATTCTATTATAAGAAAGACCTAAAATTGTATCTGAAGAAAAATACTTGTTGGCTTGTGTTGCATGAATATGATGTGCCGCTTTGATTCCTCCCCCCCCCCCCAGGGGTGAGAAAGGCAGTATATAAATACTGTAAATAAATAAATATGCAGACTTTATAGTACTCGGCTGTAATATACCATTCGTCGTATGCATAAATGCATTAATTATTCGATTCGTTGCATTGCAAAAACTACAGCCGATAGAGAAAAAATAAAAGATCTGAATTCAGTGGAAACGTATAAAATACGATACCCTGCAATTGAGGAGGCCCCGGTGGCGGTGAGGAAGAGGAAGGTAAAGAGGGTGAGGAAGAAGAGCCGCTCCCTCACCCTCTTTACCTTCCTCTTCCTCGTCGCTCAAGCGGCAGCAAGAGGCCCCGGCAGCGACGAGGAAGAGGAAGGTAAAGAGGGTGAGGGAGAGGCTCTTCTTCCCTCCTTACTACAGCATTCCCTCACTACGTAATATATATATATATATTTAAAAACCTCAAAACAGCAAGTCCGCAGTAAGTGAACCACGAAGTAGCGAGGGAGCACTGTAATGCCAAAAAAAAAATAATAATAACACAATGACAGCCAACATAAATATCTCATGTAGGGCCACGTTGGGCCCTCTGCCATAGGGAAGGTCCGCCTCCCTGCTTCCCCCCCCCCCAAATAAAAACAGGTATTTTGCTCTTACTTATCTTATAATCGCTTTGAGTCCCCCTCGGGGTGAGAAAAGCGATATATAAATGCTGTAAATAAATAAATATTAAATTATCTGCTCCGAGCCCATATTGGAGGGGTGTTGCGGCCTCATTGCGGCCAACCTTCCACTGCATGGCTATGGATGTCTTGGCAAGGAGGTTAAGGAACCCCAGAAGCACCAGGACGGCGTGCCCCAGCAGACACCCACCCCCACCCTCTTTAGCCTTGTCCAGCTTCTGCATGACTAGGAAGTGACTCCCTTTGAATGAAACGGGGGTCTGGGCCGGGCCATGAGTCTGCCTCCAGGCTCTGTGCCCAGGGGGTCCCGCTCCCCCTCCTCAAGAGAGACTCCAGAGAGGCCAGGATGAGTGGGAAATGGGACCGACCCCGCCCCCAGGATCCCCACCACTTACGTGTGTACTTGTTGCGCCCCCCTAGAAAGAAGTGGGGAGGGTGGCCAGCTGTTTCCCCATCCGGAGAAAGAAGGCGCACCTGCCCTGGGGTTTCCAGTGGAAGTGCGGCCCCTTCCCTGGTCAAGCGTCCACTCTGTTCCTCCCTGGAAAAGGGGCGTTGTGGAGGGAGGGCTCTCTCTCTCTCCTGGGTCCTTCCGTTTGTGGGGGGGGGGGGGTACCTGTATCTCTGGTGCCCGCCCTGCTGACCAAGACCCCCCCTCCGGCCTCCCTCTCTTCCAGCTGACCCTGACCATCGTGCGCCAGACCGGGGGGCTGGGCATCAGCATCGCGGGGGGCAAGGGCTCCACCCCCTACAAGGGGGATGACGAGGTAACGCTGCTCCTGTTGTGGGGGCGCTCGGTGGGGGCCCATCACTGGCGGGGAGCATGAACGCCCACCAGCCGCTCGCCCCTTTTGCTCCAAGGCTTGTCTCTCCTTCCTCCCTTCCCTCCTTCAGGGCATCTTCATTTCCCGCGTCTCCGAGGAGGGTCCGGCTGCACGCGCAGGGGTGCGAGTGGGGGACAAGCTCCTGGAGGTGAGCCGGGGGGGGGGAGGGGGTCGTGGGGGTGTTCTCCTGTGGGGTCTCCAAGGGGCAACCTGATCCACAGCGGGATTTTGCTCAGAAACAGGCTGGCAGAGCAGTGGGCTCTCTCCAGCTGCATTCCCAGTGGCTTTTTGGAGGTTGGGTATAAATATGGTCAATAAATAAATAAGTAAATAAATATTGAGCAGGCGGGGCCAGCATTCCAGTTTTCAATGTGCCAGACTGGCCACTGAATCCAGAAGGACCGCCAACTTGTGTATGAACCCCACTCATGCAATAATAATAACAACAACAACAACAATAATAATAATAATACTCAAGCCAACAAGTATTTTTCTTCAGATACAATTTTAGGTCATTCTTACATAACGTTTCGCGCTGAATTCAGATCTGTGTTCATTTTTTCTCTACCACATGTCGTTTTTGTAATTAATTAATGCATTTACATTACATCAATTAATATCAATTTGTAAATGCATTAACTATTCAATTAGTCTCATTGCAAAAACTACATGTGGTAGAGAAAAAAATAAACACACATCTGAATTCAGCACGAAAACTCTTATTATAAGAATGACCTAAAATTCTATCTGAATAAAAATACTAGTTGGCTTCTGTTACATGAATATGATGCGAAATGTGCAGGCTTTATTGTAGTCCACTGTAATGTAGCATTTGTCATATTTTGAAAAGTTGATGTGATGGGGAAAAGATAAAAGACATATTTAGAATCGGCATAAGCATTTGTGTCAACTGCTATTCTAGTTTCTAATGATTACAAAAACTTTTCATTGGTTTGTGTAATAATCATAATAATAATCATAATAATAATATAGAAGTTGGGTCTAAGAATGGGGTGGGAGATAGTGACAGGATTCCTGCTTGGTCTTGCTTGCAGGTGGGCAGGTGGGCCACCTTTAACACCTGAAGTGATCTGGGTTTGTCTTGCATGTGGTCAGGAAGGGCCAGACTAGGCTGACCACTTCCCCACTCACGCCCTCATCCCTGTCTCTCCCCCCGCCAGGTAAATGGCGTGTCGCTGCACTGTGCGGAGCACCACTTGGCAGTGGAAGCCCTGCGGGGGTCCGGCAGCTCCGTCTCCATGACCGTCCTGCGGGAGCGGATGGTGGAGCCCGAGAACGCCGTCACGGTGACCCCGCTGCGCCCCGAGGATGACTACAGCCCCCGGGAGAGGAGGGGCGGCCTGCAGTTCCCTGAGCGGCCGGACGGAGCCGGCCCCCCCACGGAGCGCCTCTCCGCCTGCCTCACGCGCAATGAGCGTGGCCTAGGCTTCAGCATCGCAGGTGGCAAGGGCTCCACCCCATATCGGACGGGGGACACGGTGAGTCATTGGGGTCAAAGGGTGCCATGGGAGCAAGGGGCGGCCCCCACCCCACCCTTGTCATGAATACTTTTAAAACAAAGGTTCTTTTTATTGTAACGTTCAGTGTGAGAGGGTACTTCAGGACGACATTAGGCATACAGATTCTATGTAACTACTAGGCATGGATAGAGCTGCGTCAGATAACCCGTTGCTCGTAAAAATTTCGTTAAAATTAACTTTTTGAAGCTATATCGAAGTTTTTAAAAAAACCGGAAGTCCCTTTGCCCTTCCGAAGCTTTTTCTGCCATTTTTGTTACGGATCAGGATGTGAGTCGGAAGTGATTCAGCTTTTCTCTGCTTCTGGTCCCTGGCTTCGGCTCAAGCCAGAGAAGCCAGTTTTAAACCAGAGAAGGAAGGAATTTCCTCGGCTTCTAAGCCAGAGAAGCCAGTTTTAAACCAGAGAAGGAAGGAATTTCCTGACCTTGGCTCTAGCCAGAGAAGCCAGTTTTAAACCAGAGAAGGAAGGAATTTCCTGGCCTCGGCTCAAGCCAGAGAAGCCAGTTTTAAACCAGAGAAGGAAGGAATTTCCTGGCCTCGGCTCAAGCCAGAGAAGCCAGTTTTAAACCAGAGAAGGAAGGAATTTCCTGCCTCAGCTCAAGCCAGAGAAGCCAGTTTTAAACCAGAGAAGGAAGGAATTTCCTGGCCTCAGCTCAAGCCAGAGAAGCCAGTTTTAAACCAGAGAAGGAAGGAATTTCCTGGCCTCGGCTCAAGCCAGAGAAGCCAGTTTTAAACCAGAGAAGGAAGGAATTTCCTGGCCTCGGCTCAAGCCAGAGGCCAGTTTTAAACCAGAGAAGGAAGGAATTTCCTAGCCATCAGCATCAAGGCTCAAGAGAAGCAATTTAAAAAACGAGAAGAGAGTGATTTCCTGACTGCGAGCTCAGCTCAAGAAGCCATTTTGAAAACCAGAGAGGAGAGAATCTTCGAAATTGCTTCGGCCAAGCCAGATAAAAGAACGCATTGTGTGAAAACTGCAGATAAGTGAAGGAGATTACCTTTTTGAAGCGATATTGAAGCTTTTTTAAAAACCGGAAGTCCCTTAGCCCTTCCAAAACGTTTTCTGCCATTTTTTTTACGACTCAGGAAGTGAGTCAGAAATGATTCAGCTTTTCCTCGCTTCTGATCCCTGGCCTTGGCTCAAGCCAGTGACACCAGTTTTAAACCAGAGAAGGAAGGAATTTCCTGGCCTCTCTTCGAGCCAGAGAAGTCAGTTTTAAAGCCATAGAAGCCAGTTTTAAACCAGAGAAGGAAGGGTTTTCTTGGCCTCGGCTCAAGCAAGAGAAGCCAGTTTTAAAGCCAGAGAAGGAAGGAATTTCCTGACCTCGCCTCAAGCCAGAAAAGCCAGTTTTAAACCAGAGAAAGAAGGAAATTCCTGGCCTCGGCTCAAGCCAGAGAAGCCAGTTTTAAACCAGAGAAGGAAGGAATTTCCTGGCCTCGGCTCAAGCCAGAGAAGCCAGTTTCAAACCAGAGAAGGAAGGAATTTCCTGGCCTCGGCTCAAGCCAGAGAAGCCAGTTTTAAACCAGAGAAGGAAGGAATTTCCTGACCTCGGCTCAAGCCAGAGAAGCCAGTTTTAACCAGAGAAGAAAGGGATTTCCTGGCCTCGGCTCAAGCCAGAGAAGCCAGTTTTAAACCAGAGAAGAAAGGGATTTCCTGGCCTCGGCTCAAGCCAGAGAAGCCAGTTTTAAACCAGAGAAGGAAGGAATTTCCTGGCCTCGGCTCAAGCCAGAGAAGCCAGTTTTAAACCAGAGAAGGAAGGAATTTCCTGGCCTCGGCTCAAGCCAGAGAAGCCAGTTTTAAACCAGAGAAGGAAGATTTCCTGGCCTCGGCTCAAGCCAGAGAAGCCAGTTTTAAACCAGAGAAGGAAGGAATTTCCTGGCCTCGGCTCAAGCCAGAGAAGCCAGTTTTAAACCAGAGAAGGAAGGAATTTCCTGGCCTCGGCTCAAGCCAGAGAAGCCAGTTTTAAACCAGAGAAGGAAGGAATTTCCTGGCCTCGGCTCAAGCCAGAGAAGCCAGTTTTAAACCAGAGAAGGAAGGAATTTCCTGGCCTCGGCTCAAGCCAGAGAAGCCAGTTTTAAACCAGAGAAGGAAGGAATTTCCTGGCCTCAGCTCAAGCCAGAGAAGCCAGTTTTAAAGCCAGAGAAGGAAGGAATTTCCTGGCCTCGGCTCAAGCCAGAGAAGCCAGTTTTAAACCAGAAAGGGAAGGGATTTCCTGGCCTCGGATCAAGCCAGAGAAGCCAGTTTTGAACCAGAAAGGGAAGGGATTTCCTGGCCTCGGCTCAAGCCAGAGAAGCCAGTTTTAAACCAGAAAGGGAAGGGATTTCCTGGCCTCGGCTCAAGCCAGAGAAGCCAGTTTTAAACCAGAAAGGGAAGGGATTTCCTGGCCTCGGCTCAAGCCAGAGAAGCCAGTTTTAAACCAGAAAAGGAAGGGATTTCCTGGCCTCGGCTCAAGCCAGAGAAGCCAGTTTTAAACCAGAGAAGGAAGGAATTTCCTGGCCTCGGCTCAAGCCAGAGAAGCCAGTTTTAAACCAGAGAAGGAAGGAATTTCCTGGCCTCGGCTCAAGCCAGAGAAGCCAGTTTTAAACCAGAGAAGGAAGGAATTTCCTGGCCTCGGCTCAAGCCAGAGAAGCCAGTTTTAAACCAGAGAAGGAAGGAATTTCCTGGCCTCGGCTCAAGCCAGAGAAGCCAGTTTCAAACCAGAGAAGGAAGGGATTTCCTGGCCTCGGCTCAAGCCAGAGAAGCCAGTTTTAAACCAGAGAAGGAAGGGATTTCCTGGCCTCGGCTCAAGCCAGAGAAGCCAGTTTCAAACCAGAGAAGGAAGGGATTTCCTGGCCTCGGCTCAAGCCAGAGAAGCCAGTTTTAAACCAGAGAAGGAAGGGATTTCCTGGCCTCGGCTCAAGCCAGAGAAGCCAGTTTTAAACCAGAGAAGGAAGGAATTTCCTGGCCTCGGCTCAAGCCAGAGAAACCAGTTTTAAGCCAGAGAAGAAAGGGATTTCCTGGCCTCGGCTCAAGCCAGAGAAGCCAGTTTTAAACCAGAGAAGGAAGGAATTTCCTGGCCTCGGCTCAAGCCAGAGAAGCCAGTTTTAAACCAGAGAAGGAAGGAATTTCCTGGCCTCGGCTCAAGCCAGAGAAGCCAGTTTTAAACCAGAGAAGGAAGGAATTTCCTGGCCTCGGCTCAAGCCAGAGAAGCCAGTTTTAAACCAGAGAAGGAAGGAATTTCCTGGCCTCGGCTCAAGCCAGGGAAGCCAGTTTTAAACCAGAGAAGGAAGGAATTTCCTGGCCTCGGCTCAAGCCAGAGAAGCCAGTTTTCAACCAGAGAAGGAAGGAATTTCCTGGCCTCGGCTCAAGCCAGAGAAGCCAGTTTTAGAACCAGAGAAGGAAGGAATTTCCTGGCCTCAGCTCAAGCCAGAGAAGCCAGTTTTAAACCAGAGAAGGAAGGAATTTCCTGGCCTCGGCTCAAGCCAGAGAAGCCAGTTTTAAACCAGAGAAGGAAGGAATTTCCTGGCCTCGGCTCAAGCCAGAGAAGCTAGTTTTAAACCAGAGAAGGAAGGAATTTCCTCCGCTTGCTTTTCCTCTGCTTGCTTTTTCCCACTTCTAGAGTAAAACAACCACCCAATGAAACAGAAAATAACACTTTCAAACCATTAACGAAAGGATTCGGAAGTCTCAGAAGTTTTGAAAAGTTTTGAACATTTTTTCTGTGAAAATCGGAATTGACTTTAGAATCGAACCACCAGTGCCCCCTACATCCGAAATGAGTTTTGAACCATTTTTTTTAAGGAGTGTGGGTGTCCTTTTGTGATGATATTTATCTTAAATGTATTTACTTGTGTTAATTGCACTCATAGAATCCTAGAATCCAAGAGTTGGAAGAGACCTCATGGGCCATCCAGTCCAACCCCATTCTGCCAAGAAGCAGGAATATTGCATTCAAATCACCCCTGACAGATGGCCATCCAGCCCCTGTTTAAAAGCTTCCAAAGAAGGAGCCTCCACCACACTCCGGGGCAGAGAGTTCCACTGCTGAACGGCTCTCACAGTCAGGAAGTTCTTCCTAATGTTCAGATGGAATCTCCTCTCTTGTAGGATATATTCAATATATTCATGCATCCACCCTCATGCATACATCACCATTTCTCCATTCTTCCTCCGTGAAGGACATCTCTTGGGCCAGACTGCTTCCTTGCGGCCTGCCAACACAAAGTTTCCAAATTTCCAGAACTTCTAAAACCACAATTTTAGTTATTTTCTAAAAGAGAGGAGGGAGGACGCCAATCTGATGTTGCTGGGGAGTGAATTCCACAAACGGGGGGCCACCACTGAGAAGGCCCTGTCCCTCGTCCCCACCAGACGTGTTTGCGAAGCCGGTGGGACCGAGAGCAGGGCCTCCCCAGTAGATCTTAAATGACGAGGTGGAACGTAGAGGGAGATACGTTCGGACAAGTCGATCAATAGGTACCACCTTGGCGGGAAGGTAACAGTGCTCCATGCAGTCCTGCCTGTGGCCACATGACTTTGGAGGTGTCTATGGACAACGCCAGCTCTTCGGCTTAGAAATGGGGATGAGCCCCACAACTGGACGTAATGTCAGGGGAGAACCTTGGCCTTTGCTATACAACTTTCATTCAGTTCATTCAAACCATACATCTTATTTTTGATTGTGACACTGTGGGAGAGAGCCTGGCCAGGTTGGCAGGCAGCGAGGGTGACACGCGATCCCTCCGCCGCCCACCGATGCCGCCCGGCCAGGCCTATTTCTGGCTTGGCTGACGTGAGCCTCTGCTCGCCCTGCCCGGTGTGGGGGGAGGCACTGCCCTGCTTCCCTCCTGGAGTTTTCTGGGGGTGACTTTCTCTGGGGGGCCCTGGCCGGCCCCTCTTCTTCTCCGCAGGGGATCTTCATCTCTCGGATTGCGGAGGGCGGCGCGGCCCATCGGGACGGGACCCTGCGAGTGGGAGACAGGGTCATCCTGGTAAGTCTTTGGGGCCGGAGGGGCTTCTGACCGGCACAAACGGGGGTGGGGGTCACTTCACACCCCCCCTTCCCTTCCCAGAGTACGTGGTCCTCTTCTGGTGGGCCAGGGACGGTGGGCCACCTCTCAGCAGGGCGGGTCTTGGGGCCTTCCTGTCTTTTTCTCGGGCCTTTGGAGGGGGGCCCGGGGCCCTCGTGGAGGGAGTGGTGTCTTTCTTTCCAATCTTCTTTCCCCCCCCCCTCCCCCCTCTCCCCCCAAATCTTCTGGCTTCTTCCAGCCTTCCTTGGAGGGGGGCTGCCTCTCTGCCCAGCAGCCTTGGCAAGAGCAAGTGGGGCTCCAGTGGGGTAAGCCCCGAGACGGCCTGGTCAGTGCTGGCTTCCGTCCGTCTGTCCGTCTGTCTCTGCCTGGCCTGCCTGCTCCGCCCCCCCTGCCCCCGCCTGCCCCTTCTTTCCTTTTCTTCTCTCTGCTGGCTATTCCTTTCAGTCTCTTCAGCCCCCCAAATGGTGACAGAGGCAAAGGGTGGGTGGGGGGAGGGAGGGAGGGAGAGGCCAGCCCCCCCTTCCTGCACAGAGCCCCCTTTTGTTCCCCATCGTCTTCTGGGGCAGGCTTTGGGGAGGAAGGGGGGGGCGTTGGGGGCCTCGTCCCGCGATGCCCGGCTGTGCTCCCGGGAGGCGTCCGGCCCAGGGCGCTCTTCCTCTCCTTTGGGGGCGGCCGACTTGACGCTGGTTTGGGGCCCTTCCAGATCAATGGGGTAGACATGACGGAAGCCAGGCATGACCAGGCCGTAGCGCTGCTTACCGCCGCCTCCCCCTCCATTGCCCTCCTGGTTGAGAGAGAGGCTGCCTCCACCGCTGCCGCTGCTGCACTTCTTCCGGGTGAGGGGGCCCCCGCTGCTGCCCAGGGGCTCCGTGCCCAGAGGGCCCCCTCCCCACCCCCAGCGCCGCTGACCGCTCACCGAGGGAGCCCCACTGAGGAGGAGGAGGAAGAAGACAACGAGGAGGAGATGCCTGGACAGCACTGCCGCCGGACCCATCCCCTCGAGGGCCAGTTCCCTGTGGAGGTAGGGGGGGCAGGGGTCATGGCGAGAGGGGATCCTTGGGAGTGAAAGGCTGGCTTCAACTGTTGGGCGAGTGGGCTTATTAACAAAAGACCTTCCTCATAAATGAACAACAGGGTAACTCTGCAGTAGCAACAGCGTGACCCAGCACCAGGAGCTCAAAGTGGTAGAAGGAACACAAACACACAGACCAGTGTCATCACTTCCATAGGAGGCTTGTCTTTAAAGCAAAATAATATGGTTGCAATATTTACAAAACCAAGGTTTCCATAACACAAATAAAAGTTCGGCCTGCACATCGGAAGCCTTCTCATACTGAGGCCTTTTCATAATGAGGCCTACCTCACACTGAGGCCTTCTCCTAATGAGGCCTTCTCATAATGAGACCTACCTTATACTGAGGCCTTCTCATAATGAGGCCTACCTCACACTGAGGCCTTCTCATAATGAGGCTTTCTCATAATGAGACCTACCTTATACTGAGGCCTTCTCATACTGAGGACTTCTCCTAATGAGGCCTACCTCACACTGAGGCCTTCTCATAATGAGGCCTTCTCATAATGAGACCTACCTTATACTGAGGCCTTCTCATACTGAGGACTTCTCATAACGAGGCCTACCTCACACTGAGGCCTTCTCATAATGAGGTCAACCTCACACTGAGGTATTCTCATACTGAGGCATTCTCATAACGAGGCCTACCTCACACTGAGGCCTACCTCACACTGAGGCCTTCTCATAATGAGGCCTACCTCACACTGAGGCCTTCTCATAATGAGACCTACCTTATACTGAGGCCTTCTCATAATGAGGCCTACCTCACACTGAGGCCTTCTCATAATGAGGCTTTCTCATAATGAGACCTACCTTATACTGAGGCCTTCTCATACTGAGGACTTCTCCTAATGAGGCCTACCTCACACTGAGGCCTTCTCATAATGAGGCCTTCTCATAATGAGACCTACCTTATACTGAGGCCTTCTCATACTGAGGACTTCTCATAACGAGGCCTACCTCACACTGAGGCCTTCTCATAATGAGGTCAACCTCACACTGAGGTATTCTCATACTGAGGCATTCTCATAACGAGGCCTACCTCACACTGAGGCCTTTTCATAACGATGCCTACCTCACACTGAGGCCTTCTCATACTGAGGACTTCTCATAACAAGGCCTACCTCACACTGAGGCCTTCTCATAATGAGGCCTACCTCACACTGAGGCCTTCTCATAATGAGGCCTACCTCACACTGAGGCCTTCTCATAATGAGGCCTACCTCACACTGAGGCCTTCTCATAATGAGACCTACCTTATACTGAGGCCTTCTCATAATGAGGCCTACCTCACACTGAGGCCTTCTCATAATGAGGCTTTCTCATAATGAGACCTACCTTATACTGAGGCCTTCTCATACTGAGGACTTCTCCTAATGAGGCCTACCTCACACTGAGGCCTTCTCATAATGAGACCTACCTTATACTGAGGCCTTCTCATACTGAGGACTTCTCATAACAAGGCCTACCTCACACTGAGGCCTTCTCATAATGAGGCCTACCTCACACTGAGGCCTTCTCATAATGAGGCCTTCTCATAATGAGGCCTACCTCGCACTGAGGCTTTCTCATACTGAGGACTTCTCATAATGAGGCCTACCTCACACTGAGGCCTTCTCATAATGAGGTCTACCTCACACTGAGGCATTCTCATACTGAGGCCTTCTCATAACGATGCCTACCTCACACTGAGGCCTACTAACATTGAGGACTTCTCATACTGAGGTAAACTAACACTGGAGCCTTCTCATACTGAGGCTTCTCTCAAACTGAGGTTTTCCTAAGCAACAGGCACACCTGCTTATATTGAACTCCAGTTTTGGCTGAGTCATTGCATCCATTTAACCCTTTCAGTGCTTGACTCACATTTTAGAGATAAGATAAAGAGTTAGAGATAAGATCCCTCCCCCTCCTCCCCCAGCACCAACTGCCGCTCTGGGCCCAAGTGAAGAGAAAGCGGGGGCAGAAGGCAGTCCCACTTTGTCTCCTGTGCCATTCTCATAATATAATATAACATAATATAATATATTGTATGTACATATAATATTTATAATATTATAATGTAATGCAATATAGTACTAATAATATATTATAATTATTTATTTATATTATATGTAATATTGATAATAACAGTACAATATAATGGTATAGTACAATACAGTAATATATAATACTGATATAGTGCTATGCTAATAATATAATACATTGTATATAAATATATTTATAATATTATAATGTAATACAATACTACTGATAATAATATATTATAATTATATTATAATCCTCACTACCCCTGAGGATACTTGCCATAGATGCAGGCGAAACGTCAGGAGAGAATGCCTCTAGACCATGGCCATAGAGCCCGAAAAAACCTACAACAACCTAATATATTATAATTATATATTGATATTACATGTAATATTGCTAATAATATTACAATATAATGGTATAGTACAATACAGTAATATATAATACTGATATTGTACTATGCTAATAATGTAATACATTGTATATACATATATTTATAATATTATAATGTAATACAATACTACTACTAATAATATATTATAATTATATATTTTACATTACATGTAATATTACTAATAACATTACAATATAATGGTATAGTACAATATAGTATATAATATTGATATTGTGCTATGCTAATAATATACATTGTATATACATATATTTATAATACTATAATGTAATATATTATAATCCTCACAACCTCTGAGGATGCTTGCCATAGATGCAGGCGAAACGTCAGGAGAGAATGCCTCCAGACCATGGTCATAGAGCCCGAAAAAACCTACAACAACCTAATATATTATAATTATATATTTATATTACATGTAATATTGCTAATAATATTACAATATAATGGTATAGTACAATACAGTAATATATAATACTGATGTTGTGCTATGCTAATAATATAATACATTGTATATAAATATATTTATAATATTATAATGTAATGCAATATACTAATAATATAATTATATATTTTATATTACATGTAATATTGCTAATAATATTACAATATAATGGTATAGTACAATAAAGTAATATATAATACTGATATAGTGCTATGCTAAAAATATAATACATTGTATATACAATATTTATAATATTATAATGTAATACAATACTACTGATAATAATATATTATAATTATATTGTAATCCTCACTACCCCTGAGGATACTTGCCATAGATGCAGGCGAAACGTCAGGAGAGAATGCCTCTAGACCATGGCCATAGAGCCCGAAAAAACCTACAACAACCTAATATATTATAATTATATATTGATATTACATGTAATATTGCTAATAATATTACAATATAATGGTATAGTACAATAGAGTAATATATAATACTGATATTGTGCTATGCTAATAATATAATACATTGCATATAAATATATTTATATTATAATGTAATACAATACTACTACTAATATATTATAATTATATATTGATATTACATGTAATATTGCTAATAATATTACAATATAATGGTATAGTACAATACAGTAATATATAATACTGATGTTGTGCGATGCTAATAATATAATACATTGTATATAAATATATTTATAATATTATAATGTAATACAATATAATATTACTAATAATAATGCAATATTATAATTATATTTTATATTACAAGTAATATTGCTAATAATATTACAATATAATGGTATAGAACAATATAGTAATGTATGATACTGATCTTGTGCTATGCTATAATACATTGTATATGCATATATTTATAATATTATAATGTAATGCAATATACTACTACTAATATATTATAATTATATATTTATATTACATGTAATATTGATAATATTACAATATAATGGTATAGTACAATATAGTAATATATAATATTGATATTGTGCTATGCTAATAATATAATACATTGTATATACATATATTTATAATATTATAATGTAATGCAATATACTACTACTAATAATATATTATAATTATATATTGATATTACATGTAATATTGCTAATAATATTACAATATAATGGTATAGTACAATATAGTATATAATATTGATATTGTGCTATGCTAATAATATAATACATTGTATATACATATATTTATAATATAATGTAATACAATACTACTAATAATAATATATTATAATTATATATTTTACTACATGTAATATTACTAATAATTTTACAATATAATGGTATAGTACAATATAGTAATATTTAATATTGATATTGTGCTATGCTAATAATATATTGTTTATTCATATAGTATTTATAATATTATAATGTAATGCAATATACTAATAATATAATTATATATTTTATATTACATGTAATATTACTAATAATGTTACAATATAATGTTATAGTACAATACAGTAATATATAATAGTGATATTGTGCTATGCTAATAGTATAGTATATTATATGTATATATATATATATACTTTTTAAGCCGCTCTGAGTCCCCTTTGGGGTGAGAAGGGTGGCATATAAAGGTCCCAAATAAATAAATAAATTTGAAATTAAATTAAATTAAAAATATCTAGTTAATTTTTTGTATTTCTGACAGTGCGGATGGGCCAATGGCAGCCTTTTTTGGGGAGGGGGCCTTTGGGGGGACGATCAGGGCACCTCCTTTCTTGCCTTCCCGGCCTCAACTTTCCCACTTGTGCCTTCCTGCCCCGCTCCCCTTTTGCAGGAGGTGTGCCTCGTCAAAGCTGGGGGGCCGCTGGGGCTCAGCATCGTGGGGGGCAGCGTGGGGGGGCAGTCGGGGGGACAAACTTTGGGAAGGGAAAAAAATCAGCCACGCGGGCCTTCGGTCAGCTCCTATAGAGATCCGTGGGGGTCTTCAGTCTCCAAGGTAAGGGCCCAGTGGCATCCTCTTGGGGGGGGGTTGTGGCTCTGCACCTGCCCCCTTTCCTCCCCCTTTGAGAGAGCCCCTGCTCCATGGTGCCTGTGCCCCCATCCCATGCCTCCCTTGCAGGTGATCCCTCAGGGCCTGGCCGCCCGGAGCGGGCTGCGTGTTGGGGACCGGATCCTGGAGGTGAACGGCGTGGATTTGCGCCACGCGAAGCACCAGGAGGCAGTCAGTGCCCTGCTCTCCTCGGCACAGGAGCTGCAGATGGTGGTCCGGAGGGACCCTCCCCCACCTGGCATGGAGGTAGGAAGCTGGGACGTTGGGGTGGGGGCAGAAGAGGCTTGGAGGGGGTCAAGGCCCGTCGCTCCCCCTTGGATCACCCCCAACCCCTGTTTCCTTTCTGCCTTGGGCTGCAGGAGATCTGCATTGAGAAGCGGCCGGGGGAGAAGCTGGGCATCAGCATCCGAGGGGGGGCCAAGGGCCACGTGGGGAACCCCTTCGACCCCACGGACGAAGGCATCTTCATCTCCAAGGTATGCTTGGGTGGGGGGCGTGAGGGGGGAATTGCCAAGTAGTCAGCCTGGCTGCCTGGGGAGCTGTTGCTCCTGGCCTCGGTCAGCGGGGCTCTCAGCCAAAGCACTGACTGACCACAAAGGGGGCCCTCCCACCCCACCCTCCATGTGCCTCTCAGGCCCCCTCAATAATAATTAGAACAATAACAATAGGCATTGACAATATCCTCACCTGTCAGCTGCAAAAAGCCACACAACTCGGATCTGCACGCAGCATAATCTATATAAATAAAAATGTCATGTTCGTTTGTGGGATTTACATAACTCACAAAACCACTGGACGAATTGACACGAAATTTGGACACTATACCTCTAACAGACCAATGAGTGACCATCACTCATAACCGCCCCGCCCCCCCAAAAAAGTGGAAAGGACTTAAAACCCCCAAAAGCTAAATGACGAAAAGCTAAATGACGATACAGGAAAAAGGGAAGGAAGAGGAGAGGGAGAAGAAGAAAGAAAGGAAGGAAGAAAGAAAGAGAAAAAGAGAAAAGGAAGGAAAGAGGAGAAGGAAGGAGAGAGAGAAAAAGGAGAAAAAGAGGAAAGAAAAGAAAAAGGGGAGAGGGAAAGGAAAGGTAGAGAAGAAGAAGGAAGAGAAAGTAAGAAAAAAGAGGAAGGAAAGAAGTAGAGAATGAAGAAAGGAGAGAAAGAGGGAGGGAAGGAAAGAAGAAAGACAGAAAGAAAGGAAGCCAAGGGCGAAGAGGAAGGAAAGAGGTAGAAGAAGGAAGGAGGGAAGAAGGAAAAAAGGGAAAGGAAAGGGGAGGGGAAGGAAGGAGAAAGGAGAGGGAAGGAAAGAAAAAGAGGAAGGATGAAAGAGGTAGAGAAGGAAAAGGAGAGAAAAAGGAGGAAAAGAAAAAAGAGGGAAGGAAAGTGGTAGAGAAGGAAGAAAGGAGAAAAAGAGGGATGAAAAGAAAAAAGGGAAGGAAAGAAAGGTGAGAGGAAGGAAGGAAGAGAAAAAAGGAAGGAAGGAAAGAGTAGAGAAGGAAGAAAGGAGAGAAAGAGGGAGGGAAGGAAAGAGAGAAGGAAGGGATGGAAGCAGAAAGCGAAGGGAGGAAGGAAAGAGGTAGAAAAGGAAGGAGGGAGAGAAGGAAAAAAGGGAAAGAAGGAAAGAGGGAGTGAAGGAAGGAGGGAAAGGAGAGAAAGAGGGAAAGAAGGAAAGACTGAAGGAAGGATGGAAAGAGGTAGAGAAGGAGAAAGGAGAAAAAGAGGGATGAAAAGAAAAGGGAGGAAAGAAGAGAGAAAGAAAAATGGAAGCAAAGAGTGAAGGAAGGAAGGAAAGAGGTAGAGAAGGAAGAAAGGAGAAAAAGAGGGATGAAAAGAAAAAGGGGGAAGGAAGAAGGAAGGAAGGAGAGAAGGAAAGAAATAAGGAAAGGAAGGAAAGAGGGAAAGAAGGAGAGAAAGAGGGAGGGAAGGTTGCCACAGCAACGCGTGGTGGGTTCAGCTAGTTTTAAATAAAATTCTAAAATTATACCCCGCCACCATCTCCCTAAGGGGACTTGGGGCAACTTACATGAGGCCAAGCCCAACAACACATCAGTAGAAACAAAACAGCAAGCAAATAAAACAGTACAATTAATATAACTTACATATAAACAATAACACAGAGAATTTAAAACCTTATCATGCAGTCCTGGGAAGGGCCCGACGAGTGATCCAATGCAAAAGCCAGCAGAGTGCTCTTGTTCGCTGTGCATTCATCCTCTTGTGTTAATAATAATAATAATAATAATAATAATAATAATAATAATAACAATAATAATATCACACAGTCTTAAATGCTTGGGAAGTGTTCAACTTGTTATTTTATGATACGAAATCCAGCATTTCGATCTCGTTTGCTGTGTCATACTGTGGTTTTTTATCAGTAAAATACTACTACTACTACTACTAATAATAATAATAATAATAATAATTTTTGTGTCAGGAGCAACTTGAGAAACTGCAAGTCACATCTGGTGTGAGGGAATTGGTTGCCTGCAAGGACGTTGCCCAGGGGATGTTGCCTGATGTTTTGATGTTTTACCATCCTTGTGGGATGGTACTAGTAGTAGTAGTAATAATAATTGTTGTTGTTGTTGTTGTCGAAGGCTTTCATGGCCAGAATCACTGGGTTGTTGTAGTTTTTTTCAGGCTATATGGCCATGTTCTAGAGCAGGGGTAGGGAACCTTTGGCCCTCCCGCTGTGGTGGACTTCAACTCCCACAATTCCTTGAGGCTCGGCATTGGGCCAAGGTAAGCCTTTGGGGCGAATGCCGAGCCTCAAGGAATTGTGGGAGTTGAAGTCCACCACAGCTGGAGGGCCAAAGGTTCCCTACCCCTGCTCTAGAGTTTACAAAAAGTCCTTGAGTTTCCACAGACCTCACTCCCTCTGAGGATGCTTGCCATAGATGCAGGCGAAGCGTCAGGAGAGAATGCCTCTAGACCATGGCCATATAGCCTGAAAAAACCTACAACAACCAATTATTATTATTTATTTATGCCCCGCCACCATCTCCCAGAGGGACTCTGGGCGTCTCATAGAGCACTCAAAATACACAAAGTGCAGAAACAAAACATAAACAATAAACAGCCAACAGAAACATCACAGTTTCACCATCTCCCCTGATTAACAACAATAAAATACAGCAATTGGTGCAGGTGAAAACAGCAGAAATGGATCTCAGTCTTGTAAAGTCCTTGATAAAGAATCAGGAGATCCTCATAAAGATTCGTAAAGAATGTCAACATGGCCGAAGACTTGTCGGAAAAGGCATGTCTTCCATTGTGTGTGGAAGGCTTGGAGGGTGGGGGCTAGCCTGATCTCCCTGGGGAAGGCATTCCAAACCCGCGGGGCCACCACTGAGAAGGCCCAATCTATCATCCCCACCAGCTGCACTTGAGACGGAGGTGGGATCTCAAAGCCCGTGCCGGTTAATAGGGCTTGGCCTCATGTTAGCCGCCCTGAGTCCCCATTGGGGAGGTGGTGGCGGGGTATAAATAAAGAGGATGATGATGATGATGATTATTATTATTATTATTATTATAGAAGGAAGTGCAGTTTCCAAGATAGGTTGGACCCAAAGTGTATAGGGCTTGATAGGTGATCATCTGCACTTTGATTTGGGACTGGAAACTCACCGGCAGGCAATGGAGCTGCTTTCGTAGGGACGTGGTATGCTCCCCATAACCTATAACCCAGTGGTTCCCAACCTGTGGTCTGTGGACCACCAATGGTACGCGAGGTCTAAAATACGTTCCACGGCCTCATCGTTGCTACACCGTTGCAGTGATAGCAGCTGGTCTTGCAAAATAATAATAATAATAATAATAATCTTTATTTATACCCCGCCACCATCTCCCCGATGGGGACTCGGAGTAGCTTACGTGGGGCCAAGCCCAATCGACAGGTTGCAATAAAGAAAAAACCAAAACACAAATCGAAAATGCGAACAATAAATAATAACATCATATTTACATAAAACGTATGCATACATCACTATGTAAAAAATTACAATAAGCACAGGCACAAAACCCTCTGATAGTGCTGAGGCTTATTCACTATGGTTTTCTGTGGGCAAGCAGATGGCGACTGCTGAACGGCGTGTGTTCTGTATCAGAAACAAGAGCGGATGTGGTCTCCCCAGTGCAGTTTTCTGGTTCAGCACCCCAAAGAACCAAACCCAGTCTAAAGTTGACCACAAACTGATTTGCAACCCTTTTGGTACTAATGGTAGAGAGTGAGTGAGTGGTCCCTGCTCAATAAAAGGTTGGGAGCCACTGCTCTAACTCAATGGAAGGCACATCTCATCATGCAGATCCTCTCCCAAGAGGCCCCTGCCTTTCCCCCCATCACATTGCCCCCTGGGCAGAGCTGCCAGACCCCCAACACTGCTGGTGTGCCCCCCAGGAAAGGGGTGTGTGTGGGAAGCCGTAGCGACACTTGATTGTTCTGAGCCTGGGTGGTCCCACCCCTTTGCACGTCCCTCCAGCAGCAGCTGTTGGGACCGGGGGGGGGGGGGGGGGGGTCACAGGCAGAAGGGGGCCCGGCTGTTGCCATCCCTCAAGCCCAGGGTGGCGCCAGGGGGCCGAGGCCTCTTTGCCGGACACTGCCGTCCTCAGGGATGGGGCCACTCCACTTTGGGGGGGGGGGGAGACTGTCTACAAGGATGGGGGGCTCCAAGAACCGGATCGCCCCTTCCCGGGAATGACCCTTCCCTCTTCTTTCATGGGCCTGGGACCAATCCCCTCCTCCTCTCGTGTTCTATCCTCTCTCTCAAAGGATTAAAGGGTCTGTAGAACAAGCCCAATGAGGAGCGGCTCAAAGAGCTGGGCATGTTGAGCCTGCAGAAGGGAAGGCTGAGAGGAGACATGATGAAGGCTATGTATAAATATGTGACAGGAATTCATAAGAAGAAGGGAGCGAACTTGTTTTCTGCTGCCCTGGAGACTAGGACACAATAATAATAATAACAATAATAACAATAATAACAACAACAACAATAACAACAACAACAACTTTAAAGGACAGGATCCTCCTCCCCAGGGCCCCCTCCTCTTCCTTGGCTGGGACCAATCCTCTCATTCTATCTCTCTCTCTCTTAGATAACAAGCCCTATGAGGAGCGGCTCAAAGAGCTGGGCATGTTTAGCCTGCAGAATAGAAGGCTGAGAGGAGACATGATGAAGGCTATGTATAAATATGTGACAGGAATTCATAAGAAGAAGGGAGCGAACTTGTTTTCTGCTGCCCTGGAGACTAGGACACAATAATAATAATAACAATAATAACAATAATAACAACAACAACAATAACAACAACAACAACTTTAAAGGACAGGATCCTCCTCCCCAGGGCCCCCTCCTCTTCCTTGGCTGGGACCAATCCTCTCATTCTATCTCTCTCTCTCTTAGATAACAAGCCCTATGAGGAGCGGCTCAAAGAGCTGGGCATGTTTAGCCTGCAGAATAGAAGGCTGAGAGGAGACATGATGAAGGCTATGTATAAATATGTGACAGGAATTCATAAGAAGAAGGGAGCGAACTTGTTTTCTGCTGCCCTGGAGACTAGGACACAATAATAATAATAACAATAATAACAATAATAACAACAACAACAATAACAACAACAACAACTTTAAAGGACAGGATCCTCCTCCCCAGGGCCCCCTCCTCTTCCTTGGCTGGGACCAATCCTCTCATTCTATCTCTCTCTCTCTTAGATAACAAGCCCTATGAGGAGCGGCTCAAAGAGCTGGGCATGTTTAGCCTGCAGAATAGAAGGCTGAGAGGAGACATGATGAAGGCTATGTATAAATATGTGACAGGAATTCATAAGAAGAAGGGAGCGAACTTGTTTTCTGCTGCCCTGGAGACTAGGACACAATAATAATAATAACAATAATAACAATAATAACAACAACAACAATAACAACAACAACAACTTTAAAGGACAGGATCCTCCTCCCCAGGGCCCCCTCCTCTTCCTTGGCTGGGACCAATCCTCTCATTCTATCTCTCTCTCTCTTAGATAACAAGCCCTATGAGGAGCGGCTCAAAGAGCTGGGCATGTTTAGCCTGCAGAATAGAAGGCTGAGAGGAGACATGATGAAGGCTATGTATAAATATGTGACAGGAATTCATAAGAAGAAGGGAGCGAACTTGTTTTCTGCTGCCCTGGAGACTAGGACACAATAATAATAATAATAATAATAATAATAATAATAATAATAATAATAATAATAATAATAATAATAATAACAACAACAACAACAACAATAACAACAACAACAACTTTAAAGGACAGGATCCTCCTCCCCAGGGCCCCCTCCTCTCCCTTGGCTGGGCCCAATCCTCCTTTCTTTCTTTCTTTCTCTCTCTCTTGGAGAACAAGCCCTATGAGGAGCGGCTCAAAGAGCTGGGCATGTTTAGCCTGCAGAATAGAAGGCTGAGAGGAGACATGATGAAGGCTATGTATAAATATGTGACAGGAATTCATAAGAAGGGAGCGAACTTGTTTTCTGCTGCCCTGGAGACTAGGACACAATAATAATAATAATAATAATAATAATAATAATAATAATAATAATAATAATAATAACAACAACAACAACAACAATAACAACAACAACAACTTTAAAGGACAGGATCCTCCTCCCCAGGGCCCCCTCCTCTCCCTTGGCTGGGCCCAATCCTCCTCTCTTTCTTGCTTTCTCTCTCTCTTGGAGAACAAGCCCTATGAGGAGCGGCTCAAAGAGCTGGGCATGTTTAGCCTGCAGAATAGAAGGCTGAGAGGAGACATGATGAAGGCTATGTATAAATATGTGACAGGAATTCATAAGAAGAAGGGAGCGAACTTGTTTTCTGCTGCCCTGGAGACTAGGACACAATAATAATAATAATAATAATAATAATAATAATAATAATAATAATAACAACAACAACAACAACAACAACAACAACAACAACAATAACAACAACAACAACTTTAAAGGACAGGATCCTCCTCCCCAGGGCCCCCTCCTCTCCCTTGGCTGGGCCCAATCCTCCTCTCTTTCTTGCTTTCTCTCTCTCTCTTGGAGAACAAGCCCTATGAGGAGCGGCTCAAAGAGCTGGGCATGTTTAGCCTGCAGAAGAAAAGGCTGAAAGGAGACATGATGAGGGCAATATATAACTTTGTGACGGGAAGTCATAAGAAGGAGGGAGCGAACTTGTTTTATTGCTTTGTTGTTATTGCTTTAATTGTTTTGGTTTGCTTATGAGTTGTGTCCCTATTGTTATGCTGTTGTTTTCTTGAGGGCCTTGGCCTTTGTAAGCCGCATCGAGTCCTTCGGGAGATGCTAGCGGGGTACAAATAAAGTTAATAATAATAATAATAATAATAATAATAATAATAACAACAACTTGTTTTCTGCTGCCCTGGAGACTAGGACATAATAATAATAATAATAATAATAATAATAATAATAATAATAAAACTTTATTTATCTCCCAAGGGGACTCGGGGCAGCTTATATGAGGCCAAGCCCAGCAATACAACGATGCAAATGTACAACTATAATAATAATAATAATAATAATGATAATAATAACAATAATCTTTATACCCCGCCACCATCTCCCCAAAGGGACTCGGGGTGGCTTACGTGAGGCCAAGCCCAACAACACATCAGTAAACAACAAAACAGCAAGCAAATAATATATATAACTTACATATAATATAACTTACATATAAACAATAACACAGAGAATTTAAAAACCTTATGGCCGGGCCAAATGCAATAAATTAAAAATGTTTAAAATGGGTGTGAACAGAAGATGTATCTAAGCAGGAGGGTTTTAAAAGATAATGTCAGAAAATGGGATTATGTGTGCACTGGGATTGTGGCGCAGCTGGCTGAGTGTCAGCTGCATTAAGATCACTCTGACCAAAAAGTCATGAGTTTGAAGCCAGCCCGGGTTGGAGTGGGTTTCCCACCAATTGTGTAGCCCGTTGTCGACCTTTGCAACCCAAAAGACAGTTGCATCTGTCAAGTAGGAAAATAAGGTACCACCTTAAAGTGTGGGGAGGCTAAATTAACTGATTTATGAGGCCATAAAGAAGACTCCAGCGGGGAAGCATGCGGGGAATGCGGAAGTGCTTCATCAGTGTTGCAGATGGACGATGAAAGCGACAGCTCCCCTGGCAGCCAGAAAAAGTTAAATAGCCTTTGTGTATGTCTGTATATGTTTGTATGTCAAAAATTGGCATTGAATGTTTGCCATATATGTGTACACTGTAATCCGCCCTGAGTCCCCTGCGGGGTGAGAAGAAGGGCGGAATAGAAAAGCTGCAAATAAATAAATGGGACAATGGCTCCAAACTACAAGAAAGGAGATTCCACCTGAACATGAGGAAGAACTTCCTGACTGTGAGAGCCGTTCAGTTGTGGAACTCTCTGCCCTGGAATGTGGTGGAGGCTCCTTCTTTGGAGGCTTTTAAGCAGAGGCTGGATGGCCATCTGCTGGGGGTGCTTTGAATGTGATTTTTCTGCCCCTTGGCAGAATGGGGTTGGACTGGATGATGGCCCACCAGGTCTCTTCCAACTCCATAATTCTATGATTCCGCCTTTAGGTCAGCTCGACAGGGGCGGCAGCACGTGACGGGCGCCTGCGTGTGGGTCTGCGCATCCTGGAGGTGAACCACCAGAGCCTTCTGGGCATGACGCACACGGAGGCCGTGCAGGTCCTGCGAGGCGTGGGAGACGCCCTCCTCATCCTGGTCTGCGAAGGCTTCGACCCCAAGGCCATGGCCGCCATGGAGGTGGGTGCTTGGGCACGACACTCCCTCGCTGCCTTGGTCTGGCCAGCTGACTGACCACTGTCCCCCCCCCCCCCCCCCCCGGTCTCTCTTTGTGCAGATGTCTCCGGGCATCATCGCCAACCCCTTCGCGGCTGGGATCGGGCGCAAGAACAGCCTGGAGAGCATCTCCTCCATTGACCGCGACCTCAGCCCGGAGGAGCTGGACATCCTCCAGAAGGTGAGGGCGGGGGCGGGGGCGTCATTGCTGGAGATGGAGTCGTTTTGGGGGGGGGCAGGACCCGGCTCCTGACGGTCCCTCTTTGTCCCCAGGAGATGGAGATGGTCAGGGAGACGGCCCAGTGGGAGAGGGAAGAGGCCGAGGAAGCGGTGAGGCCCCGGCCCTGGCCCCTCCCCGCTCCGTGCCCCCCCCCCCCCATAGAATGCTCTCCTTCTGTTGGCTTGCTTCTCTGGCTCAGGGCTTCTGAAGGCAAGGGGGGGAGCAAAAAAGGCCCCCAATTGCATTCTGGATGTGGCTGCCCTGCTTGTGCTTGGGGGGGGGGGGGGGGGCTTCCAGTGTTGCGGTCATGGTCACTTTGGAAGCAAAGGAGCGAGGGACGCTTGGGGAGTCTCAGCCATTGTTTGAATGCCGTGCTCAATGGGGAGCAAGGCCAGAGCTTTTGGGGGGGGGGGGTCCACAGGGGGAGGGCAGCCCTTTCTTCTTCCTGGTGAGCCTTTTAAGCTTGGCCGCTTCCAACTTCACGCACCAAGTCTGCTAAATAGACCACAACACCCCCCCCCCCTTTGACCGACCTTGGAATCGAAGCCCAACTTTGGCCTTCCAGATGTCTTGGACTCCAACTCCCACCATTCCAAACAGCCTCCAGCCTTTTTCGTTTTCTTGTCGTTTCATTGTTATTGTTGAAAGAAAAAGGCCAAGTATTCGAAAAGTTTCATGATTAGGCTAATCCAGTGGTTCTCAACCTGGGGGTCGCGACCCCTAGAGGGGGCGCGAGGGGGTGTCAGAGGGGTCGCCAAAGACCATCACAGACAGTATTTTCTGTTGGTCATGGAAGTTCTGTGTGGGAAGTTTGGCCTAATTCGATCGTTGGTGGGCTTCAGAATGCTCTTTGGTTGTAGGTGAACTATAAATCCCAGCAACTACAACTCCCAATAATGATTCATAACAGTAGCAAAATTGCAGTTATGAAGTAGCAATGAAAATAATGTAATGGCTGGGGGTCACCACAACATGAGGAACTGGATTAAGGGGTCGCGGCATTAGGAACGTTGAGAACCACTGGGCTCATCTCATTGAAAGAAAATATCATTATAAGGTGTCCCTCCAAAACGATCGAGAGGAGGAGTTTATGAGTGATGAATTATTTGTATTTATTTACTAGCTGTACCCACCACACGTTGTTGTGGCCAACCTTCCCTCTTTCTTTCCTTCTTTCCCTCCTTCCTTCACTCACTCTTCCTGTTTTTCCTTCTCTTCTTCCTTCTCTATCTCTTTCCTTCCTTCCCCTTTTTCTTTCTCTTCTGGTCTCTTTTCTTCCTTCTCTCTTCCCTTCTTTTCTTCCCTCCCTCTTTCTCTACATCTTCCCCCTTCCTTCACTCCCTCTTTCCTTCCTTCATTCCCTTTTTTCTTTCCTTCTCTCCTTCCTTCCTTCTTTCCCCTTTTTCTTTCTCTTCTGCTGTCTCTCTTTTCTTCCTTCTCTCTTTCCTTCCCTCCCTCTTTCTCCCCTTCTTTCCCTCCTTCCTTCGCTCCTTCTTTCCTTCCTTCTTTCCCTTTTTTCTTTCCTTTTCTCCTTTTTTCCTTCTCTACATTTCCTTCCTTCCCCCTTTTTCTTTCTCTTCTTCTGTCTCTCTTTTCTTCCTTCTCTTTCCTTCTTTCCTTCCCTCCCTCTTTCTCTACATCTTCCCCCCTTCCTTCGCTCCCTCTTTCCTTCCTTCTTTCCCTTTTTTCTTTCCTTCTCTCCTTCCTTCTCTAACTTTCCTTCCTTCCCCCTTTTTCTTTCCCTCCCTCTTTCTCTCCTTTCTTCTCTACCTCTTTCATCCTTCCTTCTCCCTTTCCTTCCTTCTTTCTTTCTTTACCTCCCTCTTTCTTTTCTTTTTTTTCTCCCCTTCCCTCCCTCCCTTTTTCTTCTTCTTTTCTTCTCTTCCTCTTCCCTTCCTTCTCCCCTTCTTTCCCTTCCTTCCTTCTCCTTCCTTCCTTCCTTCTTTCCCTTTTTCCTTTCTCCTTTTTCCTTCTCTACTTTCCTTCCTTCCCCTTTTTCTTCTCTTCTTCTGTCTCTCTTTTCTTCCTTCTCTTTCCTTCTTTCCTTCCCTCCCTCTTTCTCTACATCTTCCCCCTTCCTTCGCTCCCTCTTTCCTTCCTTCTTTCCCTTTTTTCTTTCCTTCTAACTTTCCTTCCTTCCCTCTTTTTCTTTCCTTCCCTCTTTCTCTCCTTTCTTCCTTCTCTGCCTCTTTCCTTCCTTCCTTCTCTCTTTGCTTCCATGCTTCCTTCTCCCTTTCCTTCTTTCTTTCCCTCCCTCTTTCTCTCCTTTCTTCCTTCTCTGCCTCTTTCCTTCCTTCCTTCTCCCTTTCCTTCTTTCTTTCCCTCCCTCTTTCTTTACGGAATAGTGGGAGTTGAAGTCCAAAACACCTGGAGGGGGGGGGAAGTTGGCCTGCTTTGACCTGCAGCACTTTCCTTGTGAGCGTGCCTCCCCCCACATTGCTCCAGTGGCCCTTGGGGGGAGGGAGAGAGGGAGAAAGGGTTGTGGGTCATTGAGGGGGGCTTCTCTGGGGCCTCCCCACTTCAGACTCTGCTGCTGACCCTTGTGCCTCTTTCCTTGTGGGGCCTCCTCTGCGGAAGGAGCGGGTGCGCAAGGAGCGAGAGACGGCCGCACGCCTGGCAGCAGAAGAGGCAGAGGTGAGAGGTGGGGGCATGGTGGGGGGGGGTTCCACGGGGAGAGCAGCCTGGCGGAGTAGAGGGGGGATAATGGGGGGTCTCCCAATCTGACGCCCCTCCATCTCTCTCTCTCTCTCCAGGAGGCGAATGCGCAGCCTCTTCGCCTGGATTACCGGACCCTGGCGGCGGTGCCCAGCAGCGGCCTCCAGAACAGCGTGCGCAGCAGCCCCTCCAACAGCGTAAGTGGCGCAAGGGGGTGTGGTGGGGTTGGTGGGGAGTCCTGTCTGATTCTGGGGGATCCAGAGCCCCCTCCTCCCTAGTGGCATTCTCTCCTTCAACAGGTGCTGCATACTTCCCTTCTTTTCCTAGTGTATTTATGTGGGGAGGGGGCTGCCAGCTGGCCTCCCCCCCCCTCCACTCTTCCTTCCCTCCTCATTCATCCTCCCTGAAACCCGATCCCGTCTCCAGAAGGACTGGGATGCCAGAGCTGCCCGACTGGGCTATTTTGGTCATGGCCACCAATTTGGGGAGGGGGGAGGGAGGGGGCTCCTTTTGTCTGACTCCAGCCAGCCCCTCGCTCTGCCCACTGACCCCTTCCTCTCCTCTCCTCTCCCCTCCCTCCCACCCGTCTGGGTCCCTCTCTGCTCTTCCTTGCTGCAGGTGAGTGGGGGCTGCATCCTAGGGTTTGGGTTGAGGGTGGGAGCGGGGGGGATCCAGGTCAAAGCACCCCTTCCTTCCACCCCCAACCCTTTGGAGGAAGAGGATCCTCATTAGAGTGAGGGGAGGCAGAATGGGGGTGGGGTGGGGTGGGGTCTCCACCCTAACCCTTTGCCAGGGCTGCTCAGGGCATTGGAGTCGTAGGGTTGTGGGTCCCGTGTGCGCGCAGGGGGCCAGGGGGACTGGCCTTGGTGGCAGGCAGTTCATCTCAGAAGGAAACAGAAAATGTTGCCCATTGTCTTGTGGAAGGCTTTCATGGCTGGAATCACTGGGTTGTTGTAGGTTTTTCGGGCTATATGGCCATGTTCCAGAAGCATTCTCTCCTGATGTTTCGCCTGCATCCATGGTGGCAGGGTATAAATATTATTATTATTATTATTATTATTGTTGTTGTTGTTGTTATTACCATCATCTTACTGATGCAAAAACACAATATGTCACAGCAAATGAGATCTATATGCTGCATTTATTATTATTATTATTATTATTATTATTATTATTATTATTCTGTATTATAATTAAGCAGAGGCTAGGTGGCCATCTGTCAGGAGGGATTGGGTGGTGCATTCCTGCCTGGCAGAAAGAAGGGGGATGGACTGGATAGCCTTACAACTCTAGGCTTCTATTATTATTATTATTATTATTATTATTATTATTATTATTATTATTATTGTCGAAGGGTTTCATGGCCGGAATCACTGGATTGTTGTAAGTTTTTTCGGGCTATATGGCCATGTTCTAGAGGCATTCTCTCCTGACGTTTCGCCTGCATCTATGGCAAGCATCCTCAGAGGTCGTGAGGTCTGTTGGAACTAGGAAAATGGGTTTATATATCTGTGGAAAGACCATGGTGGGACAAAGGACTCTTGTCTGCTGGAGCTAGGTGTAAATGTTTCACTGACCACCTTGATTAGCATTTGATAGCCTAGCAGTGCCTCGAGCAATCTGTTGAGAGGTGATTAGATTTCCCTCATTGTTTCCTGCTCGCAACGACAAGGAGTCCTTTGTTCCACCGGGTGGGGGGGGGGGGTGGGAGGGGGGAGGCGGGGTGGCGGGGGGGTAGTGGGTCGTTCCACATAATTATTAACATCTTTGTCCATTGTTCACCCTCTGGCCAAAAGCAGAAGGCAAAGATCAAATGAGTTGGAATAAGACCCTCAGCTCGGGCCATGGCCAGGCCTCATCGGGCTACAACCCAATTCTGTGGCCAAGATGGCAGGAATATCTTATGCATTCAATCACACCCCATGACAATATTGCTTGTCTTTACTCAACTAATAAGATACTTTCCAGCCTCTGCTTAAAAGCTTCCAAAGAAGGAGCCTCCACCACACTCCGGGGCAGAGAGTTCCACTGCTGAACGGCTCTCACAGTCAGGAAGTTCTTCCTCATGTTCAGATGGAATCTCCTCTCTTGTAGTTTGAAGGATGCTTACCATAGATGCAGGCGAAACGTTAGGAGATATTGCCTCTAGACTATGGCCATATAGCACAAAAAAACCTACAACAACCCATTATTATTATTATTATTATTATTATTATTGTTGACCAGGCCTGGGCAAACTTTGGCCCTCCTTCCAGGTGTATTGGACTTCCACTGTTAGGAATTGTGGGAGTTGGGGTCCAAAACACCTGGAGGAGACAGATAAAGGGAAAGTTTGTGGGAAGGGTCCCTCCTCATGCGGACTCTGGTGCTTCCTTCTCAAAGGAAAGGGAAACTGAGAGACACTTGAGACTTTTGCGAAGGAGGAGTGTGGTGGGGAGAGGCTCCTTCCTGCCTTGAAGGAGGACAACCTTTGAAGCAGAGGCTGGGAGGCCATCTCTCGGGAGTGCTTTGAAGGGGATTTTGCTGTTTCTTGGCAGAATGGGGGTTGGTCTGGGTGATGGCCCACCAGGTTGCTTCTAAGGAGGGGAAAGGAGCAACATAGATCTAGGAAGCCCGTGGAAAGGAAGGTGCTGCAGGCTTTCCAAGGGCCCTACAACCAAGTGGGCTTCCCTCGTGCTCTCTACCCCTCCAAGTGCAGCCACTTCCTCGCTTCCACTGAGGGATCCCTTGTGCCCCCCTGACAGCCCCCATGTCTCTCTCCCCAGCTCCCCTCTCACGACATGGAGGAGGCGGAGGGGGAGGCGCCGAGCCTGGTGGACTCTCAGCCCATCCCTTTCAGCGCCAACCCTTTTGTGCTGGCCAACCGGAAGGGTGGGGCGCGCCTGGGGGGCCCTCCCCTCGGCTACGGAAAGGGGGGCATCCTGAAGACCAGCCTCTGCGCCAAGGCAAGCGCATGGCCTCCTTCCCCGAGTGTGCCGTGTGCGGCCTGTGCTGGACCAGAGGGACCTCCTGCCTGCCTGGATGTGTGCGGAGCATGGGCTACATCTTTTGGGGAGGGGGCTTCCTTCCTGCCTGCCTTTTAGCCCCTCCTATTGAGATGGATTCAGTCCCCCTTGATCTTAGTGTGACTTTGGAGTGCTGAGCTCTGTTGCACGGGTGTGGCCTTTGGGGCGTTCTCTGTTAACAACGAGTGTCTCTGTGTGTGTGTGTGTGGATTGTTCTATTAATCCTGAATTTTCAAGATAGCATTTTTGTACACATGCGCACACACACACACACACAGAGTGTTCCATCACTTATCGCAGGGGTTCCATTCCAGACTACCCGCGAAAAGTGAAAATCCACAAAGTAGGGACAGCATATTAATTTTAATATTTATACATTATTTTATATATATTTCTCTATTAACAACGTGTGCGTGTGTGTGTGTGTGTGTCACACAGTGTTCCATCACTTATCGCAGGGGTTCCATTCCAGACTACCCGCGAAAAGTGAAAATCCACAAAGTAGGGACGGCATATTAATTTTAATATTTATACATTATTTTATATATATTTCTCTATTAACAACGTGTGCGTGTGTGTGTGTGTGTGTCACACAGTGTTCCATCACTTATCGCAGGGGTTCCATTCCAGACTACCCGCGAAAAGTGAAAATCCGCAAAGTAGGGACGGCATATTAATTTTAATATTTATACATTATTTCATATATATTTCTCTGTTAACAACTTCTGTGTGTGTGTGTGTGGATTGTTCTATTAATCCTGACTTTTCAAGAAAGCATTTTTATACCCAAAATATGATAAAACAAATTCTTCCCAGGAGAGAGGGGTGTGTTCTCCTTTATGTTGTGCTTGTCCTCCCACTCACTCACTGGCTCCCACAGCCAGGAATTGTATGTATATATGTGTGCATATATACACACACACACACAGTGTTCCATCACTTATCGTGGGCGTTCCATTCCAGATCACCCACGAAAAGTGAAAATCCGCGAAGTAGGGACGGCATATTAATTTTAATATTTATACATTATTTTATATATATTTCTCTGTTAACAACTTCTGTGTGTGTGTGTGTGGATTGTTCTATTAATCCTGACTTTTCAAGAAAGCATTTTTATACCCAAAATATGATAAAAACAAACTCTTCCCAGGAGAGGGGTGTGGCCTCCTTTATGTTGTGATTGTCCTTTAACTCACTCGCTGGCTCCCACAGCCAGGAATTGTATGTATATATATGTGTGTGTGTGTGTGCCACACAGTATTCTGTCACTTATCGTGGGGATTCTATTCCAAACCACCCGCAAAAAGTGAAAATCCGCAAAGTAGGGACGGCATATTAATTTTAATATTTATACATTATTTTATATATATTTCTCTGTTAACAACTTCTGTGTGTGTGTGTGTGGATTGTTCTATTAATCCTGACTTTTCAAGAAAGCATTTTTATACCCAAAATATGATAAAACAAATTCTTCCCAGGAGAGAGGGGTGTGTTCTCCCCTTTATGTTGTGCTTGTCCTCCCACTCACTCACTGGCTCCCACAGCCAGGAATTGTATGTATATATGTGTGCATATACACACACACACACACACAGTATTCTGTCACTTATCGTGGGGATTCTATTCCAGACCACCCGCAAAAAGTGAAAATCCGTAAAGTAGGGACGGCATATTAATTTTAATATTTATACATTATTTTTTTTTCTGTTAACAACATGTGTGTGTGTGTATGTGTGTGTGTCTGTTTATGGATTGTTCTATTAATCCTGACTTTTCAAGAAAGCATTTGCACCCAAAACGTGATAAACAAACTCTTCCCAGGAGAGAGGGGTGTGTTCCCCTTTATGTTGTAATTGTCCTCTCGCTCACTCGCTGGCTCCTACAGCCAGGAACTGTATGTATATATGTATGTGTGTTTTTGTGTATATATATATACACACACACACACTGTGTTCCATCACTTATCATAGGGGTTCCATTCCAGACCACCTGCGAAAAGTGAAAATCCACAAAGTAGGGACGGCATATTAATTTTAATATTTATACATTATTTTATATATATTTCTCTGTTAACAGGCCCACTTCTGCCTCTCTTTCCCGTGACTTGCACCAGAATTTCTGCCCCCCCCCCCCCCGCCTCCCGAAGCAGCCTGGTATATCTCTGCCTAAGCCAGCTGCTTCCTTGGATGAGCTAACGTGATCCTCCCTTCCCTGCCTGTTGGCTTCCAAAGCAGTTTTACTCTCACGCTTGGACTCAGCAACAACACCTTGCTCCAAAGCCCCCTCCGTTCTCTCAGCTGGAGACCCACCTTGCTCTCAGACCCCCTCTGTCTGGGAACCCACAGACCATCACACTCTGAACCCCCAAACCCCTCATCTGAACCACCACAGTACCTGCTTTCAGCCCCAAACTTTTAGCAAATCAATGGGGATGTGTTTGTTGATTATCTTCCTGGGTCTTTCAGGTGTCCGCACCTGGGGAGGGCGAAGCAGGAGCCCGGAGGGAGCCCCCTTGTGGCGGTGGCAGTGCCAGCAGCGCCCAGCAGGTACGAGGGGGTCCTTGTGGTGGTGGGGGGGGTCTGGGGTCAGCCCTGGTCTGGGCCCCCTCCCCTTCCGGGGTCAGTCAGCCTCTCTGGTCCTCTCTGCCTCTCTCTCTCTGTTTCTCCTTCTCTCCTTTCTGGCCCCGCCCACTCCAGCCGCCTGGCTCCGCGGCCCCCCTCCGGCCTGTCCACCTGGTGGGCAGAGAGACCCGTTTTGTAAGTGCCGCCGCCTTGGTGTGCCACTGCCGCCGCCGCCACTGCCGCTCAGCCATGCTCTGCCCTTGCTCTCCTGGCTTCACTGCCTCACTGGAATTGTGCCTTGAGGGGGGGGCGACCTGGGGGTCCCACCTTCCTTCCGCCTGCAAGCGCCAATCAGACCCTTCCTCTGCTTCTGCTTCTGAACTCTGGGCTCGCTTCTAGCTTCATGGGGTGCAGTGGGGGGGGGGGGGGCAAAGCTTTCACTTGTGGGGCAGAATTATGTATGGGGAGTGTTCTGTGAGCTGGGAGCAAAATGGGGCGGGGGTCACTCTGATTTCCTCCTCCTCTCGATTCTAGGCCTCCGTCCATTTTGTCCCTGCTCAGAGCGAGAACAAGCCGGTGAGTGCTCCCCTTCCCCTTGGGGTCCTGGCCCCGCCCCCTGGTTGTCTCTGGGGTGGAGATTGGGGGGTGAGGTGGGCAGTCGGGGTCCTGCTTTTCCACTTGGGTGACCTCAGTGCCCCCCCTTGTTGGGCAAGTGGGGTATTGCACTATTTACAAGTACAAGGTTTCCACAACACAAATGAAGTCCTTTATACTTCCTTCTTTGCTTCCACGCTCGGCTTCTCCCTTGTGCAGATAAGCAGCTTTGCTCTCACAGAGCCTCTTCTCACACCGAAATTACACAGGAGCTTCACATAGTAGTTTCCACACAGCTTTCAACACGAGGACTTTAACCCAGAGCTTATTTCACCCAAGGGTTCTCTCACACAGAGGTTTACCTCACACTCCTCAGGATGACACTAGCTTTGGCCCATTGACTCTTAACAGGCTTCGGCTTACTCACTCTCCTCAGAATAACACTAGCTAGGCCCACTAACAGGCTTCGACCTACTCTATCCTCTCAGGATGGCACTAGCTTGGGCCCACTAACTCTTTGGCTTGTCAATCTCCTCAGGACGACACTAGCTAGGCCCACTGACTGTAATAGGCTTCGGCCTACGCACTCTTCTCAGGACGACACTAGTTAGGCCACTAAAAGGCTTCGGCCTACTCACTCTCCTCAGGACGACACTAGCTAGGCCCACTAACTCTAACAGGCTTTGGCCTATGCACTCTTCTCAGGATGACACTAGCTCGGTCCACTGACTCTAACAAGTTTCGGCCTACTCACTCTCCTCAGGACGACACTAGCTCGGTCCACTGACTGTAATAGGCTTCGGCCTACGCACTCTTCTCAGGACGACACTAGTTAGACCACTAACAGGCTTCGGCCTACTCACTCTCCTCAGGACGACACTAGCTAGGCCCACTAACTCTAACAGGCTTTGGCCTACGCACTCTTCTCAGGATGACACTAGCTCAGTCCACTGACTCTAACAAGTTTCGGCCTACTCACTCTCCTCAGGACGACACTAGCTCGGTCCACTGACTCTTAACAGGCTTCGGCCTACTCACTCTCTACGACACTAGCTTGGACCCACTGAATCTAACAGACTTTGGCCTAGTCAATCTCCTCAGGACGACACTAGCTAGGCACACTGACTGTAACAGGCTTCGGCCTACTCACTCTCCTCGGGATAACACTAGCTAGGCCCACTGACTCCAACAAGTTTCGGCCTACTCACTCTCCTCAGGACGACACTAGCTTTGGCCCACTGACTCTAACAGGCTTCGGCCTACTCTCTCCTCTCAAGACGACACTACCTTGGGCTCACTAACTCTTAACAGGCTTCGGCCTGCTCACTCTCCTCAGGTCGACATTAGCTTTGGCCCACTGAGTCTTAACAGGCTAACTAACAGGCTTCGACTTACTCTCCTCGGGACAACACTAGCAAGGCCGCTAGCTCTAATAGGCTTTAGCCTGGTCACTCACCTCAGGATAACACTAACTTGGCCCACTAACTAACAGGCTTTGACCTACTCTCTCTTCTCAGGACAACACTAGCTTGGGGCCATTGACTCTTAACAGGCTTCGGCCTACTCACTCTTTCAGTGCTTGACTCTAATTTTTGTAATTAAAAATACCTAATTGTGAATATTCCTGACACCCCCCCCCCCCCCCCCCCCCCCCCTCCGCTCCCTCCCTTTGCAGACCAAGCCTGGGACCATCCAGCCCGTCTCCCGCCTGCGAGCGGGGCCCGGCCTGCCCCCTGTGGCCGATGGGCGGGAGGGTGGCCCAAACCCCTTCCAGCCGCCGGAGGGGCCCCGCTCCAGCGCCCACAGCTCCGTGAGTCTCTTGGGGGCTCCCCAAGCCCCTCCCCACAATGTGGGAGAGCAGGGGAGGATGAGAGAAGGGGGCGGCATTGGGGCCTCCCCAAGAGGGGCTTCCAGAGGGGTCCAGGCTTGGTTTTGATGGTGTCCCTCCATCCCGCCCTCCCCACAGCCTCGCTCGCCGCGACCCCCTCCTTCACCGGATGAAGCCACGCCGGTCAGTGCCAAGCAGGTCTACAAGGCCTTTGCAGCCGTCCCTGTACCTCACCTGTTCCTGGAGACAGAGGTGAGCAGAGGGCGTGGCACCGAGGGGAGGGCAGAGGGAGGGAGGGGCTTCCAAAGGTGTGGGCAGTGCTTGAGGGGCTGCCACCCATTGCCTTCCCTGTCAGAGTGAGACCCTGGGGTCTATGCGCAGCGGAATTGAGGTTACCAGATCACACAGACGCAAAACAGGACATACTGCAGTTTTCAGTTCCAAAAATAACAAAGTTTACTTAGCACATCTTAAGACAGGCCTACTTCCAAGCAGGCTACATCATGAACACTACAAAGCACAGCACACAACAGTTTCCAGAACATTTGCTTATCTCATTTCTCTCTGGCTGGATCCTCCCTTTTTTCTTCCCAGGCAGGAAAATTTCTTATCTAACTTCTGTCAAGGTCTTTGCTCTCTCTGCCTCTAGCAACAACAATTCTAGCATACAATTGAACATAACTGAATCCATTTTGAATATAGATGAACACCATTGTTAAACTTATTGAAGCACATTGAAAAACATACATGCATACTTTCAATAATCCTGACATTCCCTCCACAGGACGCCTCGGGCCAGAAGGGCACGGAGAAGGCCCAGCTCACCCCCTGCGAGGTATGTGGGCTGTGGGCAGGGGGGATGGGGTCATAGGGAGGGGGCAGAAGAATAGGAGGACAGCCCAGTACCTTCCGGTAGCGGAGGGAAATCACTCCAGCTCCTACAGCTCCCTCCCTGGGTCGGGGGCCAAATCTCACTGTGACACCCCCTACCCCATTTGTTGGAGATAGCAACCTTCTCAGGCCTCCTCAGTTGTATGTTTTGTCTGTTTTATAATGTGTTGGTTTATTTCCTGAAGTATAGTATGTCTTCTTTGGTTTGTAGTTATCTTAGCTCTATATACTTGAAGCAGTGGGAGGGGCTGCATCCCATGTGCAGTTATCTATGGTCTATATACTTGAAGCAATGGGAGGGGCTACAGACAATAATAATAATAATAATAATAATAATAATAATAATAATAATAATAACAACAACACTTTATTTGTACCCCGCTACCATCTCCCCAAGGGACTCGGTGCGGCTTACATGAGGTCGAGCCCAAACACATAATACAAGCAATAATCACAACAATAGAAGCAATTAAAATAAAACATTAAACATATAACATTATCAATAAGACAACATACAATTAAAAACTGTGGGAAGGCCAATGTAAAATTAAAATTGGAAATAGTGCTGAACATGGACGAACAGGTGATAGTGGCGTTTGTGGAAAGACATATGAGCAGACCTAAAAATATAAAGTGCTATGGCATCATTATTCCGGGAAGGCACACTGGAACAACCACGTCTTCAAGCTCCTCCTAAAGACTGCCAGGGTTGGGGCCTGTCTGATGTCCTTAGGGAGTGAGTTCCAGAGTCGAGGGGCCACCACCAAACACAACAACACAAGCAATAATCTATGTGGAGTTATCTTAGCTCTATATACTTGAAGCAGTGGGAGGGGCTGCAGACCATGTGTCTGGTTCAGTGACTGTTTATAATGTTCAGCTTTTAAAGGTTGACAGAAGTCAGTTGAGGCTTGAGTCTATTTGAGTACGGTTGCCAGCGTTAGGAGTTAGAAAGCAGTGTTGAGGCTTGTGTTCCATAGACGTCGTTTATTTATTTATTTACTTATGACATTTATATGCCACCCTTCTCATCCTGAGCGGCTTACAAGATATATATATTATTTATTTATTTATTATTTACTTTGCTTATATACCGCTGTATCTCAAGCCCGAAGGCGACTCACAGCGGTTCACAAACAGTAAAAACAGTAGAAACAGCAGTGGTTCCATACAACATATAACAATTGACTTAACACATTATCCATAAATTACCAATAAGCAATTACAATGCACAATTATTACGAAAAACAACCGTACCCAATCTTCTCATCATCCAAGCGTAGTCCAGGTTCGTCGTCCATTGTTCCATTCCTATGTTCCATTACCAGATTGCACTAAATTACTCAAACGCCTGCACAAACAGCCAGGTCTTCACCTTTTTGCGGAATACCATTAGAGATGGTGCTAGTCTAATGTCCGTAGGAAGGGCGTTCCACAGCCGAGGAGCCACCACCGAGAAGGCCCTATCTCTCGTCCCCGCCAGCCGAGCTTGAGAAGCAGGCGGGATCGAGAGCAGGGTCTCCCCGGAAGATCTCAAAGTCCTGGTGGGTTCATAGGCGGAGATGCGGTCAGATAGGTAGCTTTTTTATTATTTTTATATAATAAATAATATATATACAATATATTATATATTAATAGCAAATATCAGTATTATATATATTATATTGTAAATATATTAGTAATATTACATGTAATATAAAATATATAATAATATTGCATTATTAGTATTAGTATTATATTGTATTACATTATAATATTATAAATATTATACGTATTACATTATATTATTATATTATTGAATTACATTATAATATTATAAATATTATACGTATAAATATTATATTTTTAGTAAAGCACGGGAGACAAAAAAGAGCTCTACAGAGCAATAGAGTTTTGAAGAGACTGCTAAAGACAGTTAAGTTAAAGATAGAAACTTAAATGTTTTGAAGCTTAACCTGACAAGAAATGTATGTTTAGATATATGAAGTGGTGAGTAAAACAAAAATGTCATTTAAAAGAAGTCAGCTTGCATCTTTGTCTGCTGAAAGCGTCAAATAAACAAGATATCGATGTGCTTAGTGATCTTCCATTAAACTAAAGGAACACCCCTGAAACTCTGCTGCCCAAAAGGTTATGATTCTAACAGGTCATAATCCCCAAAAGGTTGTGATCTGAACGGGTCATCATCCCTCCTGCCAATCCCACTGCCCCCTCCCCTGTCCACAGGTGCCGTCTCCGGGGGGGCTCCACAGCCCCGAGCAGCGTTCCTTCCGCGAGAGGCAGAAGTACTTTGAGGTGGAGCTGAAGCAGCCCCCGCCGGCCGAGAAGACCCCCAAGAGGGTCTCCCTGGTCGGGGAGGACGACCTGAAGAAGATGAAGGAGGAGGAAGGCAAGTGGAGCCCGGCCTCCCAACGCGGTCAGCCCCTTTGGCCTCACAGATGAGTGGTCACTGGGCCCCAGGTGGCCCCTTTGGTTGGGGACCCTTGACACACAACCCCCCCGATGGGCAGCCTCTGGGTCCCAGGCGGTCCATTTGGGGAACCCCTGAACCCCCATTGTGTCTCCAGGGAAGGAAGGCAAGCTCAGGGGGCCCAAGGGAGGGGTTTGCCAAGCGCTGGCCCTCCTGCCCACCTCTGCCCTCTTCTCCCCACTTGCGTAGCGCGGAAGTTGCAGCAGAAGCGGGCACAGATGCTGGAGGAGGAGGACGAGGACGAAGAGGAGGAGGAAGGCCTGGGGAGGGGGAGGCACGGGCCCCCCGACACGGACCCCCCGTCCAGCATCTTCATCGAAGGGATTGAGTACAAAGTGGAGAGGCTCTTGCCAACGCCACCACCCTCCGCGGCAGCAGCAGCAGCCGCCGCCTCCCGGTGAGTTCCTTGACCCTCCCCCCCTCCTCACTGCCTAGGCCTTGGACCCCCATTGATGGTGGCCTGGAAGAGGGTCTCCACAGGTGTTGGGGGCCTTTGCGCCACTTCAGTCGATTGTGGATGAAGAGAAATGTTATCGATGCTTTGTAAACAAAGGTTCTTTTTATTTATTATTTACATCTTTTATATTCTGCCCTTCTCCTCACCCCGCAGGGGACTCAGGGCGGATTACAGTGTACACATATATGGCAAACATTCAATGCCAATTTTGACATACAAACATATACAGACATACACAGAGGCTATTTAACTTTTTCTGGCCACCAGGGGAGCTGTCACTTTCATCGTCCATCTGCGACGCCGATGAAGTACCTCCGCATTCCTTGCATGCTTCCCTGCTGGAGTCTTCTTTATGGCCTCATAAATTAGTTAATTTAGCCTCCCCACACTTTAAGGTGGTACCTAATTTTCCTACTTGACAGATGCAACTGTCTTTTGGGTTGCAAAGGTCGACAACAGGCTACACACAATTGGTTGGAAACCCACTCCAACCCGGGCTGGCTTCGAACTCCTGACCGTTTTGGTCAGAGTGATCTTAATGCAGCTGACACTCAGCCAACTGCGCCACAATCCCGGTGCAATGTTCAGTGTGAGAGGGCACGTCAGAACTTTTACACATTAGACATACAGACATAACTACTAGGCATGGGCAATCCATGGTTCTGAATGATTTTAAAGTACTTACAAAACTAAAGTTCTGGTGATGAAAACTAGGGGGTGCTGGTGCTTTGTTTCTACAGCATTGCTAAAGTTCTGGTGGTGAAAATTTCTGAACTGTAACAAAACTTTCAAAATTTCATTATTATTTTGTTGTTGGCGATTTTTATGACAGAACCAATTAGGAACTGCCATTTATAATGAAATTTGAAAGCTTTGTTAGAGTTCTGAAATTTTCACCACCAGAACTTCAGCAACATTGTAGAAGCAAAGCACCAGCACCCCCTAGTTTTCACCATCAGAACTTTTGTTTTGTAAGTACTTTAGAACCATTTAGAACCATGGATTGCCCATGCCTAATAACTACCCTGTTTCCCCAAAAATAAGACATCTCCCGAAAATAAGACCTAGTAGAGGTTTTGCACTATAAGGCCTCCCCGGAAAGTAAGGCCTAGCGAAGATTTTGAGTTCCCCCATGTGGCTGGAAGTTGCAAATCCGTCCCAAGTGGCCCAGGAACTGCTGCGGGAGGTCGTGACAGTCTCCAGACAGTGTGTGAGAGATCTAGGGTCTCTATAGCCCTTAGTTTTTGTGGCCCTGTGTGTGAGCGCTAGTATATCTATTCTATACTGACAACTACAATATTGTATATAATAAATGGTAATTTTTTGGTTCAACAATAAATGAAAATTCTTCTTCATGGGAGAACAAATCACCCTCTGAAAATAAGGCCTAGCGTATCTTTGGGAGCAAAAATTAATACAAGACACTGTCTTATTTTCAGGGAAACAGAAAAGAAGGCCAAGTGTATGGAATTCTGCTTTCCCTTGCAGATCTGACACTCCCCAAATTTATTTATTTATTTATTTCCGTCACTTTTACCCCGCCCTTCTCACCCCCAAGGGGGGACTCAGGGCGGCTTACAGAGAAAGGCACAATTCGATGCCTTGTCACATATACATACATATATAAAAGCAATTAAACAATTACAAATTAAAAATTAAATCATCAATACAAAACAATACCATAAACACAGTAGTAGGCTAATCCTGAGCTCAGCGTTCGGAGTTCCGTAAATCCATTCCGTCTCGTCAAGTTCCAGCTCGTCATCAAGTCTTTCTTTAGCTGCCAGTATGTCCAAATGCCTGGTCCCATATCCAGGTTTTTAACTTTTTAAAAACCAAAGTGCACCATCTCTTTCCATAGATTATTATTATTATTATTATTTCATCTACTTATACCCCGCCCTTCTCACCCCGAGGGGGACTCAGGGCGGCTTACAGGAAAGGCACAATTAGATGCCCAAAACACACAACAAACAATACAAAATATAACAATTCAACAATTAAAATAAAACATCAATACCTAATAAAATCATAAAAACTATCTCATGTCAGAGTCCATATATCAGAGTCCATATATCCATTCCATTCCATTGTCCTTGTCTATCGACAGGTCCTTTAGTTAGTTGTCAGCATGGCCAAAAGCTTGGTCCCACATCCAGGTCTTTAGTTTTTTCCTAAACGCTGATGTTGATGCCCTAATTTCCCCCGGGAGTGAGTTCCACAGGTGAGGGACCACCACTGAGAAGGCCCTGCTCCTCGTCCCCACCAGCCTCACTTGTGATAGTGGTGGGGTCGAGAGCAGGGCCTCCCCAGATGATCTCAAATTCTGGGTGGGATGTAGAGGGAGATCCGTTCGGACAAATACACTGGGCCGGAACCGTATAGGGTTTTGTAGGTCAAAACCAGCACTTTGAATTGTGCTCGGAATTGGATCGGCAGCCAGTGGAGCTGACGCAACAGGGGTGTGGTGTGCTCCCTGTACGCCGCTCCGGTGAGCAATCTGGCTGCTTCTCGCTGGACTAGTTGAAGTTTCCGAGCAGTCTTCAAAGGCAACCCCACGTAGAGTGCGTTGCAGTAATCCAACCGGGATGTGACAAGAGCGTGGACCACTGTGGCCAGATCCGACTTCCAAAGGTACGGGCACAGCTGGCGCACAAGTTTTAATTGTGCAAAAGCTCTCCCGGCCACCGCTGAGACCTGGGGTTCCAGGCGGGTGGGCCAGACTCCTCTGGTCTGCCACAATTTTTGGCTTGTAATAAGTTCACTTATATAGCAATATTTTCACTGATGTTGTCCCAAAGTTGTAAGTGAATGATAGACGTTATCCATCCTGAAACATGATGATTCCATCTCAGTTTCCGGGCAGATGTTGACTCTGCGTAATTGGTGTTAGCAAATGTCGCAAGCCTTGTCTTGACTGCCGTACTTACTTATTTACAGTACTTCATTTATACCCTGCCTTCCTCCCCCTCCGGGGACTTCCTTCTTAATATTGTAAACATTTTCTTAATTTGAAAGAGCCATTGTCCCTGATTAATGTAAACACATTGTTTTTCCCTCAAAAGTTCAACAGTTAATCAATGTCAAAGTTCTTGTCAGTGTCAGCAGTTCAGCAACTTTTAATTACAGTTCCTGAATCTAATGGTTGATTCTGCCATTGCAGGACTTAATTCCTTACAATGGCATCTTCGGCCAAATTATTTATTTGTTTGTTTGTTTACTGCATTTATATGCCGCCCTTCTCACCCTGAAGGGGACTCAGAGCGGCTTACAAGTAAAATGTAAAATGTAAATACAATATATTATATTATTACCATGGCACAATATTAATATTAATATTATATATTATTGCTAGCTGTCCCCTGCCACACATTGCTGTGGCCCACATGGGGATTCTGTGTGAGAGGTTTGGCCCAATTCTATAGTTGGTGGGGTTCAGAATGCTCTGCGATTGTAGGTGTACTATAAATCACAGCAACTACAACTCCCAAATGTCAAGAGTCTATTTTCCCCAAACTCCACATTTGGGCATATTGTGTATTTGTGTAGGGTTTGGTCCAGATCCATCAATGTTTGAGTCCACAGTGATCTCGGAATTTAGGTGAACTACAACTCCAAAACCCACCAAACCTTTCAAGTATTTTCTGTTCGTTATGGGAGAACTGTGTGCCAAGTTTGGTCCAATTCCATCGTTGGTGGAGTTCAGAATGCTTTTTGATTGTAGGTGAACTGTAAATCCCAGCAACTACCAATCCCAAAGGGCAAAATCAATTTTTTTTGAGTGAAGGACATACATTGGGATGTTAGGTGTCTTGTGTCCAAATTTGGTGTCAATTCATCCAGTGGTTTTTGAGTTCTGTTAATCCCACAAATGAACATGATTTTTTTATTTATATAGATATTGTACTATAAAACAATTATACTGTAATATTATTAGTAATATTACATTTAATATTAATATATAACCATATATTAACCTTTAAGGCGGATGGGCCAGACTCCTCAGGTCTGCCACAATTTTTGGCTTGTAATAAGTTCACTTATATAGCAATATTTTTGCTGATGTTGTCCCACAATTATGTACTAACCTTTAAGGCCTTACATGATCTAGGGCCGGCGTACCTGAGGGCCCGCTTATCCCCCTACCAACCCCAGAGATTACTCCGGTCTGAAGACCAAAACCTGCTTGCAGTCCCTAACATCCGGACCTATCATTTGTCCTCTACTAGCCAGAGAGCCTTCTCAGTTGTGGCCCCTTATTTATGGAATGCCTTGCCGGTTGAAACTCGGAACCATCCGAGATCTACTTGCTTTCCGGAAAGCCTGTAAACCTTTTCTTTTCCGGCAAGCTTTTGATGGGTGAACAACCCGGACTATGCCTGTTCTTGCGGCCTATTGTTATTGTTATGGTCATTTTAAAGCTAATTGTACTGTTTTAATCTGTTTCTGTAAACCGCTCCGAGCCAAATTGGGAGTAGCGGTATACAAGTTGAATAAAATAAATAAATAAATAAAATAACATATTATTAGTAGTAGTAGTATATTGTATTACATTATAATATTATCAATATTATATGTATATACAATATATTTATTACATTACATTACATTACATTATAAGCACAGTGCAGGCGACAAGATGGAACTGCCTTCCTGGCCCCTCTCTTCATAGAATCATAGAATCAAAGAGTTGGAAGAGACCTCATGGGCCATCCAGTCCAACCCCATTCTGCCAAGAAGCAGGAATATTGCATTCAAATCACCCCTGACAGATGGCCATCCAGCCCCTGTTTCAAAGCTTCCAAAGAAGGAGCCTCCACCACACTCCGGGGCAGAGAGTTCCACTGCTGAACGGCTCTCACAGTCAGGAAGTTCTTCCTCATGTTCAGATGGAATCTCCTCTCTTGTAGTTTGAATAAGACCTGCCCATAATGCCCTCCCTGCTTGTGTGCCCGGTCGGTCCTTGTGCTGACCAGTCCCTCCTCCTTTCCTCCCAGGCTGAGCCCCCCCTTTGCGAGGGTGGGGGAGTCGGGCCCCCCGGTGCGGACGGCCAAGGCGGAGCGGAGGCACCAGCAGCGGCTGCGCATGCAGAGCCCGGAGCAGCCTTCGCCTCCTGGGTCCGGCGAAGAGGAGGCGCTCTCCCCGGCCGAGCGGAGGGCCCTGGAGGCCGAGAAGAGGGCCATGTGGAGGGCCGCGCGGTAGGGCCCCGATCCCAGCCACCAGGGATCTCTTTCGGGAGGGGGGGTGGTCTTCTGAGCGCGCCTGACCCGCTCTCTGCCTTCCCCAGGATGAAGTCCCTGGAGCAGGACGCACTGAAGGCCCAGATGGTCATCGCCAAGTCCAAGGAGGGCCGCAAGCGGGGGACCCTGGAGCAGCTGGCCGAGTCCCCCTCGCCCGCCCCCACCCCCTCCCCAACGCCCCCCGAGGGTAACTAACGCCTTGCCCCGCCCTGTGAGGCCCCCCATGGAAAGGGGTCTGTCTGGCTGCGTGAGGTGGGAGGGCATGCCACTCATGGAGACCCCTCCGCTCTTCCTTTTGCAGAGTGCAGCTCCCGGATCGTGGCCTCCCCTGGACGCCTGGTAGGAAGGGGATCTCCTCGGGGGGGGGTGTGTGGAATGGGGGTCACGTGTCAGGCATCATGAGCCCCACTTCCGAATTAAGGGCTCACTGGGAGGGAATGGGGGAAAGCAGGGGAGACCCTGAATCCTTGAGGTGGGTCCTTCCGCAACCAAGCCCCTTCCTCTCTCCACTGTGTGCTGCTCCCTTTCCTCTTTTCCCTGCGTTTGCTCACTCTCTCTTTCTCCCTCTCTCTTTCTCTCTCTCTCTCCCAAAATGCTCGCTGTCCGTGCCCCCCCTTCCTCTTCTCCCTCCCTCGGGCCCTTCTCAGTCTGTACCCGAAAAGAAGTTTCTCTACAGAGAATTTGCGGCCATCCCTTCCTCCAAACCTGTTTATGACATCCAGGTACCGGCTGCATGTCCTGCGCGCTCCTTGGCTGGAGCGGGGTGGGGGTCCCCTCCTCCTCCCCCTCCTCCTCCCCCTTCGTGTCCATCCCTCTGCCCATCCGTTCGGACAGCTCTGGCCAGGTGGGGCTGGGCAATATGGGGAAGGGTCTGCTGAAACACAGACCTCTTCCTGCCCCATGCCAGGGAGGGTGAAAAGCCCTCTTCCCCTATCTTGTGACAATTGTGCATTTGCATCTTGGGTGTTGTGTGTGGTTTCCGGGCTGTATGGCCAATGTGTTCTAGCAGCATTTTCTCCTGACGTTTTGCCTGTATCTTAAGATGTCAGGAGCAAATCCTGCTAGAACACATTGGCCATGCAGCCAGGAAAACACAACACCCCAGTGCTTCCAGCCGTGAAAGCTAGGCCTGTTCGATGCATGGTTCTAAATGGTTCTAAAGCACTTACAAAACTTAAGTTCTGGTGGTGAAAATTTCAGAACTCTAACAAAACTCTCAAAATTTCATTATAAATGGCAGTTCCTAATTGATTCTGTCATAAAAATCGCCAATAATGAAATAATGAAATTTTGAAAGTTTTGTTAGAGTTCTGAAATTTTCACCACCAGAACTTTAGTTTTGTAAGTGCTTTAGAACCATTTAGAACTCTTTCAAAATTTAATTATTATTTCATTATTGGCCATTTTTATGACAGATTGCCAAACTGCCATTTATAATAAAATTTTGAGAGTTTTGTTAGAGTTCTGAAATTTTCACCACCAGAACTTTAGTTTTGTAAGTGCTTTAGAACCATTTAGAACTCTTTCAGAATTTAATTATTATTTCATTATTGGCAATTTTTATGACAGAACCCATCAGGAACTGCCATTTATAATGAAACTTTGAGAGTTTTGTTAGAGTTCTGAAATTTTCACCACCAGAACTTTAGTTTTGTAAGTACTTTAGAACCATTTAGAACCATGGATTGACCAGGCCTAGTTTGACAATATGTTGCTGGGACAGTCGTCCCTCCGCGACCGCTCCCTCTCCAATCTTCCTTCCTTTCTATGCTTGCCCTTTTCCTTACTTCTGAGTGACCACCTGGGTTGACCCCAGCATGCCCCTCTCTCCATGTTTCTGTATTTCTGTTGGGGGAATGTGCTGGGGAGGGGTCTGTTCTTTCCATGCCGTTTGGCAGCATCCGGCCAGACCCCTCCCCTTTCCCCCTGCCCTGCTCTTCTTCCACTCTTCCCCCACTTCTCCAGTTCCTTGCTTGTTTTGGGCACTCCAGTTTGTGTTGGCTCACAATGGGGGGGGGGGGGGGTGGCATTGTGAAGCCTCCAGATGACCAGCCCTTTGTGACCCCCCCCCCCTCCAAATATCTGCTGCTCTTCCAGACGCCGGACCTTGGGGACACCTGCAGATCCCTCCTGAACAACTGCAGCAGCAGCAGCAGCCCAGGTGAGCAAGAGTTGTGCAAATGATTCGTAAAAAAAAATGGAAGAATTCGGAAGTTTCGTAAGTCGGAAGTCTTTTTGAAGTGTTAGCATGGCCCACTCCAAAAACTTAAGAACCTATGTCAAGTGGTCTAAATCTTCCCACCATCATGTTCTCCAATTTTAGCTGTAGCGCCACTCAGGTGTAAAGCTACGTTTCCCCAAATGCGAGGTCTCTCCCTGCAAGAGTTGCTGGTCTCGGCCCTCTTCACTGAAGGGTAGTCAGTCAGCATGCACACAACATTTAAGAAAATGCTCTTTTGGGGATATTATAAAATTGAAATTAAATGTATAAGAATGGCAAGTAAATTGAAACCCTCCACACTATTTACTTCTGATTCTGATTATTGCAGACATGATTACCAGTAGACATTATGGGTGCAAAATCCAGCCAAACGTTTTGTGAAATGTTGTGAGAAGGGGGCCTAGATCAGCACCTCTTATAATGATGATGATGATGATTTATTTAATTATTTTTGCTCTTAATGTATTTTATGTATGATTGCTTTTAATATATGATTGCTTTTAATGTATTTTATGTATTAATGTGTTTTATGGTGTGATGTTTTAAACTACTGTTTTTGAATCATGTTGTAAACCGGCCTGAGTCCCTCTCTAGAGGTCGAGAAGATTTTATTTAGAGCTTTTATAACTCGTTCTTCTCGATCTCCGAAGAGAGACTCAGGCCGGTTCACAACAGGAGATTCATAGACAATAGTATAAAAACATCACAATCTCATAACACATTAGTACATAAAATACATTAAAATACAGTCCTATATGCTAGGACTGTGTGATGATAATACATCACACAGTCCTAGCATATAGATCTCATTTGCTGTGACATACTGTGCTTTTGTGTCAGTAATAATAATAATTATAATGGTGGTGGTGGTGGTCCCAGTGGTGATGGGCATACTGGGTGCAGTGCCTAAAGACCTTGGCCTGCACTTAAACACAATTGGCACTGACAAAATTACCAACCACTTTGAGTCCCCCTGGGGGTGAGAAAAGCTGTATATAAATACTGTAAATAAGTAATAAATAATAATAAATCTGCCAGTTGCAAAAGGCCACCTTTCTGGGATCAGCACACAGAACCAATCTTAGACACTTGGGAAGTGTCCGACGTGTGATCCAATACAACAGCCAGCAGAGCGATCTTGTTTGCTGTGGACTCATCTTGTTGTGTTTCCAATAATAATAATAATAATAATAATAATAATAATAATAATAATATTCACTGATACATCATACAGTCCTAGAGACTTGGAAAGTGTCCGACGTGTGATCCAATACAACAGCCAGCAGAGTGTCTGCTGTGGACTCATCTTGCTGTGTTTCTAATAATAATAATAATAATAATAATAATAATAATAATTTATTTATGTACCACTCTATCTCTCCTAGGGGACTCAGGGTGGTTTCCACACATACAATAACACAGAAAAGATAGTATTATTATTATTATTATTAGTAGTAGTAGTAGTAGTAGTAGTAGTAGTATTAACACCTGGCTGGCACTACAGCTAAAATTGGAACACAATTGGAGAACGTGATGGTGGGAACTGTTCAAAATTGTAGACCCCTTGTCATGGAATGAGCCTCCGTCCTAGTGAGCAGCCCTTCCTTCCTGCACCTGTTTACCTGCAGGGAAGACTCTTCCCACCTGACCCCTCTCTCCCCTCCTTCTCTCTCTCTCTCTCTCTCTCTCCCTGTGCAGTGGGTCCGAAGGAGGAGGCCTTGTCCGCCACGCGCCCCCCTGCGGGGTCTCCTCGGGAGGAGGCCGGGCTCTTTGGGGGCCAGCGCGGCCTGGGACACGCTCCGCAGGCGCAGCAGCGCAGCCTGGAGGCCCCCGCCGTCCCCACATAAGGGACCAGCCCCTCCCTCCCTCCCTCTCTGGGGGGCTCTGAGGAAGACCACCCCCAGTGCTGGAGCTCTGCCTCTGTGGGCAGCGTGGGTGACACTGGACACTGGACAGCGCAAGCACATGCCTTTCTCGCCTTCCCTCCCCCTCCAGGCCTTGGGGCAAGGGGCAGCAGCGTGGGGCGGAGCGTGTACATACTTTGGGGGCGCAGCCGCAGAGGGCGAGGGTTGCCAAAGGGCGCCTTGCCCCTCCCCTCGCCTGCCGTGGGGCTCCTCTGGCGACAGGGAGGGAGGGAGGTGGGGCGACCAGACGGAGCGGAGGGGCGAGGGGCTAGCTGAGTAGAGCAGTCTTGAGCAGGACGGGGGGCGGTGGTCTAGTTGGGTGTAGTGAGTGAGTAAGGGAGTGGCGGTGGGGCAGAGGGGTGCGCCCCGGCCCCACGGCTTCCTCCGATGTGGGCAGCCCCAAGTAGTGAGTGACGGCTTCCCTTGGGTGAGGGTAGACGGGCCTGCCCCCCTTCCCCCGCTCAGTGGGCGGCCATTTTAGCAGGAGTTGTTGTTGTTGTTGTGGTGGGTGGTTTTAGGCGGGGCGCTTCCTCCTCCTCGGGCTGCGCGGGGGGGCCGCTTCTTCGCCGATGACGACGACTGACTGACCGACTGACCGTTAGAGCTTCTTGATTTTAACCTGATTTTAGCGTTTGTTTTAATGAGCAACGGGGGGCGATCAGGCGGGGGTGGGGCGCTGGCTGACTAACTTATGACTTCCTGGGTGCTGGGCGGTGGCCCCGGGGCCCCTCAGCCCCTCCCTCCCTCCGAGAGGGGCCCCGGCGTGCCACCCAGACTGTAACTAGCAACATTTGTACAACCAAAGAGATCTATTTTGTGGTTCAAGGACAATAAAAGTTTACTTTACATTTCGGGGGGGGCTTTCTTTCGCGGCTCGGGAATCCTGCCGGCGTGGGCACAAAGCCCTGTCCGTCTGCGGCCATTCTGAGTGGTCCAAATGGCAAAGGGCCGCCCAAAGGCAAAGCTGGGAGACAAGGAAGTGGCCCAGCAGGTAATGCCAAGCAGAAGGCACACCTGGCCAGGTGGATCCCTCTGTATGAGATGCCGGCCCTCCCTTGGCTGTCCCCTCCCTTCTGGTCAGAGAATTGGTAATATCATCCCCACACACAGACACACAGACACCCCACACATACCCCTCCTCTCCCACTGAAGGGGGTTGCACCAGCGAGCCCTCTGCCCCCAAAGCCCCTTGCCCAGTGCCTGCCCCCCATTCCAGATTGGGACGGRGGGTACCAGGGGTGGGCCGTGGGGAGCATGGTGGGTGCCCCCAAAGAGGGCAAGAGAGAGGGCGCCTGGTCCAGGACACCTTTATTGACACCTTCTTTCCCTCCTTGAAAGGGAAAGGCACATTAGGGGAGTGGGTGAGAGTGGGCCAAATCAAAGGAAAGGGCCTCCTAGGTGGGGGGGGGGGCGTATGGGGCTTTCAGTGGGAGAGAGGAGACCATGGGGCAAAAGAAGCTCTTCTGTGGAGACTTCTCCGGCTGGAAAAGAACAAAGTAGGAGGGGAGTTAGGGCGTCCRCTCCCTCTTTGGAGCCCCCCAGGTGTGGCCCCCCTCCTGCCCACCTGGGGCGCCTACCGGCTCCGGGAGAGGAGCACCTCGATGGGGAGGAAGCGCTGGAGCAGCTCCYGAGCCGGGTGGCGCTGCTTCGTGACCAGGAAGAGCTTGAAGCGCCTCGTCCGGCCCGCCTGGAACTCGGTCTCGTCGTACTCGGGCCCGTCGGTCGGCCTCCGGAGGGAGAGGTACCTGCGACGGGCAGAACGTGCTGGGTGCTGGCAAGGTGATCCCTGGTCTGGATCTGACCACTGCCCCCTTCCTAGGATGATTGATCCTCTGTTGATGTGGGTCCCACACAGGCTTTGCCAGGGGGAGGTGTGGGTTGCCATTGTCCGGCTCTATGACCCACCTCTCGTTCTCCAGGATCTTCCGGCTGAACACCACGTCGGTCAAGCCGCTCTCCAGCCGCTCCAGCTGCTTCGTCACCGTGTCGAACATGTTCACCTCCATCATGTCCAGCACTATAGGCTTCCCATAGCTAGTGGCATTGGGTGAGAGCTTCTGGTCAGGGGGGTGGGGGTGGAGAAGGCACCCCCATTTACCAGGGGCCAATGCAGACCCTGACCCACCTGGGCAGACCCCCTCCACCCCCATAGCTAGTGGCATTGGGTGAGAGCTTCTGGTCAGGGGGGTGGGGGTGGAGGAGGCACCCCCATTTACCAGGGGCCAATGCAGACCCCGACCCACCTGGGCAGACCCCCTCCACCCCCATAGCTAGTGGCATTGGGTGAGAGCTTCTGGTCAGGGGGGTGGGGGTGGAGGAGGCACCCCCATTTACCAGGGGCCAATGCAGACCCCGACCCACCTGGGCAGACCCCCTCCACCCCCCCCCCCAAATCAAGCAGGTGGACAGGTTCCCTTCTCTCACCGAATTGAGCCCAGCAGGGCCAGGCGGAGGGTCTCCAAAGCCACGTCACTGGGGTTCACGGTGTTCAGGTAATTGGTGTCCCGGTACCGCAAGAAAATGGCTGCCTGTCCCGAAGGGTCTATGACCAGCGGCCACCTGCGCAGAGAGAGAGGGAGGGAGGGATCATGGAGGGTGAGGAAGACCCTCTCAGTGGCCACACCCCGTTGGTCACCCCACAAAAGGCAGAGAGGGCTGCCTGTCCGAGGCCAGCCGGTGTTATGACGGGGCTGAGGTCCCCCTCTCCTGCCCCCCACCACTCACCGCCCGTCTGCCTCTATTTTTCCTCCCACGTCTTTCAGAAGGACGTCGTCCAGCTCTTGCACTGAACACTTCAGGCCGGGCAGTTCGAACGCTGAGCCTGGCGAAAGGGAGCAGGTGGGCTGGACACGTAAGTGCTCCTGACCCAACCCAGAATGGAGCCCCAGCCTTGCTAGCTGTGTAAGGGGATAGCTGCCCCCTAAACAATTTCTGCATTGGTTGTCTGGAATGGCGTGCTCCTGTGGGGCTTGGCGGCCAAATCATTGGTCCTTCCTGGGTGGCTAAAGTGCCCCCTGGACCTGGAGACAAGGGGACCTGTTCCCGCAAGGCATGGCTGAGGCTCTCCAGATCCCTCCTGGCTCAGGGCTGAAGCAGAAGAGCTGCCCACAGCCCCGCCAGGCTCAGAAGGTTGTGCTTCTGCAGGTGATGCTATGGCAAGGGGGCAGAGACCCAGGTCCACCTGCCCTTGCCCCCATTCGCTTGACCCACCATCCTGCATCTGTTCTCGCAGCTTGAGCCGGGCCAGAGAGAGGCGCTCCTCCGCTTCCTCCACCGTCCCTCGGAGACGCTCCACCACCGCCTCTGCGTCAGCAATCGCCTGCCCAGGGAAGGAAGGAAGGAAGGAAGGAAGGAAAGAAGGAAAGAAGGAAGGAAGGAAGGAAGGAAGGGGAAGGAAGAAGGAAGGAAGGAAGGAAGGAAGGAAAGGAGGGAGGAAGAGAAGGAAGGAAGGAAGGAGAAGGAAGGAAGGAAGGAAGGAGGAAAGAAAGGAAAAGAAGGAGGAAGGAAGAAGGAAGGAAGGAAAAAAAAAGGAAAAAAGGAAGGAAGAAAGGAGGAAGGAAGGAAAGGAAGGGAGGAAGGAAGGAAGGAAGGAGAGAGAGGAAGGAAGAAGGAAGAAGGGAGGAAAGGGAGGAAGGAAGGAAGGGAAAGGAGGAAGGAAGGGAAAGGAGGAAGGAAGGCCTTTAGAAAGGGAGGCAGAGCTGGCAACCCTAATGGATGCCCATAGGCCACCACGGTTGACTCCCATCAGAGAGAGAAAGTGGAGCAAAATGCCTTCCTCTCCCCTCACAGGGCAAGCAGGCCGGAAGTTTCTCTGTAGCCCAGGCATGGGCAGACTTCAGCCTTCCTGCCAGGTGTTTTGGACTTCAGCTCCCACCATTCCCAACATCCCCAAGCCCGTTACTTTTCCCCTTCTGCTGCTTAAGGGGAAAAGGAAGGGGCCTGGCGCTGTTGGGAATGGTGGGAGTTGGAGTCCAAAACACCTGGAGGGGAGACTGAAGTGTGCCCATGCCTGGGTAGCCTGGGCTCCTGACAGAGTTAGAAAGGACCCTGGGGCCACCCACCCCACCCCTCTCTGCCACCAGAAAGGAGCTGCAGCAAGTGCTCACTTGTAGGGTGATCTCTGCGTTGCCCATCTGCTTCCGCTGGCACTTGTCGTGCTCCGTGATGCGCCGGTTCATCTCACAGTAGGCCTGCTGCAGCTGTAACGGGATTGGCGTTGGGGGGGGCAAGACTGTAGTCAGCTGAAGGGGGCTGGGCAGGGAGGGGGGCTCACCTCACATTTTCTGTCTGGTCAGGGGGTGGGAGAGGGCCAAGGGGCACCTGGACAGGCTGAGGGTGCCACGGGATGGCTGGGCACCAGTGTGGGACAGAGGAAAGGCACCCTGCATCATGTGGGGCTTCCAATGGAGGGGCCACCCCACAACACCCCCCCCATTGCCGACCTCTTTGTTGCTTCGCTCGTACTCTTTGGCCAGGGCCTCCACTTCCTCCGTCATCCTGGGGGTGGGGAGGGGGAAGGAGAGGGAAGAGCAGGGTCACAGAGTGTAAGGCTGTAGGCTTTATATAGCAATATTAAATGATCACTCACAAGCCGGCTTTGCTTTGAAATGAGTATATTGCTTGTATCTCTGCAGCAAAGAAAGACACTACTGACTTTTTCCCACCACCACTTCCTTTTATACACCTTTCCTGCACAACTCCCCCCTCTTCTCAGTTTCCTTATTAGACCTTGTTGCTTCACAAGTTCCAATACAAGGTTTCCAGCACCCTCTGCCGGCTTCAAAATGTCACAGAGAGAAAATTGAGGCAGCCAGGATGATTCAGTCAGGATGTCATGGAGGGAATTTGTGAGGTCTTCATGCCATCAGAAATTGACTCCTGACACAGAGCTTAAGCGGCTGAGGAATAAAAGGAAAGGGCCTGAGGACCTCACAACCTCTGAGGATGCCTGCCATAGATGCAGGCAAAACGTCAGGAGAGAATGCTTCTAGCACATGACCATACAACCTGAAAAACATACAACCCAGAAGGCTGACTGTTTGAAGCCTGGGTCAGGGTGGGTGCCTGAGGTCAAAGGGTAGTTGGGTCAGCCTGTGGGCCCCTCCGCTTTGGGCGGGCCCCTCATGGGATGGGGAGGCCAAGGAGTGCGCAGGGGAGGTGCTTGCAGTGCGTGTGGGGAGGCTTTGGGAGCAATCCTGGCCTTTGCACCTCGCGTGCAAGGAAGACCCTTGCTCGGCACTGCTCTCAGGGGCTGAGGTGGGCGGCCAGGAACGCCGAGGGTCTGCTCACCGGCGCGTCTCCGCTTCTTTCTGCCGCTGGTCCTGCTGGGCCCTGCGCTGCCGCTCCGCCTCCATCTTCTGGAGCATGGAGTCCGTCAGGCTGTAGTCCCAGGAGGTCAAGATGGCCACTAAGCCCTCCAGAGAGGCCACCTGGGCAGAGAGGAGGGAGCCCAAGGCATTTGGGGAAAGGCAACCCCCTCAACAACCACAAAGTGGAGCAGCCCCCCACACACACACACACACACACCCCAAAGGAGAGTGAAGGTGTGGGGTTGTTGCATTACCTGTTCGGGGGTGTTGCCGTCGTCGGCATAGAGCCGAGGGTCTGCCCCGTTCTGCAGGAGCAGCTCCACAGCCGCCAGGTGCCCCCCAAACGCTGCCCGGTAGAGAGGGGTCCGGTTGAAGGCGCCCTGCAGGCCAATGGGATCAAAGGTCAGTATGAGTGGGGAGGGGGCTCAAGGCACCGTTCACCCCAAAGGCAGGAGGAGGAGCACCCCCAAATTGGGGAGCACACACAGGGTTCCTCTACGTTCGCAGCCTCAAGGCGGGCAGCAGACCCTGCCCCACGCCCCTCAGTGGGCGAGTGGGCTTAATGAAAAAAGACCCTCCCCATTAATGCACAGCAAGGCGACTTCTCGGCATCAGGACGACACTAGCTTTGGCTCGCTGACTCTAACAGGCTTTAACCTATTCATTCTTCTCGAGACGATACTAGCTTTGGCCCACTGACATTAACAGGCTTCAGCCTACTCACTCTCTTCAGGGCAACACTAGCTCTGACCCACTAACTCTGACAGGCTTCGGCCTACTCACTCTCCCCAGGACGACACTAACAGGCGTCCCCAGGATGACACTTTGGCCCACTTACTCTAACAGGCTTCGACCTACTCACTCTCCTCAGGGCCACACTAGCTTTGGCCTACTAACTCTAAAAGGCTTCGGCCTACTCACTCTCCTCAGGGCAACACTAGCTTTGGCCTACTAACTCTAAAAGGCTTCGGCCTACTCACTCTCCACAGGACAACACTAGCTTTGGCCCACTGACTTTAACAGGCTTCGGCCTACTCACTCTCCTCAGGACGACACTAGCTTTGGCCCACTGAGGTTAACACGCTTCGGCCTACACACCCTCTTCTGGACGACACTAGCTTTGGCTTATTGACTCTAACAGGCTTCAACCTACTCACTCTCCTCAGGGCAACACTAGTATGAGCCTGCTGACTCTAACAGACTTCGGCCTACTCATTCTCCTTAGGGCAACGCTAGCTTTGGCTCACTGACTCTAACAGGCTTCGGCCTACTCACTCTCCCCAGGGCAACACTTGCTTTGGCCCACTGACTCTAACAGGCTTCGGCCTACTCACTCACATCAGGACGACACTAGCTTTGACTTATTGACTCTAACAGGTTTCAACCTACTCACTCTCCTCAGAGCCACACTAGCTTTGATCCACTGACTCTAACAGGCTTCGGCCTACTCACTCTCCTCAGGACAACACTAGCTAGGCTCACTAACTCTAACAGGCTTCGGCGTACTCACTCTTTCAGTGCTTGACTCAGTTTTGTAATCGAAAATACCCAGTTAATTTGTAATATTTCTGACAGCACTTCAATTTTTGATTACCAAAAATCCCCTAAACCAATTATTAACCACTCTTAAACCACTTATATCTATCTCAAACATATCTGTAGCTGACTGAAAAGTTGTGTACCTTTGTAAGCTGAACACATGAAAGCCGTGAGTAAACCAACCAAAGTCTACTTTATTATGTCTCTTGATTGCATAATATATATCTAGGAGAATAGATATATTTTGGGGCACTGAAAAACACTTCTGAAAAAGACTATTTTTCATGCACTGGCATATTCTCTGTTTCCTACCAGATCAGAGACAACTGGTTATTCAGTCTAACAACTGAATTGCTTTGCATAATTACATCTGGTTGTATGGCACTTGAGGAGATTCTACTCCAATGGGTTGTTGGCTCTTCTCTAAAAGGTTATGAATACCATTTTCTAAAAGGTTATGATCTCTAAAAGGTCATCCTTTCCTAGAAAGACGGGGTTCCTCCACTTCCGCAGATCCTACTCCGCGCCCTTCCGCGCTCACCCTGCTGTTGGGGTCAGCCCCGTTCTCGATTAGCATCCGGATGGCTTCGGGGTGCCCCCCGCCCGCAGCCTCAGAGAGCGGGGTGTTGCCGTTGGCGTCTGTGCAGTCCACCATCTCCAGGTGGTGCCGGAGGCGCAGAGCCCGCCCGGCCTCGTCCGAACCTACACCGCTCTGGGTGTCCAGCTGGGCCACCTGCCAAGAAGGGGAGTCCAGGAGGAAGGAAGTGCTGCTGGGAAAGGGTGGCCACCTTGACCCCCTAGGGAGGCTCCAAGGGAGAGGCCCTACCACCGCCGTGACAGGTCTCCAGGAAACCCTGTCCCGGGTCTCCGGCCAGAGGTGGCTCTGCCCCACCACACAGGGGAGGGTCCCCCCACCTCGGCGCTCCTGCCTGGCCCACCTCCTTGAGGACGGCCTTCATCTCCTCCACGTCGCCCTCGAAGGCGGCCTCCAGCATCCTCTTCCTCCGGCACTGGGCCTCCTGCCGCCGCCGCTTCTCCTCCTCCTCCTTCTTCCGCTCCCGCTCCGCCTCCGCCTGCTCCCGCTTCACTAGGGCCACAAAGGCCTGCCAAGGGGAGCAGAAGGACAGCCATGGAGGGCCAGGAACCGGGCAGGAACGAGGGGCCACTCCGCTGAGACCCTGCCTCGCTCCCTTGCCTCTCTCTGCAGGCGCTCCATCTGCTGGCTGTACTCCTCCCGCGCCTGCAACCGCTTCTTTCTCTCCCGGCGGGCCAGGATCCGGCGGAAGCCGCACTGCAGGGTCACTGCAGCCTGGGCTTCGCGGCTGAGTTCTGCGGGAGAAGGGGACACCAACGGCCAAAAGCTGAAACTCTTTGCTTAACAGGTCTGGGGCCGGGCTCTAGCACAGCAGGTTAAACCACCAGCTGCATTGGAGCCCCCGATGGTGCAGTGGGTTGAACCCCTGTGCCGGCAGGACTTAAGGCCGACAGGTCGCAGGTTCGAATCTGGGGAGAGGCGGATGAGCTCCCTCTATCAGCTCCAGCTCCTCATGTGAAGGGGACATGAGAGAAGCCTCCCACAAGGATGATAAAAACATCAAATCATCCAGGCATCCCCTGGGCAACATCCTTGCAGACGGCCAATTCTCTCACACCAGAAGCGACTTGCAGTTTTTCAAGTTGCTCCTGACACAACAACAACAAAAAAACCAGCTGCATTAAATCTTGCCAATCAAAAGATTGACAATGTATTGTCGAAGGCTTTCATGGCCGGAATCACTGGGTTGTTGTAGGTTTTTTCAGGCTATATGGCCATGTGCTAGAGGCATTCTCTCCTGACGTTTCGCCTGCATCTACGGCAAGCATCCTCACAGGTTGTGAGGTAGTGAGACCTCACTACTTCTAAGGATGCTTGCCATAGATGCAGGCGAAAAGTCAGGAGAGAATGCCTCTAGAACATGGCCATATAGCCCAAAGAAAGATTGACAGTTTGAAGCCCGAGTTGGGGTCTTTAGCCCAGCTTCTGCCTACCTAGCAATTTGAGAGTAGATAAATAGGTACCACTTAAAGCGGGGAGGTATGTAAGGTACCCATAAGGAAATGCCCAGAAAAATGCCAGAGATTTGATCAAGGAGGAAGTTTATAAACAAAACGTTTTGGAAGGGAAAGGGGAGCGACAGCACCTCCTCACGGCCTCAACCGATCATGAGCCTCCAAGACGCCGAAGATGGGAAAGCCTATATGTCCACCTCTATCTAGATACAGCTGTCTGTCCTGTCAGTGTATAACGGCATTGAATGTTTGCCATATATTATTATTATTATTATTATTATTATTATTATTATTATTATTATTTACCATATTTGTATACCACCCTTCTCAGGCCGAAAGCGACTCAGGTCACAACTGGCAACATTTGATGCCTCAACAAATAAAACAATCATCAAAGATCGTTAAAACATTTAGCATAAAATACAAAAATATTAAAAGGCCACACAAAGCTGTAAAATCGTTGTCATGATTGTCTCCTTGTTAAAACAGTTATTCAATTGTATCGTCAGGTCATTCCGTAACTTCGTATAATTATGCTGGGTTAGCAAAGGCCTGCTCAAAAAGTCAGGTTTTACCCTTTCTTCGAAAAGTCAGGAGGGAGGGGGCCGATCTATATCCCTGGGAAAGGCGTTCCTCAGTTGAGGGGCCACCACTGAGAAGGCCCTGCCTCTCGTCCCTGCCAGACACATCTGTGAGGAAGGCGTGTTCTGTGATACGTGTTCTGTGATCTGCCCTGAGTCCCCTTCTGGGTGAGAAGGGTGGGTTACGAATACTGTAAATCTATCTATCTATCTATCTATCTATCTATCTATCTATCTATCTATCCCATCCATCCATCCATCCATCCCCACCCACCCACCCATCTAATCTATCTATCTATCTATCTATCTATCTATCTATCTATCTATCTATCTATCTATCTATCTATCTATCCATTATCCATCAATCCACCAATCCATCCATCTATCTATCTATCTATCTATCTATCTATCTATCTATCTATCTATCTATCTATCCTCCTACCTACTACCTACCTACCTACCTACCTACCTATCACATCCATCTATCTACTCCATCTATCTATCTATCTATCTATCTATCTATCCACCCACCCACCCACCCACCCACCCACCCACCCACCCACCCACCCACCCACCCACCCATCTATCTATCTATCTATCTATCTATCTATCTATCTATCTATCTATCTATCTATCCACCCACCCACCCACCCACCCACCCACCCACCCACCTATCTATCTATCTATCTATCTATCTATCTATCTATCTATCTATCTATCTATCTATTCACCCACCCACCCACCCACCCACCCACCCACCCACCCACCCATCTATCTATCTATCTATCTATCTATCTATCTATCTATCTATCTATCTATCTATTTCTTTCTTTCTAGCCACCCATCCATCTATCTATCTATCTATCTATCTATCTATCTATCTATCTATCTATCTATTATCTATCTATCTCCATCCATCCACCCACCATCTATCCTCCATCCATCCATCCATCTATCTATCTATTCACCCACCCACCCACCATCCATCTCTATCTATCCATCCATCCATCCATCTATCTATTCTATCTGCCCCACCCACCCACCCATCCATCCATCCATCCATCCATCTATCTATCTATCTATATCTATCTATAAATGCTCTGTTCGTTTTGAGTGACATCATAATTCAAAATCCACTGGATAAATTGCCGCGAAATGTGACCACAAGACACCTACTAACCCAAAGAGTGACTATCACTAAAAAAATGATTTTGTCATTTGGGAAGTTGTAGTTGCTGGGATTTGTAGCCTACAATCAAAGAGCATTCTGAACTCCACCAACGATGGAATTGAACCAAACTTGGCACACGGAACTCCCATGACCAAGTCCCCTTGGGGAGATGGTGGGGGAATATAAATAAAGTTATTACTATTATTATTATTATTATTATTATTATTACCAACAGAAAACACTAGAAGAGTTTGGTGGGCATTGACCTTGAGTTTGGGAGTTGTAGTTCACCTTCATCAAGACAGCACTGCGGACTCTAACAATGATGGATCTGGACCAAACCCAGCACGAATACTCAATATGCCCAATTGTGGAGTTTGGGGAAAATAGACCTTGACATTTGGGAGTTGTAGTTGCTGGGATATATAGTTCACCTACAATCAAAGAGCATTCTGAACTCCACAACGATGGAATTGAACCAAACTTGGCACACAGAACTCCCATGACCAACAGAAAATACTGGAAGGGTTTGGTGGGCATTGACCTTGAGTTTGGGAGTTGTAGTTCACCTGCATCTAGAGAGCACTGTGGACTCAAACAATGATGGATCTGGACCAAACTTGGCATGAATACTCAATATGCCCAAATGTGAACACAGATGGAGTTTGGGGGAAATAGACCTTGACATTTGGGAACTGTAGTTACTGGGATTTATAGTTCACCTACAATCAAGGAGCATTCCAAACCTCACCAATGATGGAATTGGGCCAAACGTTTCACACAAAACCCCCATGACCAACAGGAAATACTGTGTTTCCTGGTGGTTTTTGGCGACCCTTCTGACACCCCCTCATGACCCCCCCCCAGGGGTGCTAACCCCCAGGTTAAGAAATGCTGCCTGAAGGCCATCCAGTCCCACTCCCTTCACCAGGGCCAGAATACATCATCAAAGCCATCCAGCCACAGATTATAGATAGATAGATAGATAGATAGATAGATAGGAAAGTAATGCTCCCCATGCTCTATTCTGCTTTGGTTAGACCACACCTGGAATATTGTGTCCAATTCTGGGCACCACAATTCAAGAGAGATATTGACAAGCTGGAATGTGTCCAGAGGAGGGCGACTAAAATGATCAAGGATCTGGAGAACAAGCCCTATGAGGAGTGGCTTAAGGAGCTGGGCATGTTTAGCCTGAAGAAGAGAAGGCTGAGAGGAGATATGATAGCCATGTATAAATATGTGAGAGGAAGCCACAGGGAGGAGGGAGCAGATCAAGGGTCTGGAGAACAAGCCCTATGAGGAGCGGCTTAAGGAGCTGGGCATGTTTAGCCTGAAGAAGAGAAGGCTGAGAGGAGATATGATGAGAGCCATGTATAATATGTGAGAGGAAGCCACAGAGAGGAGGAAGCAGATCAAGGGTCTGGAGAACAAGCTCTATGAGGAGCGGCTTAAGGAGCTGGGCATGTTTAGCCTGAAGAAGAGAAGGCTGAGGGGAGATATGATGAGAGCCATGTATAAATATGTGAGAGGAAGCCACAGGGAGGAGGAGGGAGCAAGCTTCCTTTCTGCTTCCCTGGAGACTAGGACGCAAGGGAACAATGGCTTCAAACTACAAGAGAGGAGATTCCACCTGAACATGAGGAAGAACTTCCTGACTGTGAGAGCCGTTCAGCAGTGGAACTCTCTGCCCCGGAGTGTGGTGGAGGCTCCTTCTTTGGAAGCTTTTAAACAGAGGCTGGATGGCCATCTGTCAGGGGTGATTTGAATGCAATGTTCCTGCTTCTTGGCAGAATGGGGTTGGACTGGATGGCCCATGAGGTCTCTTCCAACTCTTGGATTCTATGATTCTATAGATAGATAGATAGATAGATAGATAGATAGATAGATAGATAGACACTAGCCATCCCCTGCCATGTGTTGCTGTGGCCCAGTCTGTGTTTTGTGTGTGTATATATCTGTGTCTATGTGTACATATGTGGTTTTGCACATGCATTGTAGTGTGTTTTTTAAAAATTGGCTTTTAAGTCTCTTCTGCTGTGTTTTTCAGTGTTTTATGAGTGATGGTCACTCATTGGCCTGAGAGGTTTATTGTGTCCAATTTTGGTGTCCATTTGCCCAGTGGTTTTGGAGTTCTGTTCATTCCACAAATGAACATTACATTTTTTTTTTTAGAGATGATAATACACACGCACATTATATAGTATCCTAGATGTGAAAGGGACCCCTAAAGAAGAACAATGATATGCCACATGTTCCAGAGTGGGCAAAGCAGACGATCTCGACATCAACACTGACCAAGAAACAGTAAGAAATACCTTGTTGTCGAAGGCTTTCATGGCTGGAATCACTACGTTCTTGTGGGTTTTTTCGAGCTATATGGCCAGGAGAAATGCCTCTAGAACAGTGTTTCTCAACCTGGGGGTCGGGACCCCTGGAGGGGCGCGAGGGGGTGTCAGAGGGGTCACCAAAGACCACAAGAAAACACAGTATTTTCTGTTGGTCGTGGAAGTTCTGTGTGGGAAGTTTGGCCCAATTCAATCGTTGGCAGGGTTCAGGATGCTCTTTGATTGTAGGTGAACCATGAATCCCAGCAACTACAACTCCCAAATGTCAAGGTCTATTTTCCCCAAATCCCGACTAGTGTTTACATTTGGACAAATTGAGAATTCGTGCCAAGTTTGGTCCAGATCCATCATTGTTTCAGTCCGCAGTGCTCTCTCGATGTAGGTGAACTACAACTCCCAAAGCTCAAGGTCAATGCCTGCCAAACCCTTCCAGTATTTCTGTTGGTCATTTATTTATTTATTTACCTTACTTCTATACCGCTGTTCTCAGCCCGAAGGCGACTCACAGCGGTTCACAACAAATACGAACAGCAAAAATCCAGTGCTACAGTATAGAAACAGTTAACAACCTAACACATTACACAATTAATAAACAGTTACTACAATACCCATTCACTGTCGTCTCGTCATCAAAAACATGTTCCAGATTCGTCATCCATTGTTCCATTCCAGTGTTCATTAACCAATCATTGCACTAATTTTGGAAGTTCTGTGTGCCAAGTTTGGTTCAATTCAATCGTTGGTGGAGTTCAGAATGCTCTTTGATTGTAGGTGAACTATAAATCCCAGCAACTAACAACTCCCAAATGTCAAGGTCTATTTTCCCCAAACCTGACTAGTGTTTACATTTGGGCATATTGAGAATTCGTGCCAAGTTTGGTCCTGATCCACAGTGCTCTCTGGATGTAGGTGAACTACAACTCCAAAAACTCAAGGTCAGTGTCCACCAGACTCTCCCAGTATTTCTCTTGGCCATGGGAATTCTGTGTGCCAAGTTTGATTCAATTCCATCATTGGTGGAGTTTGGAATGCTCTTTGATTTTAGGTGAACTATAAATCCCAGCAACTCCAAAATTCCCAAATGACAAAATCAATCCCTTCCAACCCCACCAGTATTCAAATTTGGGCGTATCTGGTATCTGTGCCAAATTTGGTCCAGTGAATGAAAATACATCCTGCATATCAGATATTTATATTACGATTCATAACAGTAGCAAAATTAAAGAAATAGCAACAAAAATAACGTTATGGTTGGGGGTCACCACAACGTGAGGAACTGTACTAAGGGGTCGCGGCATTAGGAAGGTTGAGAATCACTGCTCTAGAACATGGCCATATAGCCCGAAAAAACCCCACAAGAACTTAGTAAGAAATACTGTTTACCCACAAACAGAAAGACATGATATATATTGGAAATCAACAATTTCTAATTACTTTATTTTCCAGATCACCAAACTGGGCCACAGCAATGCCTGGCAGGGGACGGCTAGTAAATAAATAAATGGGCCAACTTGGTCCCTCCTTCCCTCCAGGTGTTTTGGACTCCAACTCCCACAATTCCTAACAGTCTAGTGGCTATGTATTGTTGAAGGCTGGAATCACTAGGTTCTTGTGGGTTTTTTTCGGGCTGTAGGGCCATGTACTAGAGGCATTCTCTCCTGACGTTTCGCCTGCATCTATGGCAGGCATCCTCAGAGGGAGTGAGGTCTGTTGGAACTAGGACAATGGGTTTATATATCTGTGGAATAATGACCAGGGTGGGACAAAGGACTCTTGTCTGCTGGAGCCAGGTGTGAATGTTTCAACTGACCACCTTCATTAGCATTTGAAGGCCTGGCTGAGCCTGGGAAAATCCATTGTTGAGAGGGGTTAAGATGTGCCTGGTTGTTTCCTCTCTGCTGTTTTGCTGTAGTAATTTTAGAGTGGCTGTTTGGAATTGTGGGAGTTGGGAGTCCAAAACACCTGAAGGGAAGGCCCAAGTTGGCCCATTCCTGGTCTAATTGCCCCCTCTCCCCACTTTCCTGCTGCTTACCTGGGGGTCCTTCGGGGGTGGTGGGACCTTCCTTCCTCTCCTCCTCATCCTTGGGCTGAGCTGCGAAGGAAACACGAAGGGGGTCTCTCTCTTCTCTCTCTCTCTGTCTCACCTTTCCGCTCTTCCTCCTCCTCCTCCTCGCTCACTCACCTGCCTTGGGGGTCTTCCCCGCGGGGGGGCCTGCCTTGGCTCCTTTCCGGGCGGGGGGCCTCCCCTGGCCCCTCCCCCGCCCGCTCACTACATCCAGAAAAGAGAGAGAGAGAGAGAGAGAGAGAGAGACCCTTCCTCCTCCTCCAAGCTTCGAAGTCTCCTGGCAACGCAAACAGGAGGCGGGGCACTCTACACGCGCTCTGGGGCACTTTAGCCCCGCCCCCCTTCGGGGGGCGGGGCTAAAGTGCCCCAGAGCGCGTGTAGAGTGCCCCGCGCCCACCTCCCTTTTTGAGCCAAGAGAGTGGGTCACCCTTTCTCTCTGTGTGTGTTTCAGCCCCAACCTAGTTCAGCCCTTCCCTTCCTGCTGCATGTAGACAGAGAGGAGGGCGTGTAGGCTCAGGACAGAGCTGGGAAGCCCCGCCCTCTCCCTGCCTGCCTGCCTCTCTTCTGTCTGGGGCCCCCCCCCCCTTTCCCTTTCCCTTCCTTTCCCTGACGGCCCTCCCCTCTGCCCCCCCCCCATCCCAGTGAGGTCAGGCCCAGGGGGAGGGAGGGAGGGGAGGAGGGAGAAAGAGAGAGAGTGCGAGAGAGAGAGAGAGAGAGAGCCTCTTCTTCCGCCGCCCGTCCCGGCTCACCTGGGCAGGTAAGGCACGGGTAGGCCCGACCCCACGGGGAAAGGGAGGGAGGGAGGAGGGGAAGGGAGGGGGCGTCCTTTCGTGGCAGGGAGGAAGGGGGGGGCTTGGTGGTCTTGAGGGGGGGTCTTGGTGGGGAGCGGGATCCCCCTCCCGCTCCTCTCCTCTCCCACCCCCCACGGGACCCTCTTCTTGAGGGGGGTCTTGGTGGGGGCCCCTCCTCTCCCCCCCCCATGGGACCCTCCCCCTCTGTGGCCCTCTCCGCGGTGCACGCCGGGACAGGTACGGCCCCCCCCCCGGGCTCATTGGCTCCTCCGCGCACGAGGCAGGAAGAGGCCTCGTTTTTTTGGTGGGGGTGGGGGTGGGGGGGGGTGGGGGTGGGGGGGGGGGCCGGTGTAGCAAGCCTGAGAGTCGCCATTCTTCTGAGTGTTGCTGTTGTTGTTGTTGTTAACTATTGTGACTGTTCTTAGTATGATGATGCCTGCCATGAAAGGGGGGGGGCGCTGTCCCCCTCCCCCTCAGGCCCAACTGGGCCCCTCCCTCCTTCCCTCCAGGTGTTTTGGACTCCAACTCCCACCATTCCTCACAGCCGGTAGAAGAGTTGGAGTCTAAAACACCTGAAGGGACCCAGTTGGCCCAGGTTGACTTCCCGCACCCCCCCCCCGAAAAAGGGTCCCACCTGGACGACGGGGGAGGGGGAGACAAGCCCTCCCGGGTTCCTCCGCAAAGTGGGCTGCCACGCGCCCCCTACACCCCCTTCCTTGAAAGGAGGGTGCCTGAAGTTGGGGGGGAAAGGGAAGGGCAGGGGAGAGGGTCCCCCAGGCCACTCCCTTCCCTCCCCTCCACTTCTGGGTGTCCTGGGGTGACCTCCGGGGTGCCCCCTTTTCCTCCCTCGGGGTGCCCCCTTCCCCTTCCTGGCCTGTCTCTCAGAGGTGGGGCAGGGAGGGGAGGGGGGACACCACAGGTGGCTCCTCTCTTCACCCCCAAAAAGAGGGGGGTCAGGGAGGGGGGCTCCAAAGGTGACTCCTCTCTTTCCAGGCACCCCCCCCCCAAAAGAAGTGGGCAGAAGGGGGGCTCTACAAGTGGCTCCTCTCTTGCCACCCCAAAAAAGAGAGGGCGGGGAGGGGGGGTCCACAGGTTGCTCCTCTCTTTCCAGGCCCTCCCCCCAAAAGAGGTGGGTCAGGGAGGGGTGCTCTACAAGTGGCTCCTCTTCCACCCCCAAAAAAGAGAGGGCAGGGAAGGGGGGCTCTACAAGTGGCTCCTCTTGCACCCCCAAAAAAGAGAGGGCAGGGAAGGGGGGCTCTACAAGTGGCTCCTCTTGCACCCCCAAAAAAGAGAGGGCAGGGAAGGGGGGCTCTACAAGTGGCTCCTCTCTTTCCAGACACTTCCCCCCCCAAAAAAAAGAGGGGGCGGGGAGGGGGTGCTTTTTCCAGACATTTCCCCTCACAACCCTTGTACTTGTGGGGCAAAGGGGGTGTGCAGGCTTGAGGGGGCTGGGGGTGGGAACCTGACCTCCCCCCCCCCATATTCCAATGGAGGGACCAGCTCAGCCCAGAGGCCCGCCCCCCCCTCCTCCCCCTGGCTGTGGTGTCCCTTCTCCCACCTGTGCCTCCCTCCTTCCCTCCTTGCTGGGTT